CAGAGTTCTTGCGAAAATTGGATTCTTGGTGAAGTAAAGATTTGACAGCCCCAATCGAATCATTGAAGTTACGAGTGGAGGGGGGTATAAGCGCTGGAGGGAGTTGAGCTGGTAGAGGATATCCATTAAGCTTTCGATAAATCAAATGCATAGCAACCGCGAATTCATCCATATTAAGCTTTCCTTTATTGCCGTGATCTGCCAAGGTCCATACGCGCTCCAAGTCGGGCTTCTCGAGACCACTCTGCCCAAAAACTTCAATAGCGACATCGCCGCTAATAAATCCTTTACCAAACCCATCCCAAGCTTTGAAAACGGAATCGTATCTGGTCTTCTCTTCTTTCGTAATTCCCCATGGAATTTCAGCATTGCCTGTTATACCGGCTGTGGTAAAGTTGCCTTGTTCCCGACCTTGTTGCGGCATCATCCGGGAGTGTAATAGATCGATATTGGGGGCTGGCGCATTTACCAAGCCCCATTGGCCATCGACGCCTGTAGGCTGGCTATTCAATGGCGCGATCATTCCGCCCTGCATGCCCGTCTGAGAGGGAGACAAATAAGAACTGACAGTAGATGGCATAGGAGGCATTGGAGGGCGCGGTCCATTGTACCCTGTTGCTTGAGGATTTGACATTTGATTGTACCCAGTTTGTTGAGGCTGCAATCCTCCTTGCTGTCCAGGAAAGCCCGTTTGCATTGAGCCCTGGAAACCTGTTTGCTGCGGTTGAAATCCACCTGAAAAGCTATTCTGCTGTCCAGGGTATCCAGTCATTTGCGCAGTGAGAAGGGCGGAATTAGAAGCCATTGGCTGTGGCTGTTGAATAGTCGGAGGTGTCGCGGTGTTCTGTCGACCATCAAAACTGGGCGCATTCGTTGCCGCTGGTGCATCGTCATCTATAGCGAAATTTATGATGTCCACCATGCTAGAAACTTCATTTTTGATGACATCGGGAAGCACGGATGGTAATTGCTTGCCGACTAGCTTGAGATTGCAGAGGTACATAGCTAATGCGAATTCGGGAAAATGTAGCTGTCCAGATCTTGTAGTGTCTGCGAGCGTCCTATAATGATCATAAGTACAATACTATATCCATTGAATACTTTGATGCTTACCATATCTGCGACAGAGAGTTCCCGTCTAGTTTTGAGCGTAGTAAAAGATCCCTCGATTTCTCTCCAGAAAGTGTTTGCCCATCCCCAACAGCGGACTTGAAAAGAGTTTCGAACTTTGCTTGATCTTGGGCTGTGATAAAAGAAAGTCTTATACTAGGTATCTTTGCTCCCCCTTTAGAGGCTCTGCGTCCTCTTGCCTTTGATGGTTCTGCAGCCGCAGGTTTAAATGAATCTGCCATTGCGGCAAATCCGGTCGCTTGTGGTTGCTGCACAGGAGGTGCAGGGGGTGGTTGAGCTTGTTGCGTCTGTTGAGGCTGCTGGAATTGCTGCGGGATCTGCGGCATTGGAGGAGCTCCCGTTTGGAAGTTCTGCTGTTGAGGAACATTGTTGAACTGCTGCTGTTGCTGCTGGCCTCCAGGGAAGCCTGATTGGGATTGCTGAGGATATCCCGTAGGCTGTGCTTGAAGTGGATAACCTGTGAAACTGGGTTGTAAAGGAGCCGCATTTCCATATCCAGTGGGTTGAGGTTGAAAACCAGTCTGTTGTGGCTGGAAACCAGTCTGTTGTGGTTGGAAACCTTGGTTTGGCTGGAAACCACCATATTGTTGTTGCGGTTGTTGTGGTGGTTGGCGGCCAGTGTTACCACCAAGGTACGAGTTCGAACCCGAAAACATTATGAGTATGAACAAAAAAGAAACAGGTATGAAGAAAGATAGATTTGTGACATTTATCTGAAGGAATGGGTTCGAGGTTGGTAGAAGATACCACGGTCCGGGGGTCGAAATGACGAAGCTCAGGTAATCTGTTACCATAGAGGCTAGGCTTAGCGACCATTAATATACAAATACATACAACCCAAGTTTCACCGATTTTGCGACAAAATGTTAAAGGGGCTGAATGAATGTGTATCGTATCATTATTCAACATTGATGTTTCAACGTCAATTCAAGTCTTTGATTGGAATTATTTGTGTATTTGAATCACTTTTAATCATTTTGGTAAGAAAAATCCTTGATTGAAGCTACATGTATTCTGGTACACAAGTACTTGCATCACCCAGATTCTACCACAAGCTCGAAGCTTTTCTACATGAGGTCTGGCCCTCCATCCCCTTTTGGCATATAGCCACGAATACAGTCACACATCTAGCTCTGTGTATTCCCATCGATAAATATATAGATACTTGAATATCTTAATTAGGCTCTCCAAACCCTTTTATCGATTGTAATATATTCATTCATTCATTCATTCATGCGCTAGCGACATCTTCACCACCTGCCGCTTTCCTGGATCGGTATGCTTGAACGTCGGCTTTGGCGGCAGCTAGTGCGCCAGACAATCCGAATTGTGTTGCAATTCCCTCAATACGGTGAACAGAGTTGAGATTCTTTACCAAGGTAATTTGATAACAGGTGGCAGATCCTTGACGGGAGATAATGGTAGAGGAAGCGAGGAAGTATTCCCAAATCTGTTATTGTCAGTACGTGCGACCACTCGTGCAATCATGATGAAGACTTACTCTAAACCATCTGTTACCGTATTTAGCGACAACCTTCTCCTTGTTGGCCATCCAGTTTCTGTACCATCTCCACAATGTTGCTGAGTAGTGAACACCAATAGTATCGACACCCTTAACTTCGAATCCAGCACTCTCGAGGGAGTTAATGTAGTTGTTGAGAGGAGTAGAAGCGTCAGCACCAGGGAAGATGTATCTGTTCATGAAAAGACCCCAGATAAGATCCTCGTATTGCCAAGTCTTTCTCAAACCAGCTACTTGAAGGAACATAACTCCATCGTCCTCGAGCATATCGTGGCATTGCTTCAAGAAGCTTGTCAAGTGACGGATACCAACGTGCTCAGCCATCTCGAGACATGTAATCTTGTCATAACCTCCCTCAGGAACTGGAATATCACGGTAATCCATACACAAAATCTTACTTTGTTCTTCAGGAATACCAGCTTTGCGAAGTCCATTGTTACCCCAGGCAGTTTGATTACGGCCAAGAGTGATACCAGTAGCCTTTGCACCGAAGTTAACACTGGCGAATTTGGCCAAGGTACCCCATCCACAACCAATGTCCAACATCTTCTCACCAGGCTTGAGACCAATCTTTTCACAGACAATGGCGAGTTTGTTATCCTGTAATTCCTCCAAAGTTTCTTCACGGTTAATGTCAGAGATAACACCGGAAGTGTAGATCATTCGTGGACCAAGGAACCAGCCATAGAAGTCGTCACCCCGATCATAGTGATCACGGACTTGTTCCTCATCTGCGACGTTATTAGTAGTTTTCATATAAAGGGATGTCTTCTGCCACTTACCCTGGGAGCGAGTGTGCATGATAACTTCTGGTGCGAAGTTGAAGAAGACGTATTTGAAAAGACTAATTGTGAATTTGAAGCTTGCCCAGTCGTGACGGTACTCGAGAACTTCGAGGGCATCACCGTTGAAGTCAACTTCTCCATCGAAGTACATGTTGTGGAAAGTTTCCATAGGAATCTTGTTCTTTCCGCTGTATTTTATTTTATCGGCTTCGTTTTTAAAGGTAAGATAATGCTCGACTGGACGTCCTGGGTACTTGGCCTTCTCATTTTTGCGTGGAGAGAAGCTGGAGAAGACTGTCCAGAATGCGAGGAGAATGGGGATAGTGGTGATGAGACCAAAGAAAATGGTGGTCTTAAATCCACCACCGACCTTCCAGGAAAAGTATAGAGGGACACCACCAATGAGGGAGAAAAGGAGGGTGTTTGAGAAACTATCATTGCCAGAAGCATCTGCAGGCAGAGGGGCGTTCTTGATAGCTGGGTACTAATTGCCATGATATGTTAGATTCAATTGACTTTCTTGTTTACTCAAAATCCAAGTTGACAGATATGAGGAAATTCTAGAAATTTTTTCATAAACTTACAGCTGTTGTCCTTACACCACATGGCTCGAACTTTTCAAAGGTCGGTGTGGGAGCTTTGGGGGTTTCGATGAACTCGAATTCGCTCTCAGAGCCATTGGTACTCTGAGGATTGGAAGCCATCTTTCCTTTCGACTTTCCTTCCAGTATAAAGAAAAGAGAAAGAGAAAATGTTTTTGCAACTGAGTTTCACCAGGTACGAAGGTGACAACTAAGATACAACAAAGTTACGTTTACCGGTACCTTAGCGTGTTGAGTTTGAGAAACGCTAATGGAGGGGGCACTAGTCTTAATTGGAGGGTCAACAATGCGCACGGATCACTTTTGGCCAGATCGTCGGGGGTTTTTTTCTTTTTCTGCCGATGTTTCATTTAAATAGGAGAAAAGGTGAGGAGGTGAGGTACGTACCGGTGAGTAGGTACCAGGTGTACCAGGTAGGAAGACAGAGCAACCCTTAATTCAACCAAAATTGATCCAATGGTTCATTCATTCCAAAAGTTTGAGGGAATGTTATTGGTAACAAGTGTCTATATACCCAAACGATTTTGACGAAACATATCAACAGTTTTGAATACCGTATGATTGATCACTGAGTCGTGCTACCACTCATTTATTGAACAACTATGGCTTCATGGAGAGGTAGATTGGCGGATATAATTGAGTATAGAGTGCGAGTTCACCCTGATATTGACCATGCATATATGAGTTCTAGGTGTACGGATTTGATTCACTGATTGACACATTCATGTCAATCCTTAACCAATCAGGGTTTTTGTCGATCTTTGCGTCTCTTGGAAACATGAAAACATGGATACATGCAAAAATGCAAACATGAAAATATCCAAATAACCGATCAAGGAAGTCAATCATATTACCTATACTCTGCAGCCACAAATAGGAAGCATTCGTCATTCCTTTGATACACTCTCTTCTCCCGCTTGAATACCTCAAAGAATTAACCAGAAAAAGAGAAGGCCCACCATGGCACCCATCCCAGCTCAACTCCGAGATGATATCAAGACCCGTTTGGAGAAAGTCATAGAGTACTTATATCCATCCCTCCCGAGCGTTTCTTTTCCAATGCTGACCCATGCATAGAGAATTAGAAGCACATCCCTCCTGGAGCTCGCACAACACAAACCCAGGTCTCTTCTTTCTCTGGGATTTTGTAAAGCGTGGTAGCTACATGCTTCTCGAATACGATAACATTCTAAATGGACGTCCTCTCCAAAATGCCGATCAATTTCGCCCAGAACCACCAGGTATGTATATTACCCCCCCCCTGCCTGTTTGGCGCATTGTATAGGTGTTGCAATAGTCCAGATCATGGCCAGACATTTGATGTGTCACATCCAGAGGCTTTCAATTTCTAAACACCGTTGAGTAATTAAAGCAATTGTTAAGCCTTGGGTTGTTGGGAAACATTCGTGGCCAAATTTTCCTCGAAGGTTACCATTTCACTGACACCCATAATAGGCACAGGTGAAGATGCTGCATTGAAGGTATTTCAAGAAGTTTGTGCACGAACCTTGATGCTGAACATGATTGTCACCGATACAAGCGGTCGAATGAGAATGATGATGGGAGGCGCTGGCAATTCAGTCGATTATGGTGAAAATGTTAGGCAAGCAGTTAGAGAGTTAGAAGCTGTTGTTCCAAAGGAACACATGCTGGGTGGTATGGCCTAATTGAGATTGTGAGGATACTTTTGAGAGAAGTGGGCTCTAAAGTTTCGGTAATGTTCTCTATTTCAATTCACATAATAGACTATCGATACTGTACTTCGATTTGGATCTTCAAGAGAACGAGATCTCCGCAAATTGAACGTCTGGGGCATCTAGCATTCCATCAGTTCCAGGACAGGCCTGATCCCGACTTATATCACCTCTCATGGCAAGGTAAACGTCTTTCCAGTGCTGAAATGATATGAACTTCACTGTATGTCCCCTGATTTATGTCATCAGCGGGCTTTCTGTCAATACATTGAACGTGGGAATCAGTTTTCTCTCTTCTACTTGCAATCATCCACACACAATGTTGCAGAAAGCTTGTTTATGTCTAGCCTGGGCATCCATGAAGTACAGCGCAACAACTTATTCGGAATTGTGTGTCGGATCGATTGCTGTCAAATCATCCGTGAAATACTTACTACATCAATGGTGAAAACAATTCATTTCAGAGCTATTCCAGATGCCTGGGGTAAAGTGTAAGCAGATTGTCTAAAAGCTGACAAAATCTTGTCTCATCTGCAATCAAGTTCGCTATGAAAGTAGATTGTTTTTGCATCATCATATTATTCCTCCTTTTTGTTAATTTGGCTTCTGGGGTCGCTAGAATTGACAATGGCTGGCTCAGAAACCGGAGATCAGTTCCGTGAATACATTGTTCAAAATGGATACATTTCCACTTGCCGCGCCTCGAAATCCTTTCCAAATTCTCCTGTGAACGAGATAATATGTCTGATGCCAGAGACCTGAATTTAGAAGCACAGTTTCTGCCTACTCCAAGAGTAAAAACAGTGTTAAATTCAACGTCTCAAGCTTTCTCAAGAGTAAGCCGTGCAGCACATTTGCCGTCTTGACTGAAACTCCATTGCAGTCATCACTCATGTAGCGTTCGGCGTTCTCATACGAGGTATCTGATATTGTTTCGATACTTGTCGTCTGAGATGTATCCGCTCGATTTGCATTGACAGTTGTACGTCCTCGGCTACTTTGTATAGCGGGTAATGTGAGCTAAAAAGAGAAGCATGACCCAGATTTACATAGAAGGCCGAATTTGAGCGTGTTTCTACACATTTCGCGTGTTACCAAAGTCGCAAAATTTGTTCAACGTTTCTCTTGTTATTAAACAATATCTCCACGTTGACCATATGATTCTTGGATCTTACGATATAGCCACCGCAACCCCTAGATCACGAGTTAAACTTGAATGTCCAATTTATAATTTAGGTAGCGGTGGAATTGTTTACCCGTTGTTCGGAGAGATATGGAATACTCAACTCCCCCATTTCTAGCATATGTCTACTCTCTTCCTCTAAAGAAGGAGAAAGACGTACTCAAGTAGAAATATCACATAGCGGAAGCGGAGAGGGTAGGGAGCAATGAAAAGGACCTCGAATCGTTGATATCTCGCCAGCTTTATAGGCTATTGGGCTCACAAGCAGAGTCTGGTCCAGACCAGTTCTAGATACCAGCTTTAAAGAACCAATTTCAGCCCACTGATTGGACACTTGACTATCCATTCAGCAGTGGAGACTGAACTGTGGGTTGGTAAGAAGGGATCAAATTAGCTAATTTGAATATACATAATCATACAGTTGCGACACCATTACAATGGAAGCCAGCAGGACTGGTTTGCTTTGAAGTTTGAAATACTTCTACATATAACCACACCCAGCCCAAAAAAAGTAACGCTTTTGACCACTTACCAGCAATCGTGTAGCTTTATAGTGAGATAAATTTTGTATCTACACATTACTAGAAACACAGGCAAAATTCGAACCATTGCTCATGGTTATTATGTGTCATCTGATTACTGCTTTCGAGGTTGTAGATATGGATGGCCTATATACATTACTCCGTTACCAGCTGCAATTAGCAACAATAAGGTTTCTCCATTAGAGCTAGAAAAGATGCCATATCGTATCCTGTGTAGTAAACCTTACAATACCATGAATTTCTAGCTAGTCGACACACCAACACTCGAGGCTTTGAAAAGCCATGAAACATTGCATTAGAAAACTCATGATGACAAAAAAAAACCATTTTGATGAATGCAGATCCGCAAAGTATTCACACTTCTCTACGAAGAAAGGAAAAGTATTAAATATTCTGTAACGCTGTTATAAGAACAACTGTTACCCTGTGGCCTTATGTGTGTACTTAGTAGTCAAAATATCACAGATACAAATGCGAAGAATTTAGACTAAAACCCATTGATTAGATCAAGAAAATCTTTCGAAACTGATTCACGTTGAAAATTTGAATCCAGGACAATACCGAGTATCTGCACAAGATGGATAGGGTAGTCTCATAGTCAAAATCGAGCTTTGGATGGCAACAATCGAACGTATGCTGGGAATGATATCTAGCGGCATGAAAGTTCAGAAACTATTTCTCCTACATTGAAATACAATCAGACGTCATTTTCTCGAAGAGTTACTCTGGCTTCAACATCATGATGGTTGAGGATAGTAATGTATGATCAATCTTACCAGATTTCATCTTAGATACTGACGGGCATGTTCTACTCGATAACTCATCCCAATTCAGAGGTTCAAATGGCAAGGTTGCTTTCCTTCCTTCACACTTGTAAGAATTACCACATTGTTCAACCACAAGTAAGACTCTGCATCATGCAACAAAACTCAAATTCGATGGAAATCCTTCATCAGAGGGTATCTTATTCGCTATCATCACTGCTACTGTCCGCGCTCTCCTCGTCGTCCTCCTCATTTATCTCAATTTCTTCATCTTCTGCCCCCTCAGGTGTTGGTAACATAACAAACGCTTTCAAACACGTAACGCGATTTCCAGTCTCGTATGTACCAATTAGTTTTCCGACCTGGTTTACTTTCTCTCCAACTTGCCCCAAATCCTTGGCTGCAGATAATTTGTATAGTCTGACAGCGCCGTCACTACTTGCTGCAACAATCAGAATGTCTCTGGAAGAGCCTTCTCCAATATTCAAGACGGCAAAATCCTTGATACGTCCAGTCACTCCGCTATCTTTACCACCGAGTTGTGCGAAAAGCTTAGCGGCGGGTATTGGCTGTGATTTGCCTTCGGCAGCTTTTGCACTTTCTAAATCTCCAGTATTTGTGGAATAGAACAAGATTCTTCCATCCTCCGTGGAGACAGCCAAGACTTGAGAATCTTCGTCATCTCCCACTTGCACGTAAGACAGTTGATGGATTTTGGACCTTGGTGTTGGTACGATCTTGCACCTAACCTTACAGTCCATTCCGAAAACCAATATTCCTTTCTCGAATCCTACGCAAAACTCTTCTCCGCCCTCTTTCGTATTACCCCATGCGACTCTCCTTCCCTCTCCACTACTAAATCTACCTTCCCCAACCTCGACTAACATATCTCTCTCGAAATTCAACACGCCCGCTTTCTTTCCTGTGACCAAATTCCACAACCTCATGGACTTTTCTCCCTTTCCAACACTAAGCATGAGTTTCATACTTGGATGCACGGCGAAATCGTTAACTCCACTTGGTTGTCCCCCAAGAGGAGCCGTATCACCACTGGGTCTACCCACGGCTTTCGGTATTGGCGCCTTGATAGTACTCAATAGACTCCAATCTCTTGTCCTCGTAATAGCAATTGTCGAATCTTCCGCAGAGCTCATCAGCTTACTTCGAGTGGGAAAATAGAGGGCGGTGATTGAGGAAGCATGATGAAGGAGTGAGCCAAGTTCGCGATTTTGTGGATTTTCCACAACGGCCTTGGCTGTAAGGGAGGGAATTACAGGAACAGATATCTTGGATGGAGGGTGTGCGGAGATGTGGTAAAGATTTATGCGCTCGTCAGTACTGCCGGTTGCGAGAATAATCTTTTGTGATTGTTTGGGCACTGGAGCAGAGGGAGGAGAGAGTGCCAAAGTTCGAATAGCAGAGGTATGCGCATTAAAAAGAAAGGTATCTGCGAATTGGACGTCATCGTCGGAACGAATTGTTGTGGTGATACCATGAAGGACTCGGTCGTAAGATCCAGCAATGATTTGAATAGTAGTAGGCTTGGAGGAATTGGCCTTCGGTGTTGCAGTTTGCTTCAATTTCTTTGTCGGTACTGACGGTGCTGCGACAGCAGGTACTGAATCAGTAGTATTTCTCTTTCTTTTTGCCATTTTGTGTTTTGAGACGTTTTTTTGTTAGGTTGATGAGAAGTCGGCGTTCGAGAAAAAAGCTCTTGGGAACTTTTGAGAGATAAAATTATTGCAGGGATTTACCACATGGGAATTACATCTTGCAAGCCGCTTTTAGAATAGAACACGCCGCTTTAGCAGAGCCATAGTCACCTGACAACGAATCCTCGTAGTTCCTCGATATTTTGAAAGGAACGAAAAAACATACGCGGCTCAAGCGTTCGACGTTACTTCAAGCTCTCGGTGCTCCTCATGTATTCTTTAGCCCGTTGAGCTCCAATGCATACATTCGAAGTTGCAACTGTTGCAAATCATGATTGAACAACAAGCAAAGACTGTCCAATTCGATCGTGTGAAAGTTCAATCGTTTCGAATGGTGATCAAGGAGTGGAATGGCAACATGAAATTGTATCAAGCATGGGCAAATTACTTTCTTGCTTTTTCTGGTTTTGATAGCTATAATTGCTTGGTAACTCAAGGTGTTTTGCTTACAGAGTTCCATCCGTAATTAACAATTGGACTTCACTGGCTTTGCACCTTTACATGCTGGGCAACGACCCAGGTACACAAGCTTTCATGTTCAGTGTATTTCGCATTTATACCCGCAGATATCTTCTTGAAGCATTGCATAAACTGGCCATGTCTTCTCAAATTCAATCAAAGCATCTTACGTTCAATGTTTAGCGGCATTCATATCTTACCTTGATCATAGGAACCTGCAGGCAACAATTGCTGTGTACTTCTCAGATCAGAGCATGTAGTCCTGTTCCGCACGATGGAATGGCCCATTAAGATCTTATAATACACTCAATCTGTCATGGCTGACCATAACTCTCATATACTGGTAGGCTGGCCAAACATTTCAAAGTAATGCTCATGTGCTACACCGTTCGTTTTGCTGCAAGACTACAACAACTTTCTGAATGTTTAATGTGAGTGCTCTTGGAAATATCTCACTAATATTACTACCCTTCTTGCCTCCCCCATATACCTGCAGAGACATTACATGTTTCAAAAATCGGTGAAGGTTTTTTCAATATGTCGGGCGAATATTCAAATGTGCCTAATTCATAAAAAAACTCAAACTCTAAATCGCATCTTCTCTCAGCCCCAATAGGTTTCACTGTGTATCTAGAACCCACAACATACAACAATTTACCGAGAGCTTTAGATGGAAGACTGCGAATTTCTTGTACCAAGTCTTTTCTTGAGTGTGCCAATAACAGTTATTTTTATACACCGGTTCTGTGTAACAGAATCTCAAAAAAGGATTTACGCTATGACTATGTTTCTTGCTAGCCAGCCTCCACAGAGTATCTTCGTGTACCTACTTAATCACTCATAAAACATACATTAAAACACTGACATTCTAACTTTGAACAATAGTATCAATATACATCTTATTCTTTAGAAAATTCGAAGATCAATGACAAGTCAAAGAAAGGGGTTTATATCTATTTGATAGTCAAATTTCAATAATAAATAACAACTATATAAGATTTGGTATCGGACACTGAAAAGAGATGAGAGAGCATTTGCTTTTGTTGTTCTGTTCTTTCCTTCCTGTCAGAGCCACAAAAATTTATGGCGTGCTGGGTATCTAGCCATCAAACCCATTTTTATGTCGATCGACCCAGCCCATTGTTGAACATATATCCACGTGCACATCGTAGTATTGGCAAAAGATTTTGGCTCAAGACGTGAGTTTGTGAAAGCTACAGAAAAGACAATCTCGAAAGTACATCTCCCAGCTTACTTACTGCGAACACCAGGGATGTAGCAAGAAGTCAAAGACAATCTCAGTGTTCTGGAGGGACCTGATCAAAGAGGCGACAGAGCGTCAAGTTCCTGCTGTCTCACTTGAGACCACGTTGAAGAGAAGAAGGAAAAAATTACGAGGCTTCCAATCGTTATCAGTGACATCATCATCACTACCTCATTTTCCTCTCAGCATTATACGATAGGTTACGAACAGATATTTGAATTCCACTCTGTTATACTTTTATCACGTGTAGCTACTAAATTAGCTTAGCTTAGATTAGCTAATCCTGGGCCAATATCTTGGCCCTTGGCACCATTCTAATTCTACATCTTTTATTCCACACCTAAACCTCACACACTCTTTGTCATTTTTTTCTAATAAAAAGTGTGCCATTGGGTTGTGGTGACGAATGAATGAATCTGAGCGACCCATTCCAATGAGGGGAACTCTGTTGTACGACAATTGGCAACCACTCATCATGACACTTGAGCCTATGATAAATGCATGAATTATTAAAACAAATCGAATCACTTGTGTCCTGTCATGTTCTGAGGGGAAAAAGACCTTTTATGCAAGAAATTTACCCCAGATAAAGTTTAGTCCAGTAGATCAACCTAGGATTGAGTCCCGTGCCTCCAGCCCGACCTCCGACTTATTTCTTGGCAAATATTTCATCTTAGACATGTGAAAGATTTAATAATGAATGAGTGAGCGAAATGAACATCTACCTATGACTTTGCTGCGTAACCTTTCTAACTTCTTCATAACAAAACATCCATATCCTCTCTATTACTCACCTAGTACTTTGAGAGTACTTTCCATATATTCCATTTATCTAAATCTCTCCTTTGTCAATTGTTGACCCTTAGAAGCTCAATTGAGGTATACCACGTAATTCACATTTGAGGTTCTCGTAACACATCGACAGGTAACTCTCCCAAACCTGGCAATTGCCCTTCGCATCTTCAGAGACATGTCAATCAGACTTCAGTCAATGTTGTACTCGAAGATAGACATTAGGCCAGCGATTAATATGTATATATTACACCTTGTTAACTGAAAGCAGCTCCTCCACATAAGCTGCTACTCATCACACCCGATAGATCTTGGGGAGATTGTATTTTCGACTGCTACCCGCATCAGTATTATTACGGAAACAGAATCCCAATGGCTGCCCCGCATATCTATCGCCCCAAGCCGCGTCGGCCTTTCGAGGCACATACTCTTACCCTCCAAACTCCAAGTCCTTCTCTTACCCCTTCATCCGAGTTATTTGAAGCACCAAGCCGCACTCATTCCGTTCTAGATTTGACGTCCTCTACACTGGGAGGGATATATGAAGCGACTGGTCATGGTGACTTTGAACCCGAGACGCCGTCCACACCATGGGGAACAGGCGCTGAAAGTCCTCAACGAGCACGCAGCCCTCCGGTCTATCGAAGACAATCTTTTGCCGACGCTCCTACCTCAAAGTCGGCTACTATATATTCCCGGGTTTTCCGGTCTGTGCTATTGTTTGGTTTAGGACTGTTGTACGGGTTACTTGTCAGGCATCTACATGATGACCGACATCTAGTACCACTTCAAGTTGAGACAATTATAAAACCCAGTCACGATTGGAAATATCTTGTATTTTGGGGCATAGCTGGGGTAGGATTAGGAAGTTTATTACCACTGTTTGACAAATTCTGGGAGGAAAGGGTGCAATTACCCTTTGAATCCTCTACTGGCACTGCATCGGAAGAAACAATCGATGCCAGTAATTCGCAGGGTATCCTTGGAGGAGACTGGATACTAGCAGTCAGAAGCGTGGGTGCTTTTATGGGAATTGCTTTTGCTATTGTATGTCCTATTTCCAGTTGTTGTGCTCAATTCCACTGACCATTCTCCAAGCGCAAACTACCTTGGGCATCCGATATGCAAGCTTCCTTAACCCTCGCCCTTGTGAACCCAGTCTTGTGGTACCTGATTGACCGCTCCAAACCTGGACTCGCATTTTCAGCCGCCGTTGGAGCTACTGGAAGTGTACTTCTGCTAGCCTCGAACTCAGACTTGATGCCCAGTCCGGCCGCTTCCATGAAGAACAATACTGCGTCTCATCAACCAGTTGATTACTCAGAGGCTGAATCCGAGAAACTAGTTACAAGGGGTAACCTCGAGGCTGGAATATGGATTGCTAGTGTTCTCTTTTGTAGCTGTGTTTGTTTTGGAAATATTGGACGAAGGCTAGCGCTCAACAGTGACAGAAGAAAAACCTCGTTTTTGAGTCAACAACCGAGAAGGAAGTCAATGGGACATGTGCAAGCTGCAAGACAATTGCGATAATACAAAAACCCAATCCTTTCTTTGGTCAATACCTGGATATGTAAAGATTGGGAAACAATTGGCAAGCATTTTGAAATAAACTTTCGGCTCTTTCCTACTTCTTCACAGTGTCTTCATTCGAGGAGGGAACATTGTTTTATGTGCTCAAGGAATGCTGAGCAATGTTTGTTATTTGGTAATATCAAGGAGCATTGAAACAATGATCTAATTCAACTCGATTTTCAGCCCAAGGCTGTAGATTAATTTCGATCAGGCTGCCGCCAAAATTGCAATGATGAGGAAAAGAACCACAATTTCGAATAGAATTCATAATTTGAGTTTGGAAACAGAAGGGAAAGAATCCAGCATTTGGCTTCTCGAAACAGAATGCCAACAATGCTACTTGATGAGGAAAGAACCATGGCCCTTAGCTTGATTCGGTGTTTAGTTTTCGAAGAAGGAAAGATATAAAGTACTTGATAAGTAACACCTAGCGATGATTTTCGGTATGATGAGTTTTGGGATAGCAGGCGTTAAGGAGGAGTGGAAAAGACGATATCCGGAAAGCACGCGTGTAAGGAAGAAGGGAATTTCAAATACCTATTCATTAGTAATACCAAGTTATTCTTGTTCCAATGATAGTTGTTCTTGACTATCCAGGTAGGTGTTGACTTCAATCCCTCCTAAAAACTCATGTCCATTGTTTACTAAATCAAATTTGAGAATCTAGTTACTCAGGTAGGTAAATCTGCCTATATTTGTATTCACACTGTTGTTATATTCACTTAACTAAATGCTCCATACGATCCAATTTTATTTTATATGGCTGACTTCACATTCTCAAGACCCTCACCTCACCTCGGTTACGATGCAACACAAAGATATCCACGAAACATTTTGTCAACACCTGAACATATAACTTTAGAAAATCTAACAGCTTCCCCCAATAATACCAGAACGAAAGACTTGATCATAACTCGAAACTCAAAAAGAAAACTTGTAAATCCAAGGGAGAAAGAAAATATGCTTTAAAGGCTATGACGCTTCTTTTGGGGAATCGCTTAAAATGCCCAAGAATCGCGGATTGCCTAATGTTTGATTGTCCTTCCCATGCAATTTTTGAACACAGTGATATAGCAATTTTGAACACCCATCTACTATCAATTCACAACCACCAGTTTTCATTTAATTAATTATTTGAAGCATCTCAGAATCTCCCATTAAGATCGGGACTATATCCGTTTTTTTTAAAAACGGATGTCGCGGTCGCGATATTATGAGCGAGGTTGGAGCGCCCATTCGCAATCGCCTTTTACGATCAAAGCAAGATGAAGCAAGGTAATTTAATTATTTGAATACTGGCAATTGATGTCGCATCATTTTCTGCATCGTTTGATATTAATTTTATGATACTAACCGTGGTAGTCGAATTAATTCGTCGAGAAAGAGGAAGCTTCGCGAGTTGTTCGCAGTTTGCGACAATGAGGGCCCTATACCTGTAATCCTTGGGATAGACTCCAATGCTCCACCAACCAATTCCGCAGAGGCACAATTTCTCGAGGCTTGTGATATCTTACAGTATGTACTATAATTCTACCATACAAAACATTGAAACTTAATGAAACCACTCTACAATTTCTGTAGATTTCACTGACATCATTTATAGAGATCGACCCTTCAATGAATCAAATCTACCCACCCGACGACAACTTCGATCCGATTCCTTGAAACAAAAATCAGCAACTCGCCAAGCGGGCAAGGAGCTTTCAATAAAAGATGCATCTCATAAAATAGAACATTACTTCAAAAGCGATGGTGCAATACCACGAAAGAGCCGCGGGTCTACTCCAATTGAAAATAGTAACGAAGGACGGAATATCGAGAGAAATGGCGATGACGTTAAGGCAACACTAGGGGCGGCGACTGGAGTTTCTATCCGCAGATGTCCCTCGATGAGCTTGCAGACAAATTCACCGACCGAGTCTTCTGCAGCCATTATTTCATCGGTGGAGGAGGCACCTGAAATAGCTAGTCACCCTGCGACTGCGGCGCAAATGGAAGATCAAGAGCATGATTTATCCAGTAGAAATTTCGAAGTCGACCGTATTGAGAGAGTTGTGGAAAGCCCCCCTGGAAGTCCTGGAGTGGATCCAAGGAAAGCAGTGCCTCCATCTGCTGAGGACGTTGCGAACCTGCAAGAGCCAGTTATCTTCGGCGCGAATGACGAGAATCATCATGCCGCAACTGCTCATTTACCACCGAAAGAAGTTCAAGAAGCCCGAATTGAGGAAATTGAGAAGGCACGCGAGCACACAGGGGATAAAGGCAGGCATTCAATTACAAATTCACTTAGGATTGCGGTGGATTTACCTTCTTCTCCAAGTTCGACAATAGATGCACATTCAACCACGACTCCTGCCCGGCACGATGTTTCTGCAGATACAAGTCCTGAGAATGACAATTCTCGGTATGAAGAGCCTGAGAACCCAGATGATGAGATCAATCTCAAAATTTCAACAGAGGCAAAGTCTAATCGCAAAGACATTGCTCAGGAAGATGAACACAACAGCAGACACAAGACTCAAAATGAACTCTCCGGTACTGAGACACTGGGTAGTAATTCAATGTCAGCTGATGCTCAACTTCGTATGGAGGACCAAGCCGCTGCCGGCTCAAAAATTGCTGCGGGTGCTGAGATAGCAGATTCTGAAGCTTCGAGTTCACAGGGTGTTGAAGATTCTAAACCACTGGCACAGGAAGACAAAAATGTACAAAAGAAAGTTGCCGTGGAAAGAACCGGCGACGACGCAAATATTTCGCTGCCAGATGAAAGTGTGGGAAGCGAAAAGATTCGTTCGATCCCCAAAGCAAACGAAGTACCAGATTCTGAGGGCGAAGGACAAACTCTAGTCGACGCTATGGATTTGGATGTGGCTACTGTCAAGGATTCATTTGGAAGTCAAACTACGCTAGACAGTGGCCCCGTCACAAATGCAAAAGAACCGACTTCTATCGAAGAGACGTCAATGCAGCTGCCCTCTGATTCTAAGTCGCCACCATCTGCAACATCTACTCCTACAACACGCAAAACACCGTCGTCAATACCCGCTCCTGTCCAGCCGCCAATCGAGCGTATGACGACAAGAGTCGCTTCAGGGGCAATCAGACACAAGTCCGTATCTGAGATCCTAGGCGAAACTCCAGCGCCAAACACCTCTCCTACTTCGGCAAGAAGTCCTACTGTCAAGCCAGATACCGGATCAGCCGTTGACTCTCCTTCGCGAGGAAGTACGCCGGGTTCCACTCGCAGCCTGCTCCAGAAATCGAAGGAGAAGAACCAAAGTAGACTTTCAACGGTCGTGTTTGCTAAAAAGCCTACTCCTGGTCCCAGAGTCAATGATGCTGCTTTGATGCCCAAGGGCGCCAGTTCACAGGCAGCACATGCAATATCTCCTTATGACGATTACTTTGCGTGTTTGTATCTCAATAGCCACAACACACAAAAAACAGGCTATCCGCCATTGGATGGACTACTACAAACCGCTCACAAAACTATCACGACGTCTAATGCTTTTGTGCCCATAACTGAGAATCAAACTACAAGGATTCTGAAGCGCATATATGGGCTCCAGAACACTTCTAAATGGTCTCTACGCCAACCTAAGCGGTCCGAAGAACCCATTCGGCCAACTACACACTGGGACGTACTACTTCAAGAAGCGAAATGGATGCGAACAGATTTTCGTGAAGAACGAAAGTGGAAAATGGCAGTGGCTAAGAACTTAGCATATGCTTGTGTCGAGTGGTTCGAAGCTAGTATTGAGGAACGAAAAATCCTACAAGTAAATACTACTCGCCCAGCATTAGTCCTGGCTGATGCCTCGAAAGATACTGAAATGGAGGATGAGACTAGTAAATCTCTTTCGCACTCCACTCCCGAATTGATCGCCTCTGCAGAATTTGATTCTCCCATGGACGATGTTGATGATGAACTTCGCCTCAGTCTTATAGACACTGTCAGCCCCACTGCGATCTTTGGTCTTCAGGATGACGATGTTGTCTTTGGATTGAGTAGATCTCCTGCAACTGATAAATTATTAGAGGAATTGCCCTTATATGGTGTGCCATTGAGTGTTCCTTGCAACGACTTGCCTACCTCTGAAGTTGATCCCGATCGCTTCTGGAGACGACCTGCGGTCGGTATCAGTAAGTACGTAGAGGGCAGAATGGAATTGAAGTTTCAAGGCCCCTCGCGGAAAAGGAGCCGATTTGAGTATGAAGAAGACAGTGAAGATGAAGACGCAGAAATGGACGAATCTAGGCGCGAGAAGTCTGTTTTACCACCTAAACAAACCAATATTGGGTTATTTGACCCCGCCAATAAGCATATCCGCGACCGCATTCATGCTGGACACCAATTCCGGCCACCTTCAGAATTTCCCATGCCAGTACAAAGCTTTTTCGAGAATCGCTCATGCTCACAGTGGACTTGTGCCGAGGACGACGAGTTAAGAAGACATGTACGAGAGTATGCGTACAACTGGTCGCTTATTTCCAACATGTTATCAAGTCGATCGCTATTTTCATCAGGTGCTGAGAGACGTACGCCTTGGGAATGTTTTGAACGATGGATAGCTTTAGAAGGACTACCCGTAGAAATGCAAAAGACCGCATACTTTAAGGCCTATAACAATAGAATGGAGGCAGCCCAACGAAATCTACAGGTGATGGCTGCTGAAGCTGCCCGGCAACCCATCGTGAATGGTCAACCAGTCCCACCTCGAAAGCGAACTACCACTACCCAACGTGTGGAGAAACGGAGAAACCAGAAACATTTAAGCTTGATCGATGCAATGAGAAGATTGGCGAAGAAACGCGAGAACTCCGCTCAAAAGCAGCAATTGACTGCCGCACAGGCCGCAGCAAGAAAGCCAGCTGAACAACCTCAGACATGGACACCTATCAAGACTCCTCAAGAATTTAGTCGTTTGAAACATGACCGAGAAGAGCAATACAAGAAAAGCATGGCTGCCTTCCAGCTACGACAAGAACAGGTTAGAAGAGTAAGTAGTCACGAGATTTTACTCAAAATTATGTAAACGTACTGACATCGCAATAGGAAGCACAAGCTCGTCAAAGAAATGCACTTCAGCAGCAGCAGGCTCACCCCAATGGCTTGCCCCAACAACGTGGTCCAGCTCTTCCGAACGGTCTCGTTCCTCCGATTGGACAACCAAATGGAAACGGTCATCTCGCCGTTCCTGGACAGAATAGACCTCGTCCTCTGCCTCCTCACATGGCTGGAGTTGGGCCGATGCCCAACAATCTTCGGATTCCACAAGCAATGTCTAATGGTGTTCCGCAAGCTCAAATGCAGGGAGGCTTGCCATTGAATCCTGCCCTAACACCTGAGCTTGCAGATGGCGCTCGTCGTGCTGCTTTGCAACAAAGGCAACAGCAACACATGCAGAGCATGGCGCAGCAGCAGAATAGTCCGCATCCAGGACAAGCGCAGAATTCCCCTCCACGAATGAATGGCATGCCTACGCAACCTGGATTCATGCCCAATAACATGAACTCCTACAACAACAACCATATCAATGGTATGGCTGGTTCTCCTGGTATATCAGCGCCCTCTCCAGCTCAAGCAGGCTCCCCTCGGCTAGACCTGCCACCTTCTGGACTTCCTAATGGTGGCTTGCCTCCAAATGTCCCGTTCAGTGAAATAGCACAAAACGTCAAAAAAGCTAATCCCAATGCGTCTCCAAACGAAATCCACAAATTGGTGGGTGAAAATATAGCTGCATATGCTAACAACAGGCATTTGCAGCAGCGAGGTTTGGTCCAACCTCCAAGCGGCATAGCAACCAGCGCTATGAACGCAGCGGCCGGTAACAACAGCATCGGAATGAATGGTCAAGGAGGACAGCGACCACCGCCAATCGGCATCGAGAATGCTAGTCCGCAGATGTATGCTCAAATGTTGAGTAATCATCATCAGCAGAGACTAATTACTCAGCAGGCACAACAACAGGCAGCACAACAGCAGCAGCAACAACACTCACAAGCCATCGTGAACCAAAATCGAGGGCAGGGGAATGGTAACGGGGCGCAACAAAATGGGGTAAAATAAAGCATTCCTTAATCGGTCGCGACGAAGGAAACGTTGTATGGATTTGGTTTGCCCTGTTAGGTGCCTTTGAAGGGATGATGACTGTAGAAGTATAAATAGATCTTGCTAAGCTCTTGCAAGAGTTTAAGAGCTTGCAATCAGCTTCTCTAGCTTTGCTAGCAGATGACTTATTGAATTAAGAAGTATTAATGAATATATGTACAATAACTGTACCTTGTACATTCCGCAAACCAAGCATGATTGAAGCTTTTTTTTCTCTACTTTCCTATCTTGAACTATTCCCTGAAGTTACTCATTTGTAAAAAGCATCTATAATCTAATTATTCCTCAATATTTTGGTTTCTGAAGCATTCTTATTCCTTTTTGAGTATTTTGAGTAATTAAAGGTTAATGAACAACGATTCCTAATAACTTTAAATTGATCCCGTTGCTGATGTTGTCCAGGTAGTCTTCCCACTCCAGTAGGAAGTGAAGTGTCTCAAACACATTTATTTTCCAGCCGATTCAATATTCCTCGTCATTGAAGGGTAACACATTGTACAAAAAGCAGCCGCACAGGTGTAGTGATGGCATCATATTCAATCAAATCAGTATTCCCAATCAACCCCACACAATGATCCGTGTGCCCTAGATTCACAGCCTCATTGCTTACCGGATCACTGTTCAATGCCGCCACATGAACCATCTTTAATAGATACAAGCAATGCATAATGTGGTACCCCTGAGTTGTCCAGACTGATTGTGCGAAAGGAATCTCATCCAAACTCAACGGCTGCGTCAGGGTTCCGTTGACAGGTTGTTCCTTTTCATCTACTGCCTGTCCGTCATCAACGTACCAGTCGAATGGTCCGTACTTTGCCGCCCAACGATCGGATTCTTCCTTGTCGAAACAAAGAGGGTGGATCCAGCCGAATGACATTATGTCCCACAGGCAGCCACGCTCCATAGCCTCTTGCGCTGAGATACCGCAGTGGGCGACCACTTGGGAGCCGCCTTGGGAAGGCGGCGGGGGAGTATTTGGTACAACTCCACTGTGGCTATCTACAAGAAGAGTAGTGAGAGTTACGGCTCCTAGCACGACTATGGCGAGGATGCTGGAGATGAAAAAGATTCTATGATGAGTTTGAGATCTTGTCTCTTTGTCAGATGAAGAAGAATCTTCTTCGTCTATTGATGCCGCAGATGATGAGGTGGTGCTAGCGAGCAGTTTTTCATCGCTTCCTTTATTCTCTTCGGAGTGGAATGCCCCTATCACACGATAAGTCAGATTTACATCCGATAAGTTTGTGCGGAAGTAGACTTTCCATACATCTTCTGAGTTTCAACACTACTTCTTCGAAATGAGCCATATTTTGAGTGACAAGCGGCTTTGTCTGTCGCGCACCAGGAATCTTGAAATCGATATACGAGATTTCAAAAAGTTGTAATAAGTGGCGATAGTGGTGCCCGAATCTATTGAGCTCAAGGATTACAGGGAGCAGGATTGCATGGAAATTTAGTATTCAACATAGAGTGTAGAACCAGTACCTGCAGTCATACAGAGAGCGAAAAAAATGGAATTTCGCATTGCTATACAAGTTGCATAGCCGTAGAAATGCTTGGAAAAACGGGTCCAGTAAAGTCCGTACAAAATCGGACATCCAAAATCGGGACGTGTGCGACATGAATTTTCCCCCTAATTTAATATGATGACTTGTTTCAGCAATATTTCTGCCAGTCGTCAAGGAAACCTTTAAACATTTTTTTGTTACCTGTGTGGAGAGTACTATCCGTGGTATTCACACAGTTCATGCTCATATAATTTCTAATTCTAGTTCAAGACTTTATGGGGGCTTATTTATATGGGTAGCCTCTTTTCATCGGATTACATCTCATGTTATAGCTTCGTGCTGTAATTTTATATAAGTCATGATAGAAGTTGTTTTGGGAATTTATGTAGTCCAATTATTTTGTGTACACCCAATGCATGCAAGCAAGCAATATCCAAGTCGGGATTGTATTTCAGAAGTCTGTGGAGTCGTAGCGGTTGCTTGGACGCTTTTACACAGACTGCTTTTGTACAAGCTATGATACCAGAGAATGGCTCAAAAATCCCTAGAATCATCATGGTCCAGCTCAAAAGCAACCTCGATCATAATTTCCTTGCACACCAAGCGGCACATATACCAGCCACAATTCCCGTCCTCAACACCCATCTCATGGCATCAGTGTCCCCAGTATGTGATTGTCTACATACCCAATAGATTAGAGCTCCCACTATAGCTGACAGCATCTGTGGTGTCGCAATGGCAATATTGTGTATAGCCATCGTTATTCCGGCCCTCGGTCTCAGGTTGGTTACACTCTCCAGACTAGCGGATTGATCTTCTGTGTCTGTTTCCAGGCTTCTTAAGTCTGTTATAGAAGGAGAAGCTATCTCGGCGGCAATCATGGCAAAAGGGGCCCATTGGGTAAGTGTCCAAGAAAAGCCCATCAGTGAGACAAATAATACACTTGTCATGAAACCGTCTCCTCCAAAGGTTATTCCAAACAGCGCGAAAGCCATGATAATATGTGAGATCATCCACACCCGGGGAAGTGTTAGGCGATTCACAAGTCGTTTTCGCAATGCCACGAAGATGCCAGATTCCGCACCTGTGGATCGCTCTTCCTTCTGCCACTCTAGTTCTGAGTTAGATGGAGAATCCGCATCGATGATGAGATAAGGCAGGCAAAGGTTAGTGATGAGTGCCATCATTGAGAAGACTAGCATTGCTAGAGTAGCATGTCGAATTGACTGCTGTCGAAGGCCGTTATAAAATTTGGTCGAGGGTGGACCCATTTTTTCAGAAAGAGTTTGAAATTCATCTACATCGAGGTGGTCAGTAATGGAAAATATTATAAGGAGTATATGTAGCTTACAAAGCCTACTTAGAAATCTTCATGTGGCCAGTAAGTCAGCTATGCGCCTTTTCAAGTGTGGCGCTGAACTTACAATACAATATTAAAAAGAAATGGGAACCAAGCCAACCAGGCGCAGAATTGGACTGCCATAATAGTTTTGATCGTGGGGGGTAGTGTTCTAATCGCTTTATATATCTCTACCCATATTTTCTGGAGGCCTGATTCTTCCGATCCATCATTATCAATATTTACCGCCTTCTCTTCAATCATTACAGACGTGATAGTGACAGTGATACCAAGCGAGATGGAGGCAATGAAGCAGAGACCCTTGAATTGAGGATTGGTCAACCAAGCAGGTCCTTTGGGCATTTCAATAAAAGCACAACCATATCCGATTGCACTTCCAATAATGACCGCAATACTTGCAAAAGAATTTGCTTTAGCTGCTTGAGAGCCTGGACATGCATCCACAATCAACGCCCTGATACTAGCCTGAACAGGTTGAATGGCGACATTCAGTAGCCATACCCCAGCGACTGCGAATACTTGAATGACAAGTTTTGCACCGAATCCATGATCTGATACTCCTAAGAGATTGCAGACTACTCGAACGGCCTCACTCGTCCAGGAAAGAGCGTTGATACAAGCTATTGTAGCGATTGTACCATATATCATGAAGGGTCTTCTTCGCCCCCATTTATGTGTACAATAGTCACTTTTGTAAGCTATATATGGTTGAAGCAGAGTGCCACAGATTGGTCCTGCTAGCCAGACCAGAGATACTACGGATGGTCGTAAGTCAAGGGAAATGAGATAACTCTGATGTAGTTAGTTTCTGACACTGTTTGACCATATGTAAAGAACTCATACAGATCCTTGGGCCATCACTGTTGCCCAAACAACCTGAAGCCTATAGAAAATTAGTTGAAGGAATATAAAGCGTTCAGTGATATATACCGACCCTCCTATACATATGGTAAGGCAGAGCAAATATAACTTGCCACGACTTGGAACTTCCTCATCTTCTCGCCATCTTCGAATCACCGTAGTTGATGATCTAACTTGTTCGTAATGATGAGGCATTCTATTAATGGTATCGGGTATTAATGTGTAGTAAGGAAGATTTTTCAACGAGCAAATGTCAAAAAATCAAGCATGTCGCAAGAAACGTACAAAACACCCGGACAACTGAAGAGAAGTCGCCCTCGAAAGATCCACACTGGAGTGACTCAAAATGATTAGAGAGAGCCACCGAATCATTTTTCTTTCCTTGGTTTGGTTGGCTGTACACTGTAGCGATAGATTTTGTCCAAAATTCGGGCGCAGAGATGTCCGAAAATGGTCGGGACAGTTCCCCACCCGAAGCCACCAAACCACAAACACAACAATTTTCCGATTCTGTAATATAAGCGAATTTTATCACTACTTTGGTACCATGTTGTCGTCTTATTTTTGAGATAAGCGTATTTCTCTGGTGCCTTTGAGATTGTTAGTTTTGTTGTTTTGGCACTTCTCTTACGGATCCACTTCAATCGAACTTCAAGTCAGAATGAGTAAATTGCATCTTTCTCCGTTGTTGAAATCTGCTAAGATATTATTTTTAGAACCAATTCATGATGATGAAATGGGAGAGGTTAAGCTCTATGATCCCGTTCCCATGGGCGACGATGATGATGAAGAAGGCCCGATAATGGAAACCCCCATGCATTACCGGGCACGAAAGCAAAGTCTCAGCGTGATCTTACAAGAATTCATTCAAGCACCAAAGTCACTCCTCATTTCTGGAGTCCTCGCCACACTGTGTATACTCATCCTCACCATCTCGAGCTTTACAATCCATACACCAGGCTCATTTGTGAGAATCCGGACTCTGTCACAACAGAACTCTCTTCAGCCCGATTTTGTTGATGCGGGTGAAGGGCCTTCGCCTGAATTAGGAGGGACTAAAAGATGTGGAAGTTTTCCAAGTCAAGCCGAGCAATACGGTTGCGTTTTTGATCTCATGAACTACGGGTTCACGGCTCCAGAGTGTTTCTACCAAGACTTGTACGAAGAAGCGCTGGCCACCGGACCATGGCCATGGTATATCGGGGAAAACCTTACACTTGCATTGCCACAGGATGTTGAGATTCTCAAGCGATCTGTCGAGACATGGACTCAAATAAGATATCATTATCAGCACTGCGTGTACACGATGAAAATAATAGCGCGAGCAGTGGATGATGATGATATTCTTGTTCCACAGGAAATCGCGAGGGATTACCACAGGAATCATTGTGAGAATCTTGTAGGCAGGTATGAGGCTGGAGAATGGGGAACTGGCGAGGTAATGAACACCTGGATTAGGATGTTGTACAATCCGTGTGTAAGGCTGAGCGAGATTAACAATGAAGATGTAGGGTATGCTTAAATTATCCAGTCATGAATCTGGAATGACTTTGAGTAAACTTTCATCAAAGAGTCAAGGTCTGGAACGCTGATATTCATGTATTTATTCCAAATTTCTATCTATCCATTATCAAAATTAGAAGCTTCCCTTGAGAAATACTTTCCATATCACGCTGCAACACTCCGATACATAATCGGTGGTTTCTCGTCATTATCCCGTGACTCTACTTGGGAGATGGTCTAATAAGCCAAGAATGAACGTAGGGTGATGTAGTGCCGTATCTTGAATCATCCTGAACAAGAGTGCGCACAAATTGAAAGCCATGTTCTTCATACAATCTTTGTCCAGCCGGACTTGCCATTACAATTGATTTTAAGCCCGCTTCATCTACAACTCTGAGAGCTTGATTCAACATCATCGATGCTACTCCATGGTGTTGGTGAGCAGGATGAGTCGTCATGTAATCCACAGCTTTTCGGAGTTAGAAAGTCATATTTCCTTTGCATTATAGACTTTTATCAAACATACCAAAACAAGAACCACTATCTTTCAAAATCTCTTCCTCCACTTCTGCAAGAGGGTTCCCAAACTCGGAAGCAAACGCATAATCCATTCCTCTTATCTTTCCATTGTCTGTGACACTCTTAAACTTTCTTTCATATTCCGCCAATTCCTCAGAACTAGGTTCAGAAATCTGGGCTTCGGGCCATATCTGGGTATGAGTCTCGGGTAAAATATATCGCGAATACGCTACTATTTCCCCAGAATCTGCATCAACAACTTTGAGGTGCCGTTTGACGCTCCGGCCGCTGATGAAATTCCACGGCAAGCGCTCACTACAATCAGAAATTATTTGCTCGAGTGAAATGTTGCTTTTTGCCCATAGAACTTTCCAGTGCTCATCTTGCCACCAGGCGCTCATCATCGCCTCTGCTAGACCTGGTGCATCGCTTGTAGATACGTATTGCACGGCGTATGACATTTTGCGAATGTTGTTTAACAAGGTATAGAAAAATGCTGTTTGATTGCTCAATTTTCCACCTTGAACAGAAGGAGTTGTTCCGCAGCAGTCACATGTATGTTTCTTGAGCTCACGAAATGAGAGGGGTGGTCGAAATAGGCTCCGAAAGCTTTCGGGTGGTTGTTAGTGCGACAGCCCCACTTTAATTGACTTCTAAGCCCGATATGTAGATCTAGAGTTTCCTTTCTATATTCTTCGAATTTTTGTAGAGGGAATTAATTCTTGTTTCGATTTATTTCTTTGGTCTATCAATCGGATAACTATTCTTGCCCAACTTGATTACCATCAAGTGTAGAAATGGCCCCAAAAGCTCTTGGAACGGCGGTTGTTGGCAAGGTCAAGAATGGTGAGTATTGCATTTGCGCTTAAGTGTTTCATATTGGCAAGGCTAACCGATTCCTATAGCGCTAGATTATGATTCTCACACATACTCTGTAACTCCTAATGGGGAGGATGAAAGCTTTCTTTCCTTGGGTGGAATGGGTCTATCCGGGGACGACAACTACGACACAGAAAAGCTTTCCAAACAGCAAGAGTACCTAGGAAGCTCATCACGACGCTGGTGGAATTGCTCTACCGTCATTGCCATAGTATCAAGTATTCTAGCAGCCACTCTTCTTTTTGCTCTTGCTGCACTGCTCGACCGAAAACCAACTATCAACTATATCCCAGCAATCACGCCTGATCTGAAACCAGGAGGATGGCCCTTAGTAGAAGCCGGCGACACCATCATCGTAGACTGTGGAAATAGTCCAGCAGAGGCCCTAGAAAAAGGCTGCGTATGGGATCTCATGTCTTTTTCATGGACACATCCCGCATGCTACAACAAGAACATCTCGGATGAATTTCTAGAGTTATATGGGCCGTGGAAATGGTATTCAAATACCAATAAAAAACCAGGATACGAGCTCACTGAAAATGAGTTGCCATGGGTTACCTCTGTGACCGCGGAGACCGATATTCCAATGGTGTGGACACAGGAGCACTACCACATTGCTCATTGCGCTTACATTTTCAAGCTTTTGCACATTGCTGTGAGTGACTCGAATTTCTGAACTTCTGAATGAATGCTGACGGTTATGATAGGCAATGAGTGGACACCTTGTTACAAATGAAGGGATAGGAATGTTCCATACGGACCATTGTGTTAGTGTATTCTTGGACCCTGAGAGAGTAGAGTTTGAGAAGGTCACCACAAGAGTTCAATTGCTTTTTGGAAAGTGTGTTAGAATTAGAGATATTAATTAATATGTAGTGCAAGGAAATCACATCATATTATAGTAACTTTTGGTTAACCGATTTCAACTTTCAATTTCATTCTGATTTATCTTTCGATGTGGATGTCATGTAATATCGTCTAATCTTGTCTTCCTCGAAATGGATGCACTCGTACTATGTAGGACTCGAGATAACTGTCTATAATTTCAAGAAAAAGAAATGGTTTGGCACACATTAAATTGTGAGCAATGAATCCAACATCTTTCACACGTGCTCACAAAAACCGAAAGCTCCTTTCGATTGACCCATAATATACAGAACATAACATCAAAAGTTCAGAACCTGAACCTAAACTAAGACCACTACTCTAGTCTCTCTGGCGGAGAGTACATGAAATAATATTATGTAATATATCTTCGGTCCCAAAGCTCATGTCCGAGAGTGTTCGGGCAACATCAAACGGGTGGCTTTGTACCAAGTGCCTATCAGCATCCAATTCTTTTGCCTTCGATCTGATTATAGCTCCCACAATCTTACACTCGTGATTTTCAAATCACCTATACCATCCAATCTTTTGTGCTTATAGATCGCCCACAGATTTAACTTCAAATGATGGCCTACCCAGGAAAGCCAAAATACACACTTCTCAGCAGAATGTACGGCGAAAGAAATGCAGACAAAGGCGAAGAAGATGCACCTTTCATCTCAACCGGAAATGGCACAAGTAGACACAGAATCCGGACCTCTCGAATTCAGTTGGGTCTTCAAATTGGCACGTTCTTCTTCACAGCAGTCATCCTCGTTCTCTATTTCATCAACGGCTCATCATTCCTCAAATATCACTCCGTTAGTGGAGATGGTGTTCTGCCCGTAGGCATGTCCCGCGTCAATCCCTCTACGGCGCATAAACTCCAACCTTGCGGCCTCGACTCTGAAACTGCAAAGGCGAATGGCTGTATCTTTGATTTGATGACCATGGCTTGGCTCCATCGAGACTGCTACGATGATGAACTGTCTGAGGAGTTCCTTGAGGTGGCTTCAGAGCCATTTTTCTACGATATGGAGGGAACAAAACCGGTGAAGGATTATCAAGAGTTGTCCGAGGTTAAGGTGATGGTTTGGACCACGAGAAAATACCATATCTTTCATTGTTCCTATGGGTGGAGGATGATGCATCGATCATTGCTGAGAGGAGGAGTTCTGGAATCTGGATTGTCATCTTACCATCACACAGAGCAGTCAGTACAACCCCTTCACTGACTTTGCACTCCAAAACTTCTAGTTCCTCATTTCCTCCTTTTACCTTCATTAAAAGGCTTTACTAACTCCCCCGATCCTGCAGTTGTACGGATCAGTTGATGAATCAGACTGCATCCTTTGATACAGTTATGACTAGGATCAATATCGACTTTCCAGATTGCTGAAGGGTTGGGTTTAAGACTGCTCGCAGGTATCAAGCTGTATAGCTGGGTCAGGATTCAAACGTAGCAGAGTTCATACAATAGATAGTGCATCTATATAATAATTCAATCCTATCATAAAGAACTTTCGGAGCCAGTCAACAGTAAAGAACACCTGTCACGTGATATTGGAGAGATTTATATCATTCTCTCCTTGAAAGAGATCATGTGAGCTTGGAGGTTCAGTGCTTCAATCCATCTGCTAACATTTCCGTTCCCAGAACGGCTACAAACATTTGCCTATGACCTCATGCTTGTGCTCTGGGGGAATTTACTGTTCGGAATGAGTCAGGCTTATCAAAAGGAATGAATTTTCGAATTAGATTCAAGAAATGAAGTGGACCCGGATCCGGGACATTGAATAGAGTCAAAACCTTAAATCTCTCCTTGGTGAAATGTAGTACGTACCTTGTCTCCCTTGACCAGCCTGTCCCAAATTTAACTTTGCACTGTGGACACTAGATAGTATCTGAACGTTGAGATCGAGATACTGATCTATCTTCTACGTGTCTACTAGCAAGCAGTGGTTGCAGTACGCATAAAGAGTAGGAAGATCGAATGCATAGATCCTTCACGAGACTCCTCAGATAAGGGAATGCAACGGTCGCAATTCATATTTGAGGGATTTCTATCCCACCAACAAGAGCGAGTCAAGTCAAGCAGAGTTACAAATCAGAGCGAACGTTTGTACTACGTGAGGTACGTGAAGAAAAATAGATGGAACGCATGCACGGGCCATTAACTCTAATTCAAGCGACCCCGGCAATCCTAGAGCTTACTAGTTCGTACATATACGATGATTGAATAAGTAAGTATTATAAAACACACCAAAAAGCAACTATACTTTTCCCTATATATAAAGACTTTAATCAATACAAATACTATACTCTTTTAAAATTAATATAATGAATTTTAATATATTAAAATATTATAATGAAATATTTGAATATATTTAATTATATTAAAATCTTAATGTAGTTTAATACCGAGTGGCTTATATCATTAAATAGCCCATTTCAAAATAGACCAAAATTAATCATTTTTGAATATTTCTATTTTAATAACTAATTATTATTTTTGAAAAATAAAAGAATATAAAATTATAATAAAAATTCAATTTCTTAAAAATCTATTTTTTTTATAAATGTTTTTATTATATTCAATAAAAAATTAAAATTATTATAATTTTTATTACCAAAAATTTATTTTAATAATAATTCTTATATTAATTCAAATTTTCAAAAAAAGATTAGATTTTTATAACATTTTTATAATTAAATTTTATATATTTAATTTTCAAAAAATTCTATTAATAAATAAAAAAAGTATATAATTATATATAAACGAATTTTGTATATATTTGAAATAGGCTATTCAATGATATAGGCCACTTGGTATTAAACTACATTATTTATTTTGATATCCCAGCTATATGTGGGGTTAATTAGTGTTTTACACCACTTACCCATTCAACCATTGTACGAATTTGTGGTTCTCAATACAACTAAATATATGCAGGAAAACGTGGCCATGAGCTGAGCTGCACTATCACAAGAACCCCTCCTTCTGAACCAATTCTGTACTCGGAAATCCTGAAGATCACACCATGCTCACATGTGTACGCGTGCTACATGCGGAGTTCAGCCGTTGAAGATTGGCCTAAAAGATAAGCTTAGGTAGCAGTACAAGCTTCTTCAAGACTGATGTTTAATGTACACGATATCTGCAATGCACATATCCGACGAAAATGCGACGACAAAGCTAAATGCTTTCGTGAATAGTCCTGACAAAATCGGTGCGTGAAGATTCGGGACCTTCAAATTCGGTGTATGCAAGAGATGCATCGCCAATGTTGCGCGCCATTCGCGGTAGCACAGGATAAGCTGAAGTTGCGTATCCTAATGTCGCTTTTCCGAATCTCGAGATAGTCTCTACGAATCGGTTTCGGTCCCGAAGGATTAACCCAAGTTCTTAATGGCCCTTATACTATTCCATGTGCTTTTGAAGATTTGTAGGAATGTTCTGTCTCCTAGCTAGCCTAACTTCATTCTCTCATATTGCTATTGACAATGGCGATACCTGAATCTGATATTACCACCGCCGGATCTCAACAATCTTTGGCAGAGAAGCACTCAACCCGGTCCCAATGGGGCTCGACGTCGGATGAATTCGACAACCAAAAAAGCTATGATCGCGGCAGTGAAGACGCCATGAGCGAGGAAACTCTTCAAGGCATGCCCTTTGAAGAGGAGACATCGGCTATGTCCAAGCTTCACCATGGGCTAAAATCCCTTGCTATTACTCTTTTGCCGAGCCCAATTTCAAGATTCTGCGGCTACAAAGTCGAAGTCCCTACACGCCAGAGTCCAACAGCATACCTAGATGGTATGCGAGGAGTTGCTTCATTTTGTGTTTATCTGGAGCACGTCGCTATGAAGTTCCATCCTTTGATGTTTGAGGAATATGGAGATCATCCATATTTCTGGCAACTACCCATCATCCGTCTTGCTTTCTCTGGCAGTGTAATGGTTGCTATATTTTTTGTTATTTCTGGCTTTGCTCTGGCGCTTCGACCATTGGAGTTGATCTATGAGAAAGATTGGGAGCGACTTTACCGTTCATTATCTTCTGCCACATTTCGAAGAGCCTTTCGCATAGTGCTTCCGCCGATGGCAGTCACGTTTGTGATAATGTTGCTCACCAGAACACACGTGTTTGATGCCAAATACTCGGGAACGGTGGATATGGACCTTGGCGGCCCGATCTACCAAGAAACATTCTTACTTCAATTTGTGGACTGGCTGGAATATGTGTTCAGCAAGCTGCTATACCCTTATGAGTGGACAGTATCACTTCACAACGTGACGAAGTCTGAATATGCGGCACCTCTGTACACCATACCAAAAGAACTATGGTGTTCTTTCCTACTCTTCATTACACTCACTGGCCTGGGAAGGTTGAGACCAGTCGTTCGTCTTGGATTCACTTTGTTCTTGATCTACTATGCATTTTGGTGCATGCGATATGATATTTCTTGCTTCCTTTGCGGAATGCTTATCGCTGAGCATCACGTTCGTAAAGCAAGATCCGTAGTTGCACCCAAATCCATGAGCAGAAAATTATGGTCTGCCCTGGGATGGTCTGCAGTCTTGTTTGCTGGTTTATGGTTGGCTTCGATTCCTCACATCCATGGGTCGTATGGATCAACTACCTTCGGGTTCCAAACAATCTCGGCTATCATTTCTTGGGAATCCAATGTATTCGTAGTTGGATCCATCCTCATTGTATGGGCAATCTCGAACTTACCCCTCCTCCAAAAAATCTTTACCTCTCCAATTCCTCGATATTTGGGCCAGATTTCGTTTGGTTTGTATTTGGTACATTGGCCAATCCTTGCCTCTTGGGGCTGGCGACTTCAGCCAGCCATCTGGAAGCTCACTGGCAATGACACTGACTTCAATCACGCATTTGGATTTACAATATCATTCATCTGCATTACACCGGTGGTTATATTTTTTGGGGACCTATTTTGGCGGGTTGTGGACCTAGGATCAATCAAACTCGCGAAGCAATTGGAGGCTGATCTGATTGTTCAAACTATATAGATATCTATTCAGATAGATTCTAACAATGAATAAAATGACGCTCGTACAAATTTGCTAATTTCGACTGTTTTAAGTGCTCATAAATTCAAAAGTCTGTAAATATGTGATCTGGACGATAGCCCAGTACTTGGAGTATTACCTCAAACCGCGAATTTAATATTGCGATCACGTTAGCTGTGCGCGACTAGTGTAAATTCTACAATATCTTAAACCTCCAGCTATCTATGGATTCTGTTTGGAGTCTTTGAACTGGTCTAAAAATCTATACGAACTGAAGTATGCTTGGCTGTAGATATTTCAGAAAAGAGACGTGAACAATAAAATCTCGGGCGCTCCGAAATGACGATATGGTCTTGGTAGAACTACCTAGTAAAGTGCGATTTCCGAGCCAGGATTTGACTGAGTAATGAGACAAGGTATTCTGGCACTTCAAAAGACCTCTTCAGGGGGATATCTTACAGCGCGATTAGTAACAGTCCGAGATTGGCCACACCCAGACAGAAATCGGGCCCGAAATTCCAACCGAACAAACTCGATGAGATGTTGAAACGATCACCGCTTTTCCACGTGGGAAGAATCAATTACGGGAATAGCCTCAAACCGAATATCTGAGGTAGACTGACTTGAAACAACATCCCCGAAAGTATTTGCGCAGACCCATTCTCTGTCGCGGTCTGCAGTTAGCCAGAACAAAATCTGGTGTCTAGAAATCGGTCTTTGAAGCAAGTCATTGAGTTGAGCACGACGATTGGAAACGATCTGTGCAGTATATATACATTTAAATTATCTGTTTGTGAAAGAACAATCATACTCATCAACAAGCTGTTACTTCAATCTCAACTATCATCAACATCCCATAATCATATATTCAGTATGAAGGTTTCCCAGATCCTCGCCATTGTGGCATTTGTCACCAGTGTTGCAGCTGCTCCAGTTTCAGGTAAGTAACTACTCACTGCCTTTTTATAGATATTAATCTAACTGATACCTACTAGTCGAAGCAAGAGATGTTTTGCAAGCTCGAGAGCCAACCAAGCTCAAGGTTGACCGCAACGCTGAGCCAGAACCCACAAAGCTCAAGGTTGACCGTCGCACCAAGCTCAAGGTCGACAGAAACGCTGAGCCGGAACCTACGAAACTTAAGGTAGACAGAAACGCTGAGCCAGAGCCTACAAAACTCAAGGTCGATAGAAACGCTGAAGCCGAGCCAACAAAGCTTAAGGTCGACCGTCGTACCAAGCTTAAGGTAGATAGAAATGCTGAGCCAGAACCCACCAAGCTCAAGGTCGACAGAAACGCTGAACCAGAACCCACTAAGCTCAAGGTTGACCGTAATGCTGAGGCAGAGCCCACCAAACTCAAGGTCGATCGCAATGCCGAGGCAGAACCCACCAAGCTCAAGGTCGACAGAAATGCTGAACCAAAGCCCACCAAACTCAAGGTTGACCGCAATGCTGAGGCAGAACCCACCAAGCTCAAGGTGGATTAGAACTGCTCAAATAATCTATGCCAATTGTAGGTAAGAACCCGAGCCGTTCTCGAGTTTTTTACTGACCCTGGACAGTGCTCAGTGCTATCTCCTAGCGGATTCGAAGCTAGAGCCTTTTAGTGACTGTCAACAAGGGCTTCAAACAAATGACATGATGTGGGGAAATGGATCACCGGTGTGACAGTGTGGGAATGATGTGCTGGTGTTGAACTTAGCCACTCCTTTAACAGAGTTTTGCCTCCTCATTGTGTCGTAGCTCATAGAAATGAATCTCGTTGTTTGTACATTCTTTTGAACACCGGTGATAAATGTGATAAATTTGATTCAGTGCCCGAAAATCGAAAAAATGAGTGATTCCACCAAAGAGAGTCTAAAATTGAGTGTATCTGTAAGAAAGCTCGATATCAAACTGGAATTTCAAAGAACACACTAGGTCTGAGAATCCTCGAAAAATTCCGTGTCAAACTATTGGACATTCAAAGATCTTGCATTTAGAATCTAGATGGAGTTTAAATCTGGCATCTCGCCATTGGTCGAATCCTGCTTACGAGTCTCCCGTCCACCCTTTCTAAGATCATTTGTTTTTCGGTGAATTCACGGAAATGCACGTTGCTGAATCCACAAGTTGTCTAGTAGTGCCGTGTTTGGGGTGAACTGGGTTACCCCAAGCAGGGACTACGAATTTAAGCTTCAATTAGATTATTTTTAAATGGGGCAAAAGGCTTAAACGAAATAGAACTTTCTATCAGAGGATATCGGTATCAGATAAGATCACAGCAAAACCTCTCTATAAGGATCTTCTATATAAGAATATCCTCTTCATAGTGAATTCCTTTTCGGTTTTTTTTTTCAGAGTTGAAACATGGCCTTAATCGACCATTAATCTTGAAATCTCTTTACGAGGATATCCTTAAGATTTCAAGGTTGTGGGCTCATATATTCTTATTGGCTCAGCAGAATCATCCGGATTTGAGTCAGCTTATAGCCAGTTCTAGTCGATTTCAAGTGAAGCAGAAAATTGCAGAAATGCAACCCGATCGGAGCTAATCGAGACCAAAATATTACTGAGTTGGAATTGGTCGGGTAACTTCTTATAGGGATTTCTGAAATTATCCTCAAAAAATCGCTTAAAAAGTATCCCTATTGAGAGGGTTTGCAGTAATGTATCAAGAAAAAGCTCTGAAGCTTCCTGCGACCCTAACCCATGTGTGTTCATCCATTCAATGCCTACCTACTTAGGGCAAATAAATTCACTAAAAGAAAACGTCAAGTTGATTGATATTGTGAAAACGTGTTTAGTTCAACTTTTTAACTATAACTTCCAATTGCAATTGTGGCTAAAGTATTGACAGCCATCCACGTGATACAATATGCCAGGGAGGATGCTACATTCATTTACTTTGAACTTCCTTGGCTCTCCTCCGTCGGTAGAGTAGATCCGAAGCTCGTGATGTACCGGTGTTTCGAAGGCCAAGCTCAAAGGATTCATCGATTTCGTTACCGAGACGACTGAACTGCCGTTCTACAAGGGATTTCGTGATCAGCCACAATGCAATGCACTGAGTAACGAACACTTTTGATGACCTCCCCTCCCGCCCCCCCCCCGCACAGTTCTTACAGACTCGTAAAAATGACGTTACTTGTCACTGGTAGTTAATGGTGATTGTGCAATCGCTTCGGGTATATCCTAAACAAGGGATAAGAAGAATGAGGAAAATGAGGAGACCAATCACCCAGTAAAATCCTTTGGCCCGATAGTATTACCCAGATATAGATAACAGTTTCGGCGCCCGATTGTTAATTTGGGAAGTTGCTTCCTTTGCAAGCCGCGGCCATATACCCCACCATAAGCGGCACAAAGTGGAGACTGGAGTAACTGCAGAGCATTGGCGAATTGGGCTCTTGGGGTATGATAAGCAATACCGGTACGATACTGGTACACGACCCCGGGCCAGTGATTAGTGATTGGAGTGGTGTGAGTTAGTATTATATATTACATACAGTACATTAGTACAAACAAATGAGTGGATTATCCACTGTGATATGTATGTATAAGCGGTATTATATAATACTGGCAACATATTGAGTCTCAGTATTTCTCTATGCTTGTAGTGATATTCAATATTCAGTCTGAAGTCGAATAATTCTAGTGACACAGATATCAATGATACTTATTGCAATACGTGATTATAATGCGCACGTATTATCACAGTGGGTCGTATGCAGAACACGCCGTATACTAACCCAATGACTGCCCGGGGGACATCGGCAGGATTATAGTGTGCAGACTATTCACATAAATCAAACTAAGTTCTGACTGCTTTTCTTCAGCTGCCCATTAGAGTTAATCATGGCGGCTCGCATGGTAGATGCATATATGGTGTTGCGTGCAGTACTATCTCTGGTGGCCAGTTATTCGTATTCAATGATCAACTTATTCAATTCTTGTTTCAACATCGTTAATCCCATCTTCCCATCCTTCAAGAATTAGACCTTCGGTAAGATTTTGAACACTTTTAGTAAGATAAAGGCGTTCTACAGGGAGCATGAAAGCGGTGTAAAGGATGGGTTTTATGGTCATAGGGTAACACCTGGAAACTGGTGAAATGTTTCTCCGAGCTTCTATAACAAGTCAGATGGCGCCACTAGCTATATTCCATGACTACTGCCTCATTCGAGTTCAATTACCAATTTCTTATCATATCAATCATTTTCTACAGTATGCCTGAACAGTGCAAATTCCCAAGTGGAAGCAGTTCTAATTCTTGCGATCAATGTTTCCGAACGAAGCAGAGTTGCTCTAAGCATCCACTTCAATGTCAAAGATGCGCTGAACTAGACAGCTCCTGCACGTATAGGTAGATACTTCAGCTTTTATCCATTATTTTTGGTTGTACCTCATGACTTACAAAATCGTTTAGCTTTGGAAAGTTTATGGGAAGACCCAAGAGAAACTTCAAGAGCCGTCGGCAGTTCCAAAATGAGACAAAAGACGGCCCTGATCAGCTAGAAACTTCGACTCATGATGATAACTCAAACATCTCATCGGAAGGTTGGTCTGAACTCACTCTCAAGACTGAATGCACTGACATAAGACGGACTAGGTCCTGAAGGGGTACAAAATTTGACCATTTTACCAACTTCAATGACATCAGATGGCAAGTTCACTTCTCTTGAAACAGAAGCAAAGCTAACATAGATAGAAATAGAATCATCAGACTGGTGGCAATACTCTCATGAAAACAAGGAAACAATCAATTATCCTTTCAGTACGGATGGTGTTGAAAATTCTTCTGCAAAGCGAGATCGATCTCAGCAAACAGCGCCCAAAAAGGCCACGAAGACCTCCGCTTGTGATCAATGCTATCGATTCAAAGTAAAATGTACAAGAGAGCCAGATTGCTGTCAAAGATGTAGTCTAAGTGGTAACTCATGCACCTACAGTGCTGCCATCGACCTGGAGCGATCCCGAAAAAGATCAGCTCCACCAACAACAGAGTCACCTAAAAAGAAAATTTCTTTCTCACCACAGACCAAGCCAGCTAGAGGCACAGATAGTAAGTAAACTTTCCACTCTCAGGAATTATGGACTTACAATTCTTAGGCATTAGCTCAAGTCTCACTACGGCGGACTCGAATTGCAACGAGACTGAAAATTTCTGTTTGTATATTTTAGCTTCATGTGTTTATTTCAGGCTGACTCTTCCAGGTCACAAAGATTTGGTAACGCTTCAACCACAGTCAAGATATCAAAAGCACAATAGATCAGTCTCCGCGCCTGAGATCCCTACTTCTTGTCAGCCAATTTCGGCTCTACATGAACCGGCTCATGTCATAGATGAGTGTGACATTTCTTTTCACGAGTCTTCTCACTACTATAGCGATAGTATTCTCAGTATGCCGCCACTAGATATATTTTTTGATAGTGAGAACCCTCCACATGATATTAACTTCAATATCGGCGGGGATGAAAATCATGAGCAATCGCACGGAGTTGAAGTACCTTCTAAAGAAAACAATCTTGACCCTACGTTGGCAGACGGACTTTCAGGTGGTTGTAACTGCCTTCAATCTGCACTTTTGAGTCTCTCAAATTTGCATGCTGTCGTCTGCGGAAGTCTCAATTCATCGTTAGATGGCATATTTGCTGCAGCACGAAATGGTCTACTCATTTGCGAAACTCTAACCTTAGCCCAGTGCTCTTCTTGCGAGCTCAGTTCCACTTCAACATTGTTGATGCTTTGCGTGGCGATTTTACAGCAAGTATACAATGCTTACGAGTTGCTTGCCAATCCTGCCGGCCTATCCACGGAGGGCTTGAACGGGGCTGACAAGAAAGTGACATTGAGCATAAAAATTGGAGAAATGGAGTTCACTGATATTGGACATAATCCAAGCATTTTGAACTCCATTCTCAAGACTGAAAAGGCGAAAGCAGAGAGGATCTGTGTGGAGCTAGAGAAAACGGTCACAAATGCTCAATGCAGGGATTCTGCTGGAGTAGGAAAGGAAGAGACTATGGTGCGCGAAGGATTGGTTAGCTTGATTGAGATTTTCCGTGGGCGGTTTATTACTGAAGTGGCGTAGAATCAGCAATGATATAGTCATCTTACAGAAATTATTAGAAACTTTTCTATCAGCGTCCCATGTTTTGACGATACTGGTCCAATCGCTAGAACGGAGTTGATGTGTACCACAATCTTCATCTGCGTATAAAACTATATTTTTTACTCCTTTAGGTGGCTTGATACCAGAATTGGCCCTTGTGATGTCTTTCATTTACCTGTGAAACTGGAAATGCTTAGCAAAAATATGATCGATTTACCTGAAGCTATAGCAAAATATAGTGGTCCAGTTAATTGTGTTGGATATCCGATGATCGCTCTAACAACAAAATCTGGAATATTCGTCCTTGACATGGTAGTATGGAGAGGAATTAGTTCTTAAGGACCAACACCAAACACCTTGATTGATTTTCTCCGTAAAACAAATTCTATCGTGGGTTTACCATCTAAAAAGCTCTAGTTGCCTACTGACCAGCTCAATCAAAGGCTTAACTCATCCTCAGAGCTCCACGTATCATCACCTGAGCCTTACTCTTGTGGTGATAAAACTGATCCTCGATTGCTTCCAGTCGCTCTGCCTTTTCCCACACTCTTGACTCTGTGTTTTCAGAAAAGAGATCGTCGATCTTATCATGGCGTTCGTCATTGTCTTCTTCATTGCCCTCGACGACTTGATTGTAATCAATGAAAATCACCGCCAACAGATAGACTGTTCTTACGCAACTTAGCAGACCCCTGCTCCGCTTCCCGTTCAATTGATTCCTCGTCTTGGTCAAAATCTTTGGTAGAATTTGAACAGATACTAACTGTCATCCCTGTATCCCCAACGATTAATGTGCTTCTTCCTCAAATTTCGAGACAAACGGACAGTTAGACTTCTTTATCTTGCCTGATGTCACTCTGAGACTGCCAAAATTATTAGGGTTGGCAACTGTTCCTTCTCTATTGAGGCATCGTCTTGAATTAACATTCAAATTAATAAATTTAGATGGCACGTTGCCCCGTCTTTTCTGGTTTGGGATAGACCTGTTTATATTGAGTTAAATCGCATTCTGCGGATCTCTTGACGAACGAGACGCTGGTCTATTGATGGGTTCATTTCCACATCATCAAGCTTTACCATGGTTCGTTGCGCAACTGCGGTTTGGAAACGATTAGATGTGGTCATTAGATCCAGCATCTCGCTATCTATATTATGGATGCTGATGAAAAGACTCCTGACGATCTTGCATTTGAATATTTTTCTGACTATGTTTTGGCGCTTGGGACATAAAAGCTTTACCTTTACTTGAAGGTAATCCATTGTATTGTGGTCCATTGTTTTGATCATATCAAGATCTTTGATTATTATTGCCCACTTGGCGACTGATTGTTCTGTTGTTATTAATCGTTTTCATCGCTTTATTGCGTAAGTATTGGACGTCGCAGAATGTGATGTCTGTGGTTGTTACTTTAAAACTTTCGAAAATGCGCGAGCGGTGCGTGGATGGGAAAATCGCGCTAGTTTTATGTGCGATCCAGATTCGATTCCATTTATTAGCTCACATTTCACCGATTCAATTTGACCTGCTTAATTTCATTCTCACTAAGTCAAATGATGAAACCAAGGGTACAACCAGCAGTATCATTACCCTCAAACATACTTCCAACGCACCTCTCCGCGCTCGTTGTTTCACACGCCAGTGTAGCGACACAGTCAAACAAGTTGATACGCAAAAAGTTATGTGGCAGCTTGAGGCAGCTGGATCCAACAGTGGACAACAAAATTTATGTCCGTTAAGGAGATTTTGATGTGATCTGACACAACAGTTGGTAATCGGGAAACATTGATATCTTGAGAGAAGTTAAAGCGAAAGTTCTCAGTGCCCCAGCGCCCTTTCTATTGATTTTCACCTCCATTCACTTCATAATTCCAAGGTATAAAGAATTAAAGTCATCAGAAATCATGCCTTCTCAGCGACAAATTGACAAAATCCCGGCGATCCCCCCGCGGCCCGTTGAGATGCAAGTGTTATGTCTGGGTCTTTCCCGCACGTCAACAATGAGTATGCAGTGACCCTACAGCCAAGGAAGCCCATTAACTAACACTATTCCAGCCATGTACACAGCTTTGAACAAACTGGGCTATAGATGTTATCACTTTTTGGAATTAACACCCTGCAATAAAGAGAACACGAAGCTCCGTCACATGATTTGTTGGTTGCAGGCGCTGAGATACAAGGTGCTTGATATCGGCGAGCCCATATCATCCAGCAGATATTGATGAACTTCTGCGGGGGTATAGTGTGAGTAAATTCTGAACATATGACTTCATGTTTGATTGCTGAAGTCGATGTAGGCCCTTAGTGACATGCCATGTGTCAATTTCTCTGATGAAATGCTGGCGGCCTTTTCCAAATGCTAAGGTAGTTCTTACTCGACGTGAACCAGTCGCATGGGTGAAGTCATTTGACAGCTCAATTTACAAAGTGTTGGAATGGCGAGTTTGGCCCTTTTTGCGATTCATCGATCCTGTAAGTTAATCAAGTCTCCTCATTGGTTTTCTAAATTTCGAGATAACCTCAAATTATTGCACAAGCTAACGGTCTAAATTTGCTATTGTATAGGAAGGAATGGGCGCTGTACATTAAACCATGCGTCTCGCAATCACCGACTACACTTCTCCTAAGCCATAGACAGATCGCGAAGCGCTTGCCGCTCATATGTCGAAACGTGTCGAGCATATACGTTCTGTAGTTCCCCCAGAAAACATTCTAGAATTTCATCCTCGAGATGTGTTATTCAGTTGGCAGCGGTAGGAATGAGTGGCGTGGGCCAGTTTCGAGCTCTTGGCGAATCGATAGGAATCGCAATCTCTACCAATGTGCTCAATAAGCATGTCACCTCCACTCTTTCGTCGATCCTTTCTTCAATACAGCTTAACGAGCTTCTCCAATCGGCCGAAGTCCTCACAGAATTCCCTCCCAGGCTTTTGGCTATTACGAGAAAAGCTTACTCTGATAAGGTTTTGAGAGGGTTTATGGCTGAAGCAATCGTTCTGTTTAGGTCTCCTTTGATGCTTATCTAGCAGTCCAATAATTGATCTTGATGTTTAAAGGACCATGTGAAATTGATTCGCATATAGAGGTGTGTTGGGATATCGATCATATGATCACAGAAAGCACTGTATTAGCAAGCGAGGTGCTAGCGCTTACTTATGAATAGTACTAGCTTTCCATAGGTAGTTAATAATGGTCAAGGACAATTGCATCCATAATAGGCCAAAGTTCTTTTGATACCAACATGGTGGGTTTGGGAAGAACTCCTCTTCGTTGAACGAAGTTCGTTCTTTCCAGAAATCTTCTCTGCAACCTTATCTGTTCCCCTTCAACATCGTTTATATTCCCGTTGTCCCTTTTTTGCCCCGTTCTTACAGATAGGAATTATCTTCAATTCACAGATTGTTCTTGATAAGACGATTATCCTCAACTTATAGCTTAGAGGTATCATGATTTTAGTCTCATGACACAGGATTAGCCTACAAGCTAGTACTTCATATAGGCCTTAGTTCTGTTGAGGTTTATAACCAAATTTAGTTGGAAAATAAAATAACCTTCCTCATTATGCTCTTGAAGTGATGAGACAGAGATCTAAGCTATGTGGGAAATCTGAGCATCGAAGAGCAAGAAAATGCAAGGATCCGACTCAAAGTAGTAGTATCTTATCATCCGAAAGTTGCAACACGCATTCCCAGCTCACGTTATTCGAATGGGTATCCCTGAGAATCCAGACCTTTTCCAGGAGAGGTAAAATGGTACTTCGATGATGCATGAAGGGATCATTCAATGGTGGCGAGGAAAACATCTTTCTGAAGATATCTCGTTCTCCTACTTTGGCCACACATCCTATGATGTACAAGGGACACAAGATAGCACGGATTAAATCCGCATTCCGTATGGTTGGAAGCATCATCAAAGGTTCGGAGATAAGACTGTATAAGTCCGGATCTTCTTCAACAACCTTAAACCCATGAACGACAAGCTCCAAATAAATGCAGGCAGCACGACTAAAGAGCCGTGTGATGACAGCTTGATCGCTTATCCGAGATTCACCGTGTGATGTCGTATTTGGATTTGTAATACGAAGTTCTGTCAAGAATTGTTCATTTAGGCCACGTCGGATGGTTTGTCTGATGGTATCGGCCTGTGTCTCAAACAAATGGTTATTAAAGGTACCGCTCTGAAGTTCGCTTCGTTTAGATTCATGTAGTGCAGAAATACGACCTATTTCAGTCATAACCCAATTCTTGCAGCCCATAATCTTCTCTAGCTTAATCTGGCGGCCAAAAGCCATATGATGGAGATCAAGAAGTTGTGGTGTCTTTCCTGTAGTTATACAAGACACCACGTCCAACCACATAACGACCCCGGATAGAAATAAGAAAATCATACAGGGTTCATTGTTTAGTAGTTCACAAGCTGTTGGTAGAACGATGGCTGTTGATTCATCATTGGCCCATAAGCCAAGCTCGGCGGCATGCGCTCGGTACCCCTGACCAAACAAATCGGTAGCCGCGCGGAGATGAATTTGCCATGAGCTTTTTTGTACACCAAATAGCTAATCGAAAACTTAGTAAGACTTTTGAAAAATCGTACACTATAGAAAAGACGCGACTTACCTCGAAAAAGACAAGTTGAACAACACAAGCCATAATTGCAAGACTACTCCCCACGCAAATATCCCTACCATAGACGCAGTCTTTAGCACAATCGTGAGCGGATTTAATTGCCTCTTGAAATTCAATCAAACAAATTGCAAGATGGCTCTCTTGTTCGGCGATGCTGGGCTTTGTACATCCACCGGAAGTCAGTTCACGAAGTACAACACCGCGATGATAAGCGCTGAGACCAATAGATGCATGATATAAAGGTTTAGTCTTTAGCAGAAGGGAGAGTAACCACCCTCGTCCTCCTTCAGACACTTCAGGCTTATACATAGGATATTGCAGCGGAAATACATTATCCACGAAATGCATTAGTAAAGCCGCTTCATTATTTGTAATTGTCGGTGTACCGAAAAATGTGTTTCCACTTTCTGGTGTCGTGCCCTGGGGTTTGTTAGTCATTCATCAATGCTCAATTGTAACCATCTTACCGTGGAAGTTTCCGCTGATATACTTGCACTGGACTGCGCAGGAGAAGATCCTGATGAAGTTCTAAGATAAGCTGTATCTTCGGTTGCTGTAGAAATGGTTCTAGTAGGCGCAGTTGTGGTCTTTGGTGCAATGTTGATGGCGGAAGCCTCTGTATTGGCCCCGTTGTTCGGAGCCACATTTGAACCAGTCAGTCGACCCTTTCGACGTGATGTGTATTTGACAATTTGCTTAATACTGTTTGCCATCTCTTTCTCTCTTGGTCCATTATCCATCCAATCTGGCTTAGCCCCGTATCCATAGCACGTTATCGCTAAGGATTCGCATGTGGAACATGGTGATGGTTTCCGCTCATCACATTTCTTCTTGCGCAAACGGCAGGTCCAACAACCCGATTTACTTCGCAGCAGATTATTCATCGTGAAGATCCCCAACGGAATGACTATCAAGCGGTAAAGATAATCTATTGAGTAGTATTACAGTAAAAAAGCTTCAACGATGACAATATTCACAGTCAGACCGCATAACTAACGCTTAGAAATGCCTTAATGTCAACATCAAATTGTTTCCGCTAGCGCACCGCCCCCGCAACGCCTCAAAGCCACCTTCCGCCACGTCAATCCAGCCACATACCGATATCATCCGACTCTTGTAAAAATGCATCAAACGATGATCCACAATGATCTTGAGAGAATATGTAGAGATTGCTCCTAACGATGCAATGCCATTGAGAACAAACATCCACCATGGTATCGCTAGAATGATTTCTTATAAAAAATGAAGATTGAAGTTCATATCTTGGCGGCCTGGACACCCACCCAAGCTCAACTCTCACGCAAGGGACGACGAGTACATCGAACCTATAAACATTTCTAAGGAGCAAGATTAAGCGTTACAAGCTATATCTAAGTAATCAAACGTTTTCTTTTCCTCGAAGCCTTTCCGCTTCTCCGAATTCGTTGCTCATAAGAGCTAAACTAATCTGTCATTTTGTGCTAATCAGTTTGGAGCCAAAAACACCATCAACCACTAGATCTCAACCCACATCTCGACAAGCGTAATCCATTGCAAAATCCCATTCTGGATAGATGGGAAAGGTAACACCAGGCATGGGCAATACGGCAATGGCATGTGAGGCAGACGTGCAACAGTAACCATTCTTTCTCAAAATCAACCAATTACCTTTGCTATGCGATCATCTGGAGGTCTCCAAGTCCAACTAGCCAGCGATATATGGAAGATCTTGATGATGAATGTTATGAGTGGGCTAGTCAGGTTGCTTGTGCTGGCTAGGATGGAAAAATCTTTGATATAGGGAGGAAAGATCTACAATTAGTTACGGTTTAAAAGAACTATATGCAAGAAATTGTGTGAACTAAAAGGCTTGGGGTAGTATACTTTTAACCGTTAAGCTATCATGACGACGTTCCTGAGATGCAGGGTGTCAAGACGACAGTAGTTGGAACTTAGTCTCGGCTCAAGTTTCTAGTATCGAACTACCGGTTGATCCCCCCCACATTTAGACTTTTTCTTGGATATTAGCTTGGAGTTGCTTGAAAGGTACAAGTATGATATAAGTAAGTAATAGGAAACAAAAAGCGAAGTGTCTAGAACAAGTCGAGATCTTCGTGCCTATGATGGGAATGACCCGCTTTTTGTTGCTAGCCACCAATCTGACAAGAGGATGGAGGATTGACCTTTGTATCAAGAACTCAAATTCACAACATGACAAGAAAACCCGAGTACAAATCATCTAGATTAGACGTGATCCAACCAGCATAAAAATCATGTGCTTTTCCCCCCACTTTCAGGATTCATTTTGATACTGAGCTCGTCAGGCTCCGCTCAACTTGAATTGTGGGAATAGCGGCACGTTTCTCGATTGACCAAAGCACCCAGTAGTCTCAAAACCACCTGTTCAGTTGCGTATTTTAATTTAAGGAGAAATTGAGACCATGACTATTATTATTACAAGTTGTTATCTGGTATATAGTAATATAAATAGTAACCATTTATGCATGATCATACTCCATTGCCCCAAGAATAAAACCAACAAGACGCAACATTTCTCCTCCACTTTCAAGAACATACATTTATCCAGCAAACCTATAGCTCTCATTCAAATCTCCATCTCTTATGACCCATCGTCGGTCTTCGATTACAAATTACAAATTAAGTAGAACAAAAAATGGAAAAGATCATATCTCTATATCCAATATTGATGTGCAAGATCGTGAGAGCATTAGAGTGTTGTTACCGCTGCGGGAGTTAGACCTGTCGACGAACGCTTGGATTTCGATGTTGGAATAATCTTATCCCGTTTGCGAATCGATCTTCCACTTAAAGTAATTTCAACAATAGCTTCTAATTTAGAGATGCGTAGCTGAAGGCTATGTCCTTTTGTAATCAGACTCTTCATACGTTTTTGGCATTTCTCACTACAGTCGTCGTCTAGCTGATGGCCCTCCGGTTGGACAGGACCTGGGCAATCACAGCCAAATCCCGGGGTATTCTTCTTATAACACCCAGGTAAATGCTTCAAGTTAGAAACAAATTCGGTGGAAGAAGAAGAGGGTTCGCCAGAATTATTGATTTCTTCCATCCCGCAAAGACCAGAATCTATCTTGACCATGGGTGGTGTGATAGCTAGAGAACGATCTATTCTTTTTCCAAATATTGCCGTTCTTGTCCTCCAGTCACGATGTCCCTGATTTTCTAGACGGGAGAACCTAGCCAAATCATTGTTGTTCTCGTGATTGATCCACGCAAGCGGTCCACCTTCACCTTCTACATAAGCTTTACCATGTACCCATCTCCAGAGCTTTGCCTCCGTTGAAGCCAGATAAAACTCTTGCTGGTCTTGCGATTTCTCCCAAGTATCACACTTTCGGCGTCTGGATTGAGTGAAAATTTTGAGGGGTTCGAGTCGGTTGGGCAACTGTACATCATTGCTTAGAATGTGCATCAATCGAGCGTCGTAAAGTTGAGACGTTCGCTCAATCACGATACTCCTACGACAAATCTCAGTTTCCTTTGTGATCCATACCCATCTTCCGTGGAGCAAATGGTTCTTCACTAATTCTAGGCTGGTTTCCCCTACACTTTGGTCTTTTGTAGGCAGGGCTACGAAATTTCTCCACTCGTTCAGTAAATAATCGTTGTGGTCAATTCGTAGAACACAATGCTCCAACATATCCTTTGACAGTCGTTTGGACAACACCAGCTCTTGACCCTTTTTCGAATATTCGATCTCCTCCAGAGTTGTAACACGCTCCGAGAATTGAAACACTGGTATTAATTTTATGCGCCCAGCCGTCCCCTTAACACTCCGCGGATAGAGCATATCCTCCGCATGAACATATAAAACTTTCATGCCATTCTCTGGTTTTTGTTGCGAAACAGTCTTCTTGCGTTTTAGAATCTCTCTCCGCTGGTCAAATATAGGTTTGAATCTCTGGACAAGATTCAAATCTCGCGGGATTGGCTCTAGATCCTTTATAAGATCTTGCTCTATGGTAAGGAGCTCCAAAGCTGGTTCGTTAAATCTGGCATTTTGTCTCTCTCGATCATCGTCAATTTCTTTCATTCTTTTTGGGTTGTGTTGATCGGAAATTATTTCGTTGTAAATACGCTTCGAGCTCTTATGTCTGAAATGAATTCTTCCCTCAAGGACTCGTATTTCCGAAGCAATGACTTGAAGTTCCGGAATAATGGCTCGAGATCCTTGAGATGGAATTTCACATGGAATTACCGGCAGTCTTGGAAGTTCATGTCCCGGTAATGTGAAATTATTGGGAATGTAGGAGGAAGGGACTTGTTCCTTTGGGAGAATACCTTCATCTTCTCCCATGGTAGACTCATTACGGTCGCCCATTAATTCTTATTAGCTTAAGAAATAACGAACATTTACGTTCAAAAGAAGAAAGATCTGAGGCGGAAGAAATTCGAAAGAAGAGGGAATGATTAGAAGAATAACAGCCGAGTGGGGTGGGCCGAGATGAGGAAGTCGAGGTGGGTGAGAGAATAATGTGTAGGAACACAGTAAGTAGATATTGATATGTTAAAACGGAGAAGTGATGTAAAGTGTAAAGAAGAAGAAATATGAAGAGGGGTGTGGGGTTTATTGGGACCTCTTAGCTACTAGCGTGTGAGCTACTAGCTGGCAAACTAAAGAAGCCGATCCACTAAGCTTTTTGATACCCACAAATTCACCCAAGGGCTACAAAAAAGAGACTGGCACTCAGAGTCTACAGTAAGAAACCCTGATCGTCACAACTGAAAAAAAGATTTGAATCCTTATCATTAAGTACCAACTGTAGGTGAGTTGTGGTTCGTTAGCGAGAGTTTCTGATTACCGCCAAAGCAGCCGAAAACCCAGATACTTCATCCGTCTATAAGATTTCCTTCCATATCATGACGATTTCTCGCTCTTTCCATGATAGCATCCTTTGATTTTTGTGTAATAAGTTTCTGCTCTTCCAGTCGATTTATGCCCGTCTGAATATGTTCAATGTGAACGGATAAGGGTATGTCGATTCTGTCGCGCAGCAATTCTGGTGCGGCCACCCTTTCTCGCAAGTCCTCCAGACCAGAACTGATCTCTTGAAGTTTAATCAAAGTCCCCGATACATGTGCTAAAGCAATTTTACGTCGATCTCCGATTTCTTTCAACAAATTAAGCTGGCCATTGAGTTTGTTGATCTTGCCTCGATGACCACCAAGCCATGCCCATAATTCTGACAGAGTCTCATCCTTACTAGCTTGTACTTGAACACCGTCTCGTACTGTAATTCCATGAATAATTTCCAAACGGTCTTCTAAATTATTTAGAACCATCAATAGAGCTTGCGCTTCCAAAACCAAACGAGCGATTTCTTCTTCCACAGCTCGAGTATGCTCCACATACTGATCAAGAACAAGTCTTTCAGAAAATTTGGTAGGCTGGAAAGGTGCAAGTAGCTTGTCATTGACAAATGTTCCGATCAAACCACGGGAAGTTTCGCGTTCTTGAATACCATCGAGAACTCGTGAGGTCCAGCGTGTGATAGAAATGACACTATCCACCGCTCTCCCCACATGACTATTGAACTTTGTAAGATCCCATGATGCAATTTTTGCGGTATCGATGAATCCATCAAATTCCATGACAAGTTCGTTCCTGTAAGTCAAAGTATTAGCATCTGGCTCTTTTGACGGAACTAGTCTCGTGGTCTTCGGCTACCAGACCATCGATAAAGAGGCTCGCCTATTTGGAAGTATCGATGGTTGCTTACCTCGACTTCAATTGGCTGTATCGTACAAGTTGACGAAGATCTCTAAGAAAGCTCTCTCCACGTTTCATATCTAGTGGCAGGGAGACTCCCCCAGCACTTTCCTTAAGTATATCTTCGAACTGAGACTGAACCATCATGACTTGTTCAAACTCAACTGGTACTCTTGCCTTACTGGAATCAGTATTATGAGTAGAACAGAACGGCAAGTTCAACAAAGATGACCCTGGGATCAGACAAATGGGAGACAGTGATGCGTAGATGGATGTGGTAACCAGGTTTCGTGCTACAAGACCGATGCCGGAGAGAATGCATATAGCAAGTAAGTAAGATAGAGGCGTCCTCAAAAGTTTAAGCGCTCCCCCTAGGATCTCTAATATCCATGCAAAGATCATTGTTGTATGATCGATGAAGGTAGCAATGATATCTTTGGCGTCGGAATTTGGATGATGTGGTGAATGAGAATTTGCAGTTGGAGGAGCCAAAGAGGATCTGTTTTGGGTAGGTTGGATTCTTAGCCGTATGTTTGAGCTTTCAAGGTTCTGATCATGTCGCGAGTTTCGTCTTTGAGATTCTTGAAATCGCTGGGGGCTTCTACTAGTGCTCTGGGCCTGAGACCATGAAGCTTCCAGAGTTTCTGCGTCCAGAGAAGGCATCACAAATTCCGGCTCTGGAGATATATTACTACCTCTTGTAGGCCTTCGTGGAACAGAAGATCTTGTTCGACGATCGTAGTCTGCTTCGCTGGGTGGCAAATATTCTTCATAGTCCTCCTGGTTGCCTTCTACGATCCACGATTCACCAAGCTGTAGGTTTGGTCTACCGCCACGCATCGTGAGAAGCTGCCTCTGATGATTAAATTTTGCTTTGAATCGTTATAGTGGTAAGTGATGATAATGCAAATGATGTAAACGCTACGAGGTTGTCCTCTCTACTATGGTAAACGCAAGGATATATGGAGCACAACAGCAAGATAGGAACGAGAATGTGAGGAGCAATGATCAGCTATAGAAAGAGTTGAATGTGGTGAACATATGTAAATATTGATAGTGGCGAGAGCAACTTTATTCTAATGTATGTTATGAAGGATAAATAGATGAATGACGTTGTCTCATGATTTGTTGTTGCTGTCTTTCCCACCTATCGCAACCCCGCAAAATATAATATCCTGGAACTTGTCTCTCCTTGCTGCCTTTGGTGTATTTTTCAGGCTTCATGTAACGTCACGTACAGACGTGATACCGCGTTAACTCGTGACTTACCCCACCATTTCGGAAAAATCACCTAACTAATTACCTAGGAAAGCTTCAGAGCTCCATTTCGAAAGATACCTAATACTTTGATATCAGTGTATGATTCACAAATTTCGTGATGGTTTCCTCTAGAGCCTTGCGACTGTTCCAGAATGGACTGAATGTCAAATCATCTCCAGCATGTCTTCGATATATATGCCCAAGGAAGTCGAACCATGCGACGTTTATTCTAACCCGTTCATGTGCGTCGTGCGAGAGTCCATCAATAGTCTCAAATGTCTCAACTGTCGCGAAAGCTACCACAGCAACCCTTTCAACTCCGGCAGCTGATCATCGTCAGCTTGGAATCGAACAAGAACTATTTACTACTTCCCCTTATAGTCCCGGCTCACCTCTTTTTCTTCCCAAGGGCGCACGCATGTTTAAAGCATTGACCGAGTTTCTCAGTGCCCAATACTCACATTTTGGTTTCGAGGAAGTCATAACACCTACAATATACAAGAAATCCCTATGGGAAAAGTCGGGACATTGGGAGAATTATGCCGAAGACATGTATTCAGTGGTTGGTCGTGGTGCATCTGGAGAAACAATTGGGGGTCAAAAAGGGGAGAATGAAGAATATGGTTTGAAGCCAATGAATTGCCCGGGTCATTGTTTGATATTCGCATCAAAGCAGCGAAGCTACCGTGAGATGCCTATAAGATATACTGATTTCAGTCCATTGCACAGGAACGAAATATCCGGCGCGCTGAGCGGTTTGACCAGGGTGCGAAGATTCCACCAGGATGATGGGCACATCTTTTGTCGACCGTCACAAATTAGGAAAGAGATCTCTGGTACATTGGAGTTCGTTAAAATGGTGTATACGACGTTGGGGCTTGGCCCATATCGATTAGCATTGTCTACTCGACCGAGCGATCATTACATTGGAACAAAGGAAGAATGGGACAATGCTGAGACAGCTTTGAAGCAATCATTGGATGAAAGTGGACAACCATGGACCATGAATGAAGGGGATGGCGCTTTTTATGGACCAAAAATCGATGTAATTTTGAAAGATTCGGATGGAAAAGAACATCAAACTGCAACAATTCAACTCGACTTCCAGTTGCCAAAACGTTTTGAATTAGAGTATCAAGCTCCTGCGCCAGAAATTGAGGCAAAGGGAGAAACGACAGATGACCCTATATTGTTGGCTAAACAAGGACCGGTGGCGCCAGTTCTAATTCACAGAGCTATTCTCGGGTCTGTCGAAAGAATGATGGCTCTCTTGATAGAACATTATAATGGTCACTGGCCATTTTGGTTAAACCCCTCCAAAGTCATCATCCTCACGGTGAATGATTCGGAAGAAGTAGTGAGTTACGCGAATAGAGTCAAAATGCAACTGGGACAGGGAGCGTATCATGATTCATGGCCAAAATCACAGCATTCTATCGAGGTTCCTATCGAGCTAGATGATAGTCCCCGATCAGTCAAGAAGAAGATTTCTGAAGCAAAGCGAAAACGTTACGGTGCGATAATTGTTATAGGCAACAAGAATATCGAGAACAATACTGTCACAGTCGACCTATCAGGTATTCCAAGAGGTGAGTACCTTGGTCCATCTAGGGATATTCGAAAGATCTTAAGTGAAGATATTATATCGGATGATGGCAAATCATGGGAAGAGAAGTTGAAGACATTGAATATGGCTCCTACAAGATTAAGGAGCGTGTTTTCATCGCTCCTTCATCGCTATATATAGAATTATAAAATATTAAGAAATGATTTATTATCAGTTGCCCCGAAGATCAGGTAATTTATGTGCCATACATCGGTGTATCCGCTTTTATGTTAGTTGATTTAATACTGCAAGAGACGCAATATCTGATGAGATATTCGTACTGCAAATGTTTCCTGGTGAATAGCATTATAAGAGAGGTCCGAGCTTTCTCCAAACTCTCGTCCTTTGGGAAACCACAACTTCAAAAACTTATTACAGAACATACTCAACTATTAAAGAATGCTCATACAATAACAATGCTTCACAATCTTTGATCAATAACTTACCATCAGCAGCACTAACTCAAGTTAAACTCACAGGATGTCTACCCCAGCAGCGAAACGTCGTCGAATTGAAGCTGCAAGTACTCTCCAAAAACCCTTTCGATCACCTTTCAAGACCCCATTTAAATCACCTCTTATTAAAGGCTCTCCAAGCACTCGAGCTTCCACTGCCGCCGCCGCAGCTTCCACTCCTTCACTTTCCAAGACTCCGACTTCTTACCCTGTCGTGAGCATCCCATCTCCAAAGAGTGTGATTCGCACCAAGAAATCCTTCACGTCGCCCATTTCAGCAGCAGTTATTAATGCCGATCCGGATATCGCGCCACTACTGAAGGAGCAGAGGGAATTAGAGAAGCTATTGAAGGAAGTGAAAGAGGAGCTGGACACGGCGGAACAGGCGAAGAAGATTGAGAGGGATAGTAAAGCTGAAAATGAAAATGGAAGTGGGGAGATTGATGGGGAGTTGGTAGATCTATGTGAGAAATGGAGAAGCGCGAGTAGATTGGCAGCAGAAGAGTTATTTGGGAAAGTTAGAGATAGGGTTAATAGGTATGTCGCTCTCTGCTTGAGCTATAGATGTTAGGCTGATGTTGTTGGATGGCGTAGGATGGGTGGACCAAGAGCTTGGAAGGAAATGCAAAAGAGACAACATGAGTACCAAAACAACTGGGATCAAGATGAAGCCAATAACAACGATAATAACAACTCTGAGGGTGAGGACGAGGAGTGTAAGGACAAAGACAAACGAGACGTTTATGCAGAATATAGCATTGATCCCGAAACGGAGAATGAGAAGTCACAGAGAGCCCCAGGTCTAGGAGACACTGGAGAGAATCCCGGAGAGGAAGATGTAGGTTCATTAGTGTTTGATCTGACATATCACTAATTAGTACAGGAATTTACAATGGCAATGATGCTTAGAACGTTAAACGTGGATTTAGCTATAATTGGGTATGATAGAGAACAACAAAGGTGGATCGATTGAGTGACTGGCCGCCGTTGTTGCGTACTCTCGTAGGCAAATAGTTGCTACACAAGAAGAACAACTCTCGCGGCCATCGCTTGCTCTGTAAGATCAGTACTCTTCTACTCTCATGTATAGCGTTGCTTCAATGTTGCGGTAGACAAATAGCGAAAAGGGCAAAAGGTCTCCATGACATAATTAGCGATCCATACTTAGCTAATCGGTTCTTACGAAGTCGATTCCCCAGTTGCTGTCTGAGATCAAGAGAAGAGAGATGAGGCCAATATAATGAGATGCATAGGAATTCCTCTACAGGGTCATTACATAGATGCTCTATAATAAAACATATTGCACTTTTCTCCTTGAGCCTGCTGGCAGGGTGCAGAAAGCGTCTTCCCCAGTGAAGCTGCGACATGGATATCACAAAGATAATCTACTGCCATCTATGCAGTGATTTGTTTGTAAGGGCAGTTCATATTCGTCGATAACGGAGTGCTTTATGGTTGGACTAATGCGAATGAACAGTAATAATTTGGTGCAGTTTAGCAAAACATGGAATTGGATTAAAATACGAGGAAGAAGTGATCCTCATAATGCTTTAAGTGGGTATCTCTCTACATCTCCTAGGACTCATCTAGCTAAACACCTCCATTACACGCATGATCCATATTTGCCCAGCCGATACTTGCATCACCACTGATCCCATGAAATACCACCAGACAGAAGTATAAGAATGACAAGACAAGCCCAGTGTTCCGAACAGTCTTTCTGGCAAACTGCCTACCTCGTCTTCGTTCTCGCAAAGATACTTTGTGTGGTCGTTTTTGAAAATACAAGCTTCTCGCTGCCTTCTACACTTCCATTATCCTTCTGCGCGGTCGTTGTCGAGGTCATAAGTTCCTCGCTACCATCTCCGTTTCCATGCCCCTTTACCCTGCCTTTTTCTTTAGTCTGCGCCTCGAATCTTTTCTCGGCCTCAGCTATTCTTGCCTCCACCTCCATCTCTCTCCTCAACTTCGCCTCTAGTTCTTTTTCCTCCGCATCAATCACTCTTCTAAATCGGTATCATGTTAGCAACTGACGTATGATCAACTTAACATAGAGAAACTCCTCCAAAACTCACCTCACATCTTTTTCCATCTCTCTCTTCAATCTTCCCTGAACCTCCTGTTTAACCTCCTCTCTAATATCCGCTACCGCTTCGGCCACCAACTCAACCTTTCTTCCACTCCTCGTCATCTCTTCTCTGACTTCTGCTTTGAATTCCCTGCTCACTTCTTGTCTCAAATCTCTCTCGGTCTCTCTCCTCAATTTTCCCTGAATCTCCCGTCGAACCTCTTCCCTAACATCTGCTATCGCTTCAACAACCAATTCCACCCCCCTCCCACTACTCCTCATCTCCTCTCTAATCTCCGCCTTCAACTCCCTACTAACTTCCAGTCTCAAATCTTTCTCCATCTCCCTCTTCAATCTTCCCCAAACCTCCCTTCTAACCTCCTGCCTAATCTCCGCCATCAACTCACCCTCCCTCCCATTTCTCTTCATCTCCTCTCTAATCTCCACCTTTAATCCCCTCTCAACATCTCCCTTCACATCCCCTTCCAGCCGCGATCTCAATTCCCCTCTCAACTGCGTCCGCACCTGTTGTGTGATCTCTTCCGAGAACACTCTAACATCATTTCCAACACCAGCAAGATCTCCAGCTCCGTCTCCACCCCCAATCATAAAACTAACTCCCTCACCCTCACAAATCCCCCGCAATCTATGCGGTCCCAGACGTAGCAATTGCAAAACAATTCGTTTTCGTTCGTTGGCCTCTGCATGTTTGATAGAAGTTCCGCGAACAATTTTGTCGCAGATAAATAACATCGTCGATATGAATAGTGCCGTTGATGTGATGATAGCGAATGTGAGCCCGATGGCGATGGATTCGCTGATCGACGTCGTTGCTTTCTCCATTTTATTAGGGATTGGTTAAGCGTTTGTTGGGCTTTGATGGTTTGGTCTGTTGTGAGTTTCGGGAGTTGGAGGACTTGGATGAGAAAATTGGGCATGGATGTTAAGTTTATATATTGTTTTGCGAGGATGCAAAGTCCTCGAGGAGACGTGTCTTTCTGATTATACCTAGAGTTGCGCCGCTTAGTACTGTATACTATAGGTCATGTACGGTGTATTTGTAGATTCATTGCTTCTAAGTGAATTATAAGTACCGTACAGTTTAGCCTGCAAAAGACCAAACGAGAATAGCACAATTAGGATACACTTTATGGTAGAAGATGGTCATGAAACATGTCAAAAGACAGCCAGACTGAAGCGTGGGAAGTTTTGATAGATCAAGTACTCAAAATTATAGGAAATTTGCTTGATATTGCTCAGATACTTTACTATTCATCATCACCTCCTTCTCCAAAGTCATCATCCTCATCCTCTTGACTATTCTCATCATCCTCATCTTCTTCCCCTCGAATGAATGGCACAAATCTGAAATCAACAAAACTAACACCGCCACCATCTACCTCTACCATAAATTGTAAGCTCAAAACACCTTGCTCATCCCCTCTTACACTAACTTTACTCGCTAGTCTCATAGCATCCCCAGCAGCTTTCACCATATCGAAGCGATAACTTTGAGACCACCTTTCTTTAACAGTGAAAGTTTCCAATAGTTCTCTACCCTTAGAAAAGTCGACGCTAGCGCTTCCCAAATGGCCAGAAGCAGATAGGCTAAAATAGGGGTTTGAAGGAAGGGCAAGAATGTCAAGTCGAGTTGGGGTCATATTATTTAGCTCCTGAATAGCATCGAAAAGCCAACGAGCTTGTGTAATAATCTTAACCTGCATCGCATTTCGCTGGAATGGGATTTCTTCCGAATCTTCTGGTTCATATGTGTTGAGGTTACAAGTTGTAGTGACACCTGCTTCTTCGAGAATAATACTGAAAGGAGATCCTGTTCCGGCGTAGGAAAAGCGACATACGCCCGTCATCCCTAAAGCATGATTGCTGAATGCATTTTGTCGATTGGGACGAATGTTACTGTTGTATTCATTCTCGGGTCTGAAAAATCGTGAAGTAGCATCTGCTGCGCCGAAAATTTGTAAAGTTTCGAGTAAGGCGGAAAGAGATATTTGAAAAGCAGGTAAATCATTTGAGGATACATCTTCTTCTTCATCCTCTTCGGGATTTGATTCGGGAAGAGTGCAATTGAAAGTGGTGAACAAGGCTTTGTCAAGAAATACAATTCCTATAAAAAAAAGTTACAAGGCGAACTACGTCCATTGAACTATGGGAACTAACCTTGCATTACTCTAGATTCTTCAACCGCAAATCGAATACCTTGAGTACTAATTTGGACTTGAACTTTGCTTGCGAATCGTATAGTATTGAGTAATTGAAAGAGCTGCCGGGCAGAACTGGACACGGCTTTGAAGATTGGCACTGCTGGCTCTTCGTGAACAGGAGGTGTCGACATTGTGAAGATAGAGAGAGAGAAATAGGTGGGTGAATTATCAAAGAGGAACTGTGGTAGAGGAAATTGAATATTGTATCGGCGAAATCAGATGTGATAATTATATTAACTCCTTTTGTTTTTATCTCATCCAGCTATTGTACAAAAATGCGGTAACGTAGTATGTTCGTCTCGATGATGGAGGGGTATCTTAAACATAAACTCCAACCGCACAGATCATATAAACTGAACCAACCCTACTTAACATTAGTACTTGTACGAAAGAGAATATTCAAATATAACCTACGCAATGGCTGCTGAAGCAGGAAGTCCAAGTAATGGCAGAGTGAGAGCTGATCGGTCTAGAACGAATTGTTAGCTACAAGCCAAGTAATGTGAATTTTGAAAAGCATACTGAGACCAAACAATCCCGAAAGAAGAACTCCAATACACAATAATGAGAATCCCAAGGAGAATTGACTGTCTTTTCCAACGGTAGGGATGAAGGGATTGCCAACGGCACTTTCCCAAACTCCGTGTAATGAGGACTCCATATGATAAGTGTGAAGATTGTGTACTGGTAGGTAAAGTTGAATCGACTTTTTGAGAAAGGTCGAGTGGAACTTAAGAAGGAATTGATTGACCGAAATCTGAATGTTTTGCTATTGTCTCTGCTATGTACAATTGCAGTCGATTGAAATCAATTGATATAGCTGGATCTCAAAGCTTACGACACCAGTGGAAAGCATCAGCAATCTGGCTTCACATCCTGGAATAGTTTAGCGTCGGAAAAAAGCTCCACCGATGGACCCAGAAACACTAATGCACTTAAGCCACTCGAGCCACTCGAGCCACTCATTCGAGCCACTAAGATGATTACATAATGAAGGGAACCTTGATGATCAACTTCTCCAGGTTTCTTACATCAAACATATGTAACTCTTTCCATCTCTTTTCCCCTCCTTCCCATTAATATTCTACAACTTCTGGCAACGACAATACGCTTCAATTTATTAAGAGAAATAGAATAGGCAAGTAGCAACAACAATATTAAACTCTGATATCTTCATAATCTAGAACTACAGTAAGCCGTTCCTCAATCTACATACAATTGATCAAAAGTTGCTAACATGGCTTCTCAAGATATCAACAGTGATTTGGGCCAATATTGGAATAGAACAAGCTCTAGAAGATTACGTACTCTGTTACCACGGTCTAGTATTGAGCAAACACCCGTTTTCACAGAACACACTTCGTCAGGAGAATCAAGCCTATCAAGCCTAGAAACCCTAACAACCCCAGAATCGATTTCAGATTTCGAGGATTCAGATCAAAAACCTGTGGAATCCAACACAGTCATGGGTCCAAATCTCCAAGATACACCAAAACGTAAGGCTGGTACAGAAGAGTCGCTCCCAAATTCCCAAAATGCGCCAAAGCGAAAAGCTACAGAGGAGCTCCCTAGTTTTCCCATATCTTCCAAAAAGATGAAAATGAGTGAAGCCGAATTGACCGACAATTTGAAAAAGACGAATGCAGAACATCCTGCCAACATTAACATTATACCTTTTCCAGAAAAAGTGAGTTTGCTAATGCGATCAAACATTAGTTTTCTGTCTAACAATAATTAAGCCTGCAGTGATCGAAGAGCGAGAGGGTGAAATTGATTTTCGAGTTGTCAATAATGACGATACGAATGAGAGTACTATAATTCTTTCGGGGCTGAAAGGTATTTTTCAGAAACAACTCCCCAAGATGCCAAAAGAATATATTGCTCGTCTAGTGTATGATCGAAACCATTTATCTATGGCATTGGTAAAGAAAGCAACACTAGAAGTATTAGGAGGGATTACATATCGACCATTTGATGATCACGAGTTTGCCGAGATTGTTTTTTGTGCCATATCATCGGATCAGCAAGTCAAAGGATATGGTGCACATCTCATGAATCATCTCAAGGATTATGTCAAAGCTTCTTCTAAAGTCATGCATTTTCTTACCTACGCCGACAATTATGCTATCGGATACTTTAAGAAACAAGGCTTCACCAAAGAGATAACTCTACCAAAACCTCTCTGGATGGGTTACATCAAGGATTACGAAGGTGGAACAATTATGCATTGCGAAATGGTTCCCAGAGTTCGCTACCTAGAATCAAACCGCATGATCGTTAAGCAAAAGGAGGTAGTCAATGCGAAGATTCTCGCCTTTAGCAAATCAGACGAAGTCCACGCACCACCCAAACAATGGAAGAATGGCGCATTTCCAATCGACCCCATGTCCATCCCAGCTATCCGCGCATCTGGTTGGACACCCGCCATGGACGAATTAGCTCGCCAACCTCGTCATGGACCAAACTATGCTCAACTCTCTCGCCTCCTGAGTTCGCTTCAAAATCACCAGAAAGCTTGGCCATTCAAGGCACCTGTCAATGGTAACGAAGTAGCGGATTATTACTCTGTAATCACAAATCCCATGGACTTTGAAACTATGGAAAGAAAACTCGATCAGGATTCATATGAGAAACCAGAAGATTTTGTCGCGGACGCCACGCTCGTGTTTTCCAATTGTAAAAAATACAATAACGATTCTACGCCATATGCAAAGTGTGCGAATAAGGTGGAGAAGTATATGTGGAGTCTCATCAAAGAAATTCCAGAGTGGTCTTATCTTTTGGATAATTAATACATAGATATTTTATGATGGGTTGAACTTGGGCGTTGTTGGGTTTGAATAGCGAGCGAAAATTTGCAAATTGGACAAATGTTGTGAATAGGTACTATGATAAGACATAGCATACACAAGTTGGATTAAGATGGATTGGATTGGATGGGAATGGCGTAGTATGGTGAAGTATGGGATAGGCTTGGACGGGGTAGGCTTGGAAAAACCACTTCCCTTGAATACCTAGATAGGTAGACGTTTGATATCAAGATAAATATAAACAACAGGATACCTACCTACCTACCTACCTACCTACCTATCAATGTATCTAGAAAGTAATAACATAACATCTAATCATACCTAGGTATACAAACTTATCAACTTTATATATATAAATACACACATCTTGTACCCGCATAAAGAAAGGATGATGGATAAGGTAGCTCGAACATGTATTTCATATATCCATACTTACTATTCCAAATCGTTCCGTATGATATCGTATCCTCAGCATATTCACTTCTCGCGCCTCCCTAGGTACCTCTCAAAACTTATCCACACCATGTTCGCCTCTCGATTCATACTCATTCACATCCACATCCACATCCACATCCACATCCACATCGTTCTCAACTTCACCTCTTCTCACTCGATACTACACCACAATTCGATCCAAAGAAAAGAGACAAAAAGCAAATCAAGAATTGAGAATAAAAAAGAGTCCAGATGAATATAGATAACTTTGTATATCGAATACTAGTACTATAAAAGCCAGGTAGATATACCATCATCTTCTCCTCCCCTCTCCCCCTTCCTCTTTCATCCCATTCCAATTCATTCCCATCCATTCATTCTCACCCATCCTATCCCATGCAACCCATCCATCCATGCCATCCATCCTATGCACCACCAACTAAACAACAATAATAAACTAATATAAAGAGAAGTAAATAGATGCCAAAGCAACTTTATACCCCCACCAATCCCCAATCCCCAATTCCGACACCCAACCATATCCTACCCGCTTCCCCACCACCCATATGCTAAAAACGCCATGCTTAAGTGAAGACCTCCATTGAAAAATGTGATGAAGATATGTAATTCCATTCCATATGAACGCCGATATGAATGTATGTATATGTGTGAGAATGCTTCCTGCGAAAGAAAATATGTGTTTGATGTGTGCCCCCCAACCTTAAGTTGCTATGAATGATTCCTATCCCGGGGAAAAAGCAAGAAATGAATAAACCTCACGTTACTACGAAGAGTAATCTTCATATTCAGGAACATAACGGTTTCCATGAATACTTCTCAAAACATCCGGATGTCTTGTTGCATATAGATAACGATGTTCTCGACTAGCATCGGCTCTTCTCACGACTGCTTGTTCAATATCCCTTCTTCTCATAATTGTCTGTTCGATAGATTCCCTTGCACTATCTCCTTCAGTGTGCATTCTTGAAAAAGACATATTCGATGAGTCAATACGTCCAATGTCAATATATCTTGAGGGAATTTGTCGACCATTGGATGAATCGAAAAGGGGGGTTAAATTCGTCGTTCTCGCATGGCTTGCATGACTCGCAGGCTGAGCTGATGGATGTGCAACATAAACCCTTGATCCATTGGGAGCTGGTCTCGTACCCACGATATTGGCATTTGGGTTCAAATTTGGATTCGAGATTCCGACACCATCATTTTCGTAAGCATCTTTCATCCATTGTTCCCAAGCTTCATCCATTGGTGCCGTGATATTGCCAGCTTCTCTTTCAGCAGCTGCAGCTATCAGTCTCTCATTCAATGCAGTTCCCACACTGGTAATCTCGATATCACTGTCTACATCATCATCTTCCAAGTCATTATCATCCAATTCTTCTTCCTCCTCCTCCAACTCTTCTTCTACTGCTGGCACTGCGAATCGCACAACTGTAGGTCGTAACTCTGGCGATACCCAATCTTCTATTCCATCACCCGTTGTATCCCTAATAATAATTCCCTTCTCTTTCTCAAATCTCTCCTTTGCCCATCTTGTGCCTTCCCATTTTGTCAACGTAGCAATTTCATATTCCGTCAGTCTCAAATTATCGAAAGCTCGAAATAGTCGTCTGTGCCACGGGAATCGAGAGAGTCGAACGCGATGCGGCCGGTAAGAGTAATCTAAGCCAGGATACTTTGCTTCCTGCGAAGTTAAGTGACCATAAAAACCTATAGTTTCTTGACGAACTTCAGGCACCAGACTGCGCTGCAAGAAGGCTTGGAAATGTTGCGGATCGCCAGTCTTGGGTTTGGGAAACATACACTCGTACACGAGCTGGTCGACAGGACGGCCTTTCATGATGGCTGAGGAGGCGAATTGTACGTCAAATGTAAGACTGGATTTTACGGCGAGGGAGGCCTTAACAATTGACCGTGGCGGTATCCGAGCTGATATGAGGTTCGTGATTATAAAAACTTTAGATATCCCGGGACGATCCTTTGAAGGATGATTGGGCACTAAAGGAACGGAGGTTCTTTCTTCCAAAGTTTGTGTAATCCGATGATTTTGACTAAGACTTGGATTGACGACCAGAAAAAGTAAAACTTATGAGTAATGGTGGAGTTGTGTTAGGTGAATTTGAGCTTTCTCCTGATCCAGAGTGAGTGAGAGTTTGGGGCCAATTGTGATTTGTCGTATAGTATCCAATGTGTAATGATTCACGAATTCCTGGTAGGAATATGTCACTTGGCGATGTCGATGATGTGATGATTGAACCAAGGTTGGATGGATTTCAGACACAAGAAATGTCGTTTTGATATATTTGGTGGATTTTTGATGGCCACTGAAAGCGGTACAACTCAGAGATATCTACCAAGTAGAAGGGGAAAAAAGTCAACGTCGTAGATGAAAGTTGAAAAAGTTGAGAAAGTTGAGTTGACGAATTCGTTTCAAGAAGAAAGATGGAGTGCAGGCGTCTTTTTTAAAGTTTCTTTTCTTGTCTTTTTTTTAGGTCGACTTCCAAGCTGAATATTGAAGGAATGAGTGAGACTGTGAAAGTAAATAGGAATTAAAAGAGGCGATGATGAGATGATGAAGAAGGTCAAAAGAAGGTCGGACTGGCGGTGGAGTTTACGTTGAAGTGGAGTGGATATGGAGGAAGGAAGCGTGGTGTTGTGGTCAAAGTCAAGGTAAGAGAGGTGAGAGATACTCGTAGGTATGGGTGTATAGATGTGTAGTGTGTAGTGTGTAGTATGTAGTGTGTAGTGTGTAGTGTGTAAAAAAGGGTAAGGGTTCGGGTTGCGTTGTACTACTTTTACTTGTATGGGTGTTGTTGTGTTGATAAAATCTTCTATTGATGAGCTGGTTAGCTTTCTTTTTGGGGGAAGGGGGAGGGGGAGGTTGGATGAATGATATGATATGATATGATGTGGTGCTTGAATGCTTGAATGCTTGAATGCTTTGAATGCTTGGATGCGTGAGGAATTGAGTAATTGGATCACCATGGATCATTTGATAGTAAGAAATGGATTAGATTGTTGTCTATAACCACCGTGGGTCGGTCAAGGTCAACAAATAATTCCTTTCTCTACTTACTTGTGAAGTCTTCGTATCCTATCGTATTGTTCAGAGATTAGATCACAACGCAAAACCCAGATCAAATGTCTAACTAGATAATATTATCTCCTCTTCGTAGCTTCGTAGCTTCGTAGCTGATTTGCGTTGTTTGCTTTGGGAGACCGAGTAGAGTAGATTAGAAGATGAACAAAAGGTAAGTACGTGGAAGAGAAAAGATTCGTTGTTAGATGTATGAAGTGTGTTGTATGTCGTATGTCGTATGTCGTATGTCGCATATAGTATGTATAGCATAAAGTTAATAAATAAGAGGTAACAAGTTAGATGATTCGGATTCTGAGACAAATGGTTTGAAAATCTCGTGAATTCCTTTTAGGATTGCTGTAAAGTTGTCGTCAATGATTCGTGATGTATATAATTCAACCCCTTTTTATCCTTTTCCTTTTTCTTTTCCTTTTCCTTCTCATTCACTTGTTGTCGTACTTTTTAAATCAATTTCTTCTTGGTTTTCGGGTCAATCATATGAGGAGGTCGAGGTTGAGTCCGAATTGGAATAGAAGTCGGGTCCTAGAATTCCAATCCCTTTCTTCCATCAATCTGAAGATATAATACCTAGGTAAATATATTTAAATATCTATCGATGAAAATCCAAGTCGGTATGATATATCACTGTCGATAGGCAGGTATCACATATATAACTGAATCTCCTTTTCGCGAGCAGTACCGTCGATAGTCATCAATATGCAGCCCTCTGTTTATTAATATATCGAAACAATATATCAATCCACGAACAACCCAGGCAAGATAATCCTCGTCGATATTGAATGTTCTATTCTCAGAAATCCCAATGTTCCGAGAAATGCTTGGAATCTGCTGGGAAGGTTTATTTTTCCTTGAACGTTAAACCAACCTCCCCCACCTGAGTTACAATGCAGTGGGAGTTGCGGTAAGTAAGGTCGATCAAATAGATTGCTTGATTGGAATCGAAACCGAGAATGGAGAAAATTGGGGGCTGGGTGGTGATGATGATGATGATGATGATGATGATAAGTAAAAGAGGATATAACAGTGACAATGACAACGACAACAACAGCAAAGGAGGAGGTATATAATTCTTTTGTGAATTTATATAAGATATAAGTATATGCAAGTAGGCGATATAGATCTGACTTGAGAATGGAATGGGTTATCGCATACATGCCACCATTACTTGTACTTGTACTTGTACTTGCATACCTAGATATTGAAGTCGTCCACATAACTAAGTATAAGGTACCTACCTACCTAGATAGTTTATTCATTCATATCATTCCCATCATGCATTCAACTCCAATCGATGCATCATCACAAGAAGACGAGTTTACAAAATCCATGTTATCACTCCAAGTCCTGGTCGTCTTCTCATCCACGATCTCTCTCCATCGCTCGTAATGCAAAGTATACATCACATACATCACATACATACATACTTCCCTACACATACACATACACATACACATACACATACACATACACATACACATACACATACACATACACATCTTCACAACACCCATCTCACCGCATCGTTGCATTCGATAGTATATAATTCATCACCGACCCATCCGTTCATCCATCCATCTATCCACACAACAGCAAAAGATGCTTCACGACTCAACCACGACAAGGGTCATCCACCGGTCTCCTAGTCGGTCACAGTACCATGATAGGTATTCATTCTCAATAGTTACATTGGACCCGACCTCTTTCGCAACCTGTGTATATAGCACACCACACTCCCCACTCCACTCAACCAATCTGTGTTTCTTTCTTCCCTCGTTTCCTGAGATGCGTAGTGTGAAGTTGGAGTGTCCTCTCGATAATTATGGTTGTCGTGTTCATTGACGTGGTCATTGTTCCACTCTCCATCATATCATCTATCTATCTACCTACCTTATCAGAATTCCTAGAAATCCAATCCATCCATCCATCCATCCATCCATCACATATTACCCAGATAAAACCAGTCATGTACTCTCCAAAACTACAGTACCAAAAGTAGATCTCTTCACACCAAAACGAATAGTCCCCAATAATATCGATATAATCGACCACGTCTCCGACCCTATCTATCTTTCTGTCGCCCCAAAGAAAGACGAAGAAAGAAAAAGACGAGAAAAAAGATCCCCACGCAAGCAAGCAAGCACGCCCTATCCTCTATCCTCCTATCCTCCTACCTATCCAATCGTGCCACTAAACATTCTTTTCTCTTCCCCGGCCCTATCACATCATCACACCACAACATCTTCATTCTCCCATCTCCCATCTCCCATCTCCATCTCCATCTCCATCTCCAATCCCATCCATACCCACACCCACGAAATAATCAATTGCAAGCAAATAATATAATCCCTGAAACCACATTTCCTCCCCTCGCCATCTCACCATCTCACCATCTCACCATCTCACCATCTCACTCTCATAACCATATCCATCCATTCAATCACTCAATCATCCCCCATCCAACCCCACCCACCCAAACAAACCCCAAATCAAATCAAATCAAATCAAATCAGATCAAATCAAAATCAAAATCATCCGGTAGACAAGGTCCTTCCCACGTACCATCAATACAATATATAAATGCAAGTCATAAGATCCAATCACTCGATCTTTCACGATCCAGCCCTGTCCTATCCTGTCCTATCTGCCCTATCCATTCCGCCCTATCAAATCGGATTCCTTAGCTTACTCCCTCTGTATTAGAGCGAATTTTTCCCGCGCTTCATATAATATAATATCATGTCTTTTTTCTTACCATAAAGTTACCACCATACTATACCCAGGTAAGCAAGCAAGCCAGTCAAAACAAGTAACTACAGACAAAAAACCCCGAGAGCTCGATATCCAATCATCACCCTCGGACTTTTTGATTCTATCAAGATCTAAGTAAGTAAGGTTATGAGATGAGAATGAGGTAACTTATGCATATATATATATATATAAATACACTATAGAATAAACAAACAATAGCTAAAATGATAATTACCATGTAAACTAAGTGTAAGCACTGTTTGTAGAAGGAATATCCCCCACTACCGCTAGGTATCTAATGATGCGATGGATTTTCGTTGTTTGTGGAATGATATATATCTCGATACATGTCTATATAAATATATGAATACAAATATAAATCACAACAACCCAATCATCAAACCCCCTCGTTCTTCTAGCAAAGCAAAGCAAAGCAAAGCACGCGTCCAAGTATCTCTCTCTACCGCTTACCTAGTATCCAATATACAATATCCATAACCCATCCCTCCCTCCTCCTTTCCCATCCCATCCTATCCAGCCATCATGAACAGCTACCCCTCCTCTCATGCTCTCATACTCTCATACTCACTCATCTCATCCATTCCATCCATCCATCCATCCATTACTCCCACGCCACTCACGCCATCCACCCCACTCCCCACTCCCCCTCCATTCTCGCCCCTCTCATCCCAAGCTACCCTCCCCTCCCTCGACCCACAAACCAACCCTTCGGAACCCAAACCCAAACCCAAAACACCCACACAACCCCAGCAGAGCTGGAGCAAACCCCCCAAACCCCTCCCATCCAATCATTTACACTCCACATCCCACACCTACCTCGTGATTTCTTCACATTGCATTGGCCTTACTACGCTTTGCTGTGCATTGCGTTGCGTACTATCTAGATACGGGGGTATACAAAAGAATTTGGTAAAATATGGTAGGAAATTGTGATATAGTGATATGGTGACATAACATGCAGGTAAGATTTCACAATTATAATCACTATGATCCTTTACCAGCTGAGCTGAGCTGGGATGAGATGTGGAGAGGGGAGGGGGGAGAGAATAGGGGAGCTGAAGCGAAGAAAGGTGAGGGGGTGAAGGTAAGAATAGATCAACAAATAAATAAACAAATTTATTGTAAACAAACAAACAAATTTTGATATGCTGAGCTGAAGACTAAAGATTAAAATTTGAGGATATTTGGTTATATAATATACTGTGTACACATAGACATCATTAACAAAATAATAAGTGATTGCTACCTTAATATTTAGGCGAGCTATCATATGCTTGTGCTAGGTATGTGACGTGAACGTAAACACGAGTTGTAATGCGGATAGGATGTAGTATGAATGAAATTGCAAGCTATAGCGAGATATAGAGAAGCCTGGGTTGTTTGATTTTCATGATATCATAACAAATAGATAGCAATATGAATGCTAAAGCAAATTCTCCCCATCTATATTCGCGTGTATGGGATCAAACATTGAACCGTGTAGAGCCTTATACCCATCGCAATACCTGTATCATTCTCCCTCTAAAACACCTTTTTGAATCTTGCCGTCCATCCTTTCCCAGCAAACACCAATGCGAAAAGCAAATTCCGGGTATCAAAATTTATCGTAAGAATCGTAAAAAGCAAATAACCGACCCGTTCTCCTGCCTCCCACCAGTGAAGCAACCCCAACTATATCGTCCATCACAATTCCATACTTTCTCCTCTCGGATCAGAAGACGTGATTGATATAACCTCAACAATCCTGGCTTCATCTTCTTCGAGTTCTTTGTCTCTGAATTCATCACCACCTATATCTCCCTCTCCCTCCTCCCCACTAACACTTCTGAACGATGAAACGAGTACATCTTCCACCACAAACTCTCCCTGCTTCACCAACACATCAACCACATGTGCCCCTAACTCATCTCTTCTCACCCCCTCTTCCTCATCGTTATCCTCCCTATCCCCATCATCTTCCTCTTCACTCGTGCCAAGCATCTCATGCCTAAACTCTTCAAACTCGTCCGCCAACTCGCAGTAGTCATTCATTAGCAGGTCAAAATTCGCTTGCAGTTTCTTGAATGCGGATTTATAATCTACTTCCCCCTCACTCTCACTATCAGAGGCCTCGGACTCTGAATCTGGATCTAGAACTTCGGAGTTATCAATAAAACTATCAACTTCATAATCTTCTTTCGCAACAAGTTCGGAATCCTCGTCTTGGGTATCGTAAGCCGAGGATTGATAATCGAGATGTGTGACCCCAATCAATACTCGAGCTCTCTCTTCGTCAGCCTCGCTTCCATATTCATCTTCGTAGATACGAGGGATTTTCCCAGGAAAATCAGCATCCTCATAAAAGGGGTTAATTCCATTGCCGCAACCAGTGCAAAATCCGAGCGTTGAATCTACCCTTCCAGCTGTATCCTCCCAAATCTCATGACCACAATTTCCACATCGAATGATCTTATCAGTTGGGTCATAGAAGGGGTAATTATCATCGTCGTGAAGATCCTCTTCCTCTGACAATGTGGAAAAGACATCTTCATCATTCTCGGTGGTGCCGTTTGCTGCTAGTCCATTCTCTTCCGTGGGCGTGGACATATCTTGATGATCCATTGTATGTGCGTCGCTATTGGCTTCAAGTGTGAATACTTGCGACATGCTCTTCAAACTTATATTAGATCTCCAGGACTTCTGTTGAGTCAGGGATTGATCCAAATACAACTTGATATTTTTGAATTCTTCAGTGAGGTGTTGCAATGGTGTTAATTGGCGACGTATATACAGGCCCACCTCTATTTCCAGGTATGCATACAAGCCTACATGATCACGCAATTCCAAGAAATCTGCGACGACTTCGTGAGAAAGTGATTGCATACTAGCAAATAGCGCCGACAGAATGGGCGGTGGCACAAGCTGATCAATTTGTGTATGGATGGAGTTCATGGTCGGTAGATCCTGAGAAATGTACGCTTCAACATCCAGCTCGCCGGTATTGAGTTCCAGTAATGCTTTCCGCGTTTGTTCAACGAGTGCAGGTACATTGCCAAGTCTCTCCATCAAAATTTTGAGTGGGGCTGCCAAGTCAACATTGTCGCCGCTGAGCTCAGCGGAGGACTCTACGCTCCGTTGTTCCACGTCCGTCACAGATTCTGGAGGAGTAGGCGATTTCGAAGACCTGAAACATGAGAAGTCAGCAATTACACATGGAAAAGCCTGATGAGGTTAAACTACAAGGGAAAGGGATGAGGAATAATAAAATTATGTCCTTCAGTGGAAACAATGGAACAACTCGGAGAAGCTTACGTTGGATCACTCATTTGGGAATCCTCACTAAGCCGAACGCGTTTCAAGGGTGGTGGACTAATCATGTCCGCGGCCGCTCTTCGCTGCGACGCTTGACGGCTTGAACTCAAGTCTGAATTTGTAGGAACTGATTTTGATGTCTGTCTGAAGCTAATTACACTTATTTGAGATAGTGGAACTGGAGATGAGGATACCGGCTCTTGCGACCAGTTAGACATTGATTGTCGACCAATTCTGGTTAGCTCTTCAGTTGGCGTAGAGGGACCACTTTCGTTATCCAATCTGGCTGCTGTTAAAGTGAGTTCCTTCAAATGGCCTGTCGACATTGGAGAAGATTTGGACGCAGTTGTTGTTTGCGTTTCTTGGCTTGGCGTCATGGCCATTTTGGCAACACGAATAGCGACCAGTCCTCGCATTTCACTATCATGCCGAAAAATAGAAGCAGAGCAATGATCGCCAAATAGAGTTTTCATGCTTAATCCTGCAAGGAATTAGTCTTCGAGAAATTGGAAGTTTTAGAGTGGTATGGGGGTTTCTAGTTATATAACAAAATGGTAAGGATGGGAGGGGTTGTTACATACCTTCATGCCATTCTTCTTCATCCACAGTACATGGATACACGTCTTTTGGTTTGAAGATTTCAACAAGATGACAAAGTTCGGCATATGACGAGTGACGTGAGTATGGAAATGTGATTACTTTGGGGAGACCCTTTTCAGGAATAGCGTCTCTTTTCTTGTCGGGTATCACAGTAGATTTATGTGCCAACTTTCGTAGCAAAGATTCACCAAGTCCCTTTAGAGAGATTGTGTCGCTACCAAATTGCATACCATCTAATGATATGGCCCCCTTCGTAGATATCAGTTCTGCAAGAAGCATACGTCGAATGTCTTCAATTATGGGTTGATCTGTCCCGGCAAAACTCATTAAAATGTTAGTACAAATCCATCCAGAAATTATTGTAAACTTACACTGTCTCTAGAAATTCCTTGACATCATCAAAATCCATGGCGACTTCATAACTTGGTACTAGATCGCCCCAGCCACCTCCAATACCTACTTCTGCTATCTCCACTCCATCTGGCCCACGGGCAATAAATGGGCGTATTAACACAGTATCATCCTCTCCATAAGCTGAGCAGCCCATTCCCTTCTCACAGCTGTGAATTCGTACGCGTTTGTCAGTAGTCAAACAACCCTCTTTTGGGCCATTCCCAACAATACACCCGACTAACACAGGACCCTCAGGAGCCAAGAATCGTGATTGACTATCAGACCCATCTTGACGCAGCGATTGGTATACCCTGTACTTGTACTTGTCCACATGAATCTGCGAGTCGAGTGTTCGTGATAACGCTGCCCAAACCTCTTCATATCCGAACGTCCAGGCCGAAAAGTGAAACTTGGTATTGGCTGGATATTTTTTGACTTTCTCAATCATTTCCTTCAGTCCATCGGCCTTTGTAGGGAATGCTAATGGTCCAGTGTTGCTTGTATCGAGATAAATACAATCTAAAGTCTTCATGCCGCTGGTGTACTCGATCAAGAATGGATTTCGTGTCAAATTATTGACGAACCATGGTTCCGATCTAATATCCCCAGTATACAAGACTGCAGTTTTCTCCTTTTCGAACAAGAACATTACTGCCCCTGTGCAATGATTGGCATCAAACAATGTAACCCTTACTTCATTTTTCGGCGCCAACTCAATTAATGTTGGAGTCTCCAGTGGAATCGGTTTTAAAACACTCTTCAAATGTTTATAAGTTCTCTTTTCCTTTTCTAAAATACCCTGCGCCAAGTTCAAGCGGTCTCTTCTCTTTTCGAGTCTCAACAAAATTTCTCTGGTAGCTGCTGAACAGTAAACAAATGGCAGTTTGATACGATCATTGTCAAGTCCCTCAAGATGGTCTCTATGAACATGACTTAAGAAGCATGCTAGCGGAGCAGTTCGACCTATAATTTGGCAGAAATGATCGACTAGAGCAATGTCAGTCACAAGCTTACTGAAACAAGCCGCTGAATGTTTGATCCACCATAATTCTTATTTGCTGAATGAAAGATATTCACTTACCACGAATGTTAGGGAACTCGGGCATGTACCCGCCAAATGTTGACATTTTGAAGGATCTATTCCCATATTATTCAGATCTAGATGGAATATCTCAAGTTGAGATAATTTTGATCGAACTCTTCAAAGATGTTTTAGAGTTTGAATTGGAGAAGAACAAATGGATGATACTGTTAGGTAAACGCGACAAAAGACACGCTAAGACAGGCTACCACGTGATTCTACCCCTCAATATACATTACACCACTTGCCCAAATGGGCGTTTCTTTATGTCCCACAAGAGAATAGAAGAGAACTGGTGGAATTGGCAATATACATGGAGGTTCAACCTTTGAATGCTTATATTTTGATAAACAGTGAAGAATGCATGGTGTTGTCGTATTAATTCGGAAAATCTACGATTGTATGTAAACTACGTATACGGCTAGCTAGTATTCTTACCAAACAAGAGCAAATATAAGACCTAAAAATCACTACCTCTACAATCATGACATCTGATTTGCCGCCTTTGCTCCTTCTTTAAGAAGCTCATCCAAATCCATATCTAGTTCCATACGCTTTTGGTCGCTCCTCCTTGCATATTCGTGGCTCATGTCCGATAAGCTTATCCGATTCTGGAAAGAGCTTCGTACCCACTCTTCCAGGAAGGCATCGTGGTCATCAAGCATCTTTTTTCTCGCCTTGGTATCAACATCAAGCAGTATCGGAAGTGGGTAACTGCTGAGGTAAATGTCGTATGGCCTGACCTCAAATAGGGTACTGCAGGCAAGTGCATTTTCAGTATCAGCATATACAGCCATTTTGGATTGATATCTCTGAATCTCCTGTGAGAAGAAATCACAGAGATCACCGAATTTTCCTTGACAAAGGATCATCTTGCCATTAACATGTATCATAGGCTTGCGGTTGACCTAAAAGAATTAGAAAGCAATTCTTTAGTGAAAGAAAGATTGACTTGTTGGAAGCTCGAATCAAACGGTCGTTTTTTGCTACTTACTGCAGTTGTCTTGTCATGATTTTTATACTGGGCCCAGAAATGTTCAAGTTTGATTAACTGATCAGAGTATATCAATCTCTTCCAGATCTCAAGAAACTTGTACGCTCTTTCGAGCGCTACATCATCTCCAGGCTGATATGATTCGATAGTGAGCTTGAAGTGTCCAGATGCATCTTCATGATCTAGGATGATGAATTTTAAACTAAGAAAATAGTTGGAAGAAGAAGGATTACTCACATTCTATTGTAACTCCAAGACCTCTCTGGACGGATTTGAACGAATCATCCCAGTCTCCTAGAAGAGCACGGAAAAGTGTGTTCTTTCTGATAGTCACTTCTCTCTTGCCCTCGGCAAGATTTGTTCCATTATTTTCCGAGGACTCCTCACCAATAGTGTTCATCACTCCTTTGTTTAGTAGTGCCGTTGAGAGCTTTCTCGGCATCTCAGGACTTGATCCAAAAAGAGTGGTACCGCCAGATACAGCTGTTCCGACAGATGCGTTTGCGTTATAAGCAGAGGAAGGCCTCGATTGTGTCGATTTGCTACCTGTCATACTATATACCGAACGATGACCGGTACTGGCACCACTGGAAACTATTTGAGCCGGTGGAGAAGCCATGGAGTAATTGCCAATAATCTCCCTCGATATTTTGTGAATTGGTGGTAAATTGGCTGATGAAGGAACTCCTGGTGGTTTGTCGTTCAACCAGGGGAATGGTTCATTCTTGAAAACAGTCTCCCATGCCATTCGATCGGCAAGCCACTAAGTGAAGTTAGTATCAAAGTAAACGATAAGAAGACAATTGGACAATGAAGGAGGTTTGGGCATTTGGGTATATGGTAATGAAGAAACACCTGAGACTTACATGTCTTTGAGAACGGTCGCAGTTAGGATGACGCGCTCTTACAAAATCTCTACTAGTTTGTAGAGCACGAAAGAAAACATGTCGAAACTCAACACCACCCATACTGTATGCTTTCTTTTGCATTTCATTCTCTTTTGGTCCGTAAGTCAATAGATCATCCACTCTGGCCTTCGTTACATTCCCATTGTCTTTTTTTGTTTCTCCGACACTCATTGCTTTTAAATCTCGTGGCGACTCTTCAGATTTGACTGTCCTACCTTGTCTTGTGGTTCCTTCGGACCTATTTTGTCGATATCTGTCTCTTCCCACATTTTCAATCGGAGGCGACCTAGATCTACGCCGACTAGTCGCCTCTTCAGCTTGCCATTTACTACCAAATCGTCCGCTTCTGGACTTATCCTCGCCACTACGGCGAGAACGTACAGTTTCGAGGCGATTGGTATCTGAAGATCGGAGAATGTACGACCTAGGTGGCTCATTGCAGGGAAAGGTACCCTTTTGACGAACTAATGATAAGTTAGCAAAGAGACATCTGAACCCGATTCTCTGGTAAATACATACAATTAGACACCCAAACTTTACTTCCTGCCATCCACTGTTGCCACTCCAAGCTTTCGCGTGGATATCTCTCCTTCATGTTTACCAATGCCTCTCGGTATAACGCCAGAACATTTGAATTGCCAGCTGCATTAAGAAGCAAATCTTCGATCTTGATTGACAAGCTAGGCTTCGGTCTGCTTGGGAAACTCAACGAGCTCTTCTCCGGCGAACTCAGAATCTCGCCGGACTCAGAGCTCATTGTCTCATTACTGAAGGATAAATTTGTTGTCTTGGGGAGGGTACCTGGCCATGGGTCGTTTGGAACTACAATCGGATTAGAAGTGAATCTTATCTCCCAGCCAAATCAAATCAATTCTGTATGGATGAAATGAAACATTGAAACTCACAGAACTGAGTCCACTAGAGCGTGCTGTCAGTATTTGGATGCCGACGTGGAAAACTCATGCAATACAAAAGAGATGGCTGGAAGTTTACATACAATGTGATATTCTGCTTTTCCTAATGCCCAAGCCTCAGTACACTGCGGATTTTGCAGATAAATTTGGCTTAGTGTTGTCTGAAATTGTTCTGTAATTTCAGACGTTGGAATTCCATTTTCTCTTGCTTTTTTGGCCATCAAATCTTGCTGTGTTCTGTAAGCCGATTCCATGTTTGAAGATCCCAAGTTATCTCGGGGAGACTTGAGAGGCATTGGAGAATTTTCAAGAGGAGAGGACATGATTAAGATCGTTGGTTGTTTTTTGGAAAGGTGAGTTGTAGTTGTTTGTTTACCTACTTGTACTTTTTTTTTGCTTCCTGAAAGTGGAAGGCACGTTGCCTCTTCTGGAAAACCCGACCAACGCTCCCTCTTGATTTGGCTCATTCAATGTTCTTATCTGTATTTCGAACTAGAACATCCAGTTCGGAGTGGGATAAGAAAATTGACGATAATGGCCATGAGTATCACAGACAGGAAAGCGAATCGTATATCGCTTCTCTTGACCAGCAAATTTCAAGTGAATGTACGTATTCCAACTATAATCGAATTGAAAAGCTTACGTCTGCAGCTTATTTATAATGACGAAGACTTCGATCGATACAATATACCTTCTCGAGCATTTCTTCCGACTCGATATAGGTATTTAAATCATACTTCAATGTCACAAAGGCTCCCCCCTACAATTTCAAACGCAAATGTCAAACACGGTAGTCCATCGACATGCATTCTCCAAAACAAATTCGACTATTGTGGTACCCTCTAAGCAAAAAAAACTAGGGGCAAAAGGAATGTGCAATGCATCTGCCCATCTAGAGCCGTCATAATAAACGGATATCAGAATCAGCTGCATATGAATTAGATAATTTGTGTAACTCTCACAAATTGTTTCCAAGACTCTCATGTACTACTCGAAGTCACTTTATATCATTTACAAAGAATGAGCAGGTTGTTTGCCTACCCATTGATTCCCCTAACACAAACATCTCCTGCAAAAAATGAACGATTCAATATATACCATGAAGTTAAGCAATCCATTCGTTCATGAAGACCATACGCTATATCTGCAATACTAATGCAACCTCGCTGTTCGTGAATTCCATAGCTACCTGCCAAGCTAACAATGTAGCTGAAAATCCCTCGACTCCATTCATCAATATGGTCCATTGTCAAGGGTAGCTGTAAATTACAAGACTATTCTTCTTCTCCATCATCATCCCACCCATCCTTTTCTCTCCGAATGAATTCGCTCATAATTTCAGGCTTGAAGATTGAGCTACCCTCGTCCTTTGCACGAGGCACTTTGCCTAAATTCCGTTCATCATCAAAAACTGGCCCAATATTTTTGATCCACTTTTGACGTTTTTCCATTAATGATTTGGTCATGTCACCAAGACCCGGTCTTGCTGTACCAGCAGCGCCGTTGACAGCTTGATTACCACCGCCAGCACCGCCAGCTTTCTTGTTCTTTTTGGTCTTTCCGATTGTGCGGGATCGTTTGGTATAGGCTGCATTTACTTGACCGTCAAGATCTTCAAGGATAGTTTGGTATTCTTGATGAGCCATACGCTCCTTCGTGATTTCCTGTAATCGAGCCTTACGTGCGCCGTTAATAATCGATTGCTCTTTGAGTTTGGCTTGGAGGAAACGAAGTCGCGCGGCTATCTCGTCATCGTAATGAGCATCGTAATCGGGCTCGGCATCAGGGGGTAGAAATCCAATATGTCGAAGCTCTTGTTTAATCCTTTCATCTATTTGCGCATGATCAAGCTTTGGGTGGGTTGCTTTCTTCCATGATTCTGATGCTGATTCAGCCATAAAAGTTGCAGGGGGTAATGGAGATGTTTCGCTATGCTGGCTTGGTTCCCCCATGTCGCCATTCATCTCACCATTGAAACTACCTTCGCCATTGCTCACACCGTTGGTCATAGGTTTGTCTTCGGAAGGAGCCGCTCTATTTTCCGGTCTCAAAGTTGCCAACAGTCTCGATAACATTGGTCCAGCAGAAATTTGATCCGTCTCCGCTATTGCATCATCAATTTCATCAATACTTCCACGGGCTTGATTTGGTGGTAATTTATCTCGCCCTTGATTTGGTGTATCAACTGACATGGCGCCATCTTCCTCAGCCCAGACTTCGGTATAGTGCTTCTTTCCACGTCTAGGAATCATGAATGGATTCACACGATCACCACGTTCACGTAGAAATGCGAGGTCTTCTTCCGTGAATGGCCGAAAGTATGGCTCCAGATATGTCGCAAAAGTATTAGCTTGTACTTGGTTTGTGGGTTTCGCGTTACTGAAATCTTTGTCGGGTGGTGTTCCAGGGATAAGATCGTGAAGATCATTCCTCGGATAGGCTGCTACAGAATAAACCTTCTTTTTTTCTTCCTCACTCATCCTGGGATCTCCAGGTTTTATTTTTGTAATTTCGTAGACCGTTGGATCAGGAAACGTAGATGGATCTGCTCCAAATGTCTGGTAATTGGCGATTTTGGGTGCTGGAGGAGGTTGATGTTCATCGGAGCTGGACTCGTCTTCGGCAGTGCCATTTGGTTTCGTATCCGTATTCATACCTGCGGTTGGTGTTGCAGGAGCAGGCGGTGAAAGCGAAGAGCTTATTGAATCATTGTCTCGTTCTTTTGATACTTTTCTGTGATGCTTATGTGTATGGTCACGGCTTGGTACGGCGACTTCTGCAAGTGAATTGAATTAGCGAGGTACGGTTTGAAGCAAAGTTCAAAATCAATACTATACTAATCTGTATACCGTATCGAAAAGTGACTTACCAATGTTGGATCCATCTTGTGGTGCCAAACCATGGGCACCATGTGTCAATGGCCGCTCTTCTCTAGCACTACTGACATCCTTTCTCTTTTTGATTTTGTGAACCTTATGTCTCCCACGCTCATCTTCATCCGCCTGGTCTCTCCTCATTCTTTCTTTCAATTCTTCGTCTCGCTTTTCAATTTCCAGTTCCTCGTTCCTATCCTTCCTTGATTGTGCCAGAACTCGCATACCCTTGTCGCATACCGCAGCACGTTCATCTATGCTTGCAGCTAATCTTTCCATACGTTGCATAAGCGCCTCGAGCTCTCTTGAGTTAGGAATTGCGGAGGCATGTTGGTCGACAATTTCATCTGCTACTGAAGTCCTGAGGATACTAATTGGAATTTGTGTGTAGGGAGTTTTTCCGGCGTCAGAAGGCGCGACTGAGCTCGCAGTACCTACTAGACTTGGCGTTGTATTTCGACTTCGGGATTGGCGGGGATCCCGACCCTTCTTTCCCGTTCCCTTTTGACTTGCCATGGGGGGCATTGTAATGATAGGCGCAAGTGTATGAGATGTATGTGGAAATGGACTTTGAGACTCTAGATCTAGTCGGATCGTGCGTCTATTGTGTCAGTTTGTTGAATTTCGGTAGGGCCTTAACATTAGTTCGATTTCAAACAACTCATCTATAAAGGAACAATCAACAAGTATTGAATATCAAAATTATGGATAAATATCAAATGCTATAGATGTTGTTTACTTTCTTGTCAGATGTGGAGTTGGGTACCTACCTAGGTCGTGATGATTGCTTAGTTGAATTACAGTGGAGCTAGCCCGTTGAAGATAAGGCCAGGGTGAATAGTTATTCCGAATGTCTATCAGCACGTGATATACAGGGAACAACACCTCATGATTTCTAATTGGTTGAACTACATTTTGCTTCAAGATTCTCCTAAATTCATTAGCGTTTTGCATTTGGCTGGCTGAAAGATCGTCAGAATGGCGCCATTACGTATTGTTGATCCGATTAATACATATTCGAGACGCCAGTGGTGTTGAAAAAAGTATATTGAAAATACTGTCTACCAATACGAGAGACTCAAAGTCATATAATACGTTACGATGACGAGGGGGATGCACTGAGTACAACGAGATGTTGTATTACTGTATTCCTTTCTCATTCTCTAGAGTCTAGACGTTGTATCAATAAATAAGGGATTACAAGAATATGTTGTACTGTACTTGAATTTATGTTTTTGTTTTCTAGATTTTAAATGTTATTTGAGTACAGAGTGGTACTGTACTGGAATTTATTTATTTTTTGGATTCTAGATGCTATATGAGCACAGACTGGTTTACAGTGAAATGTGATTGATATGTACTGTACTTCCTTTTTATTCTCTAGAGCGATATGAGATGAGTACAGAACGGAATGCAACAAGTTGTGATAATGTCATCTCCACTCCCTACCGGTAGTTTAGATGCGATACATGCACTGCACCCATCATACATACCTAGTGACCAGATATATCTATACTATGTGAAGATTTCATACTGGGACACCAATGTGTAATACATACATATCATTCACATCAAATTTCCTCTCAAAATCTCACTCAAGACCTCACATCCTCCTCTCTCTCTCATTCTTATCAATAATCAGCAATACATTGTCATCGGGGGAAGTCCCTTCTAACAAGCATGAAACCTAAGACCAAAAACTTTCCGAGGTGAAAATTGTGGGTGTCAAACGTGGAGCGAAAAGATGATCAAGCTTTTTCGCTAGCCGCCCATGCATACTAGGTATCCTCCCTGGTCTTCCTGACTCTCTGAATCTCCCTACTTTTGGTATGTCCTGTTATATGAACAGTATGAGTACGAAAATGTATCCTTCAGAATCCTTTCACAATTGTTAGAAAAAAACATTCACAATCTCACGAATCATTTTCTGCAATTCACTTTATGGTCATTATAACCATCATTCAGTTTGCCGAAGGGTTTTTGCCCGGCGCAATAGATCCTGCGCGCTACCGTATTTATTTCCTTGAATACCTAACTATGGGTAAGTGCCAAGTTTCAAATCCCCAGAGTGTGCTTGGCGCCGAGATGTCAAGCATCTTGGCTGACTTACATCCATCTTTATTTTCTATATATATTCACTAACCCAAATGAAAGCTTTGAAAGAAGTCGATAATTCCGTGTATGTGCAAACAGATCTTCAATATTCACTCCTCTTGACCGATTCTGGACACTTCACTGGATACGATATCGTGTTGTTTGTGAAGAAAACCCATTGTCATCACCATCAACCTCTCTCTCTGCCTCGCTCTTCATCTCTATGTCGATCAATCAACACGCATTCACACCACAAAATCTTAGACATCTACTAACAATTGTATCACAGTCTACTTTTTCCGGATGAAGAATGGAATAACCTGGCCACAAATGATCAGCTCACGAGCGTCATTAATCAGTTGAATGTATGTTATGGGACTATTAAACAAAGTATCGATCTAATGTGTCAATAGCCAAACATATCTTATGCAGAGACCATTACCGATAACTTACAAACATTATCAACTCACAATGCAGATGCGAGCGGTGCAATAGGCGGCTTTCTTTACGTGCCAGATCTGGATGATCAACACATATGCTACAACATTTCAAAACAATATGTTCCTTTAAATGCTACTCGACAAGCCAATCTCCCAGCAACAGATTTCACATTGATTGCGCTAGCACCCTGGATCAGCATAGAATGTACAAAAGGCTATTTAGCTGCAGCGCGACAAGACCCAATACGAGCTTTCATCTTCTATCCACCAGATAATAGTACAAGTCGACCACCAGCAATCAGCTCGGATCAGTGGGCACTTGAAGACGGCGGAACATGGAAGTCTACAAACAAATATCCGGTATACGCTGTTCCTGGAACTGTTGGACAGAGGATGATGCGCGAAATAAGTCTATATTCCGGCAATCTTACAGACGTGCCGAACGGTCATGAACTATCAACATTCCCAGGAATTGATCCTCGAGATTATGTACGAGTATATACGCAGCTTAGCGTGACTCATGGCACAAATCTCCCCAACCTGTGGGAATTTTTGTTAATTATTGTTGCTGTACTGGCCTTTATACTCGCAATTACTTCCGGCTCTATGCATCATCTCCAGAGAAGTCGAAGGCGGGCTTTAACAAGACGAGTGGAAATCGGGGAGGTAAACTTGGAGGCACTGGGTATCAAGCGACTCACCGTTCCACAAGAGATCATCGATCAGATGCCTATATTTACGTATCATTTTGTTGGACAGCCTGCTTTGGTGCATCTACGTTCAAGTACAGTCGACGAGATCCATGCCGATAAAAGCGTCTCCGCGGAGGCAAATGAAATCTCATTTTGCGATGACTCGGCATCCAAGGCATTATCACCAACTGTTATCATACCCAACTTGGGAAATTCTCCACTTTTCATCTCAGATCTGGGGAGACGAGCTGTCATATTCTCTCAGCCTACATGTCCTGTTTGTTTCGATGACTTCGACAGTGGAACTACATTGATTCGCGAGTTGCCGTGTGGTCATATATTCCATCCGGAATGTATCGATCCCTTTCTTGGCAATAATAGTTCATTATGTCCTCTGTGCAAAAAGAGTGTCTTGCCTATCGGAAAATGCCCAATAGAGATCACCAACGCAATGGTCAACAGAGAAAGGAATATGCGAAAATTGAGATCTCGTATCACTATAGCAGAGGATAATCATGATATTCAGGCTGGTCAACCGAGGTTTCTTCCCCGAATCTTAGGCGCTAGTTTCAACAGGCGAACATTTAATACTTCGACAGTCCAAACGAATAATGTACAAATGACAGTTGCATCACCGATCGCGACGGGACCGCCATTGATGACAAGTGCAATACACTCTCAACCACAGGCCAATGGTGTACTAGGGGTCGAGGTGTTACAAAACAACCTTTCCCGGCGAGAGAGAGCCCAGCAACGGATTCAAGAACTTGCAGCACAGGAGCCTTCGATAGAAGACCCCGACTTGGTCCAAACGAGGCATCGATCACTCTGTAGGCGCTTCTCAACTTCATACTCTTTCCAAACTAACGAGCCACGATAGTCCGTCGCGCATTATCCAAAACTTTCCCCGGCTATTCTTAGGGGTCGAACTGTAAATTTTAATGATTTGATGAGCATTTCAGCGTGGCAAGGTTGTTCTTGTCAATCTCTGGAGTTTTATACCCTGTATATATTGTGCGTTTGAAGGGCAAAAGGGATTAAGGCCGGTTAGGAATTGGTGTTTCGGGAGAACTATTGGCAATGGACCGATTATTGGGAACTTGTTTGAACCCCTTGGCGTATTATACGGAAAGCTGTTGAACCAGTCACAGCAGGCAGAATCTTCAGAAGAAGGATTTATCTTTCCTTTGAGATGTACGATGGATTGGTCGGAAAAGAAGCGTTTTAAGAGACCACTAAGTAGGTACAATAATTCAAAATTAGTTATGCAATTCATGTACTTTGTACAACCGACAACGCAACTCTGTGGTACCTGTTCGTCGATTATGTGAATGGATCGCCCTCTACCTCTACCTCTATCCTTAATCTTGAAAATGATTCTTTAAGATCTTGACTTTGCCAAAATTCAGTTGACACATCAATCCTTGTCATAATCTTCCCTTATCAGTTAGATAAAACGGAGGGGTGTGACTTATCTCTAAAATCTTAGCAAAACTTAGCATTTGAGAAGCTCTAAATTATGTCTAATTTGCTACAAAACATCATCTAATGCAATTAATCATATTCAATTGAAGAGGAGATACATAGCAGTATCAAAGATGCATCTCATACCTAAAGAAGTAAGTCTAGACCCTTATCGCAGCAGCGTTCAAGCAAAGGAATTAATTTTGGGATCAACAAAACAGATAGATAAGCTTGCTATCTCTCAGCTTGGTCTGCTGGCACAACGAAGACTTGCGCGAGGAGTAAAGCTCAATCATTCCGAAGCAGTTGTGAGTTCATTCAAAGACTCGAAGATATGTTACGAGATTGTAACTAATTGATACAAGGCGCTTATAGCAAATAATCTTCAAGAGGTCTGGCGACAGTCTTCCCCCCAATAGCAGGAAAAGAGTACGAACTGACGACCTCAAAGCTCATTCGCGATGGAAATCATACAGTGGCAGATCTCATGTCAATTGGCGCAACGATGCTCGGGCGTCGCCATGTCCAACCTGCGGTTTGCTCGACTCTTACGGAAATTATGGTCGAGGGCACTTTTCCAACAGGAACATACTTGGTGACGGTACATCATCCAATTAGTACAAATGATGGAGATTTGGCGAAGGCTCTCTATGGAAGCTTTCTTCCAATTCCAGATATAGATCTTTTCCCATTGCCATTGGATGCGGAATACGAATCGATGAAACGGCCTGGTGCTTTAATTACTGTAAAAGGTAAAGTTAAGCTGAATGAAGGGAGAAAGAGAATAAAATTGAGAGTGACAAGTAAGGGAGACAGACCAATACAAGTGAGTCTAAGATTTTATATTGATGATGAGTTGCTCATATTCGCAGATTGGATCTCATTATCATTTCATCGAGACAAATCCACAACTCGATTTTGATCGCATCAAAGCATATGGTTACAGACTCGATATTCCAGCCGGTACATCTGTTAGATTCGAACCTGGAGACACTAAAACCGTAGGACTAGTAGAAATTGGTGGCAACAGAGTCATCCGTGGTGGAAACCACGTCGCTACTGGAAAAGTAGATACTTCACGAGTGGAAGAAATTTTAGTCAATCTTCAAGAGGCAGGATTCGCGCATACCCCAGATCCAAGTGGAGATGCTGCATTTATTGATGCATTCGAAATGGATAGAACAGCATACGCAACTATGTTTGGACCAACTGTAGGTGATACTATTCGTCTAGGTAATACCGATCTTTGGATCAAGGTTGAGAAGGATTTGAGTTTTTACGGCGATGAATGTAAGTTTGGTGGTGGTAAGACTTTACGAGAAGGTATGGGCCAGGCTACAGGTATACCTGATGATATATCATTGGATCTCGTTATTGTTAATGCTTTGATTGTTGATTGGACTGGTATTTATAAAGCCGATATTGGTGTCAAGAACGGTATTATAGTAGGTATTGGTAAAGCTGGAAACCCAGATGTGATGGATGGCGTCAGTCCAAATATGATCGTTGGATCATGTACAGATGTTATTGCTGGGGAAGGCAAAATTATTACTGCTGGTGGCTTTGACACTCATATTCACTTCATCTGCCCTCAACAAGTCAATGAAGCTATCTCGTCTGGTATTACAACGATGCTAGGAGGCGGCACTGGCCCAAGGTAAGTGAAATAAAAACTTTTGCTATATGCTATCTAATATGTAAATAGCGCTGGAACTAGTGCTACAACTTGCACACCTGGAAAAAATTACATGCGACAAATGCTTCAAGCTTGTGATACCCTGCCAATGAATGTTGGAATAACAGGCAAAGGAAATGACAGTGATCCCGCTGCACTCCGTGAGCAAGTTATTGCCGGAGCTTGTGGACTCAAATTGCATGAAGATTGGGGCACTACACCTTCAGCTATTGATTCTTGTCTTACGGTTTGCGATGAACTCGATATTCAATGTTTGATCCATACCGATACTCTAAACGAGTCAGGTTTTGTTGAATCTACGATTGCTGCATTCAAAAATCGTGCTATTCACACTTATCATACAGAAGGAGCTGGCGGTGGCCATGCACCTGATATCATCAGTGTTGTCGAGCATCCGAACGTCCTCCCTTCCTCTACCAATCCTACAAGACCTTATACTAGGAATACACTCGATGAGCATTTAGACATGCTTATGGTTTGTCATCATCTTTCCAAGAATATTCCCGAAGACGTTGCTTTTGCTGAATCACGAATTCGCGCCGAAACGATTGCAGCCGAAGATATTCTCCATGATCTGGGAGCAATCAGCATGATGTCTTCTGATTCCCAAGCAATGGGCCGTTGTGGAGAAGTTATCATGAGAACATGGAATACAGCCCACAAAAATAAAGTCCAACGTGGTGCACTCGGAGAAGATCTGGGCACCGGAGCAGACAATTTTAGAGTCAAGAGATACATTAGCAAGTACACGATTAATCCGGCACTTGCTCAAGGTATGGGACATATTATTGGCAGTATTGAAGTTGGAAAGCTTGCAGATCTGGTCGTTTGGGATCCAGCTTGGTTTGGAACTAAGCCCACCACAATTATTAAAAGTGGTATGATCGCTTACGCTCAAATGGTAGATCATCCTCCACCCATGTTCTCTCGAATCCTTTGCTAATCAGACTTTAGGGCGATCCTAACGCTTCCATCCCCACTGTCCAACCCATAATCTGTCGCCCCATGTTTGCACCCCTAGTCCCTTCTACATCTATTCTCTTCGTTTCCGAATCATCAATTTCTTCGGGTACAATCGCAACATATGGTTTGAAGAGTCGCGTAGAGGCAGTGAAGAATTGTAGAATAGTTGGAAAGAAAGATATGAAGTTCAATGATCAGATGCCGAAGATGAAGGTCGATCCGGAAAATTATAGAGTCGAGGCAGATGGTGTACATATTGTTTGTGAGGCGGCGGAATGGTTGCCATTGGGTCAAAATGCTTATGTTTATTAGAGGGGTTTTCCCTTGGCACTGGAAAGACAGAACTAAGCTCGTTTATGTGAAATGAGTATTTCGTGTATAGGGGTTGATTGAAAGGATAGTATTTAGCTCTAATGATAGTTACAATTTTTGTTTAACACTAATCACACTGCGATTGCCATTGTCTTTTCTTCGTGAATACGATGTCTATTCCTGCAATCTACTTGAATTAGAGTGATCTCTATAATTCATTCGAGAGCTCATCTCATGGTGGTGGAAGCGAGTAGTACTCATTCTCGTCACTTCTCGTCAATTCTTGAATTCTCTGCGGGGTCCCCAAGTGATCCACAGATCTCTATTAACGGAGAATCTATGGTCTACGGCTTAGTTACTAGAACATAGGTAAGATTGTCTAGGTACATTTTAAGATCACTTCTTGATAAAGTCATCGAGATAGATAATCTTGGATTTCGACGGGGAGAGATTTTATTGCGGGTTGAACTTTGCGGGAAATTCCATTGGTGTCGTTTTAAGTGAATGCGGTACCGTTTGCAGTAATATCTATAGCACCAGCACTTCGGCGAAATGTAAAAGTAAACCTGTGACTGGTACTCTAATTGTGGAATGATGTTGTGTTATCGATAATCTACTTCTGTACTTCTGCACACCTGTAGAGCTTTTCGGAGCGTACTTGGATACCTAGAAAGATGGATGGATGGATAGAGAGATGGAATTCTATGATTTTTAGCTGAGCTATGAGATACATGTAGTAGGATACGATGAATGGATAAAACGATGAAATTAGGCTCATGGGGTAGGTACATTTAACGGGAATTTAGAGAGGGGGAGGGGAGGGGCGATGGTATACGGTATACTGTGTGGATCTATTTGTGATGTGGGAAGATGAATCTGTTTTTTTTCTTTCTTTTTTTGTTATATAGGATAGATACTGGGAGAGTAAAATATTGATTTTGTTTGGAATATATGTGTATATATGTATGTGTTTTATAGGTAGGTAGGTAGGTAGCAAGGAAGTAATGAAAACGCACGTGGAGTGAGTGAGTGATGTTTGTGAAGAGTAGACTCAAATAAAGAGTGTAAATTGTGAAGGTAAGGTAAGGTATATAGATAGAAACAGGGATTAGATCGATACTTCCAAGTGTTCTCGTTGAGAATTGACACAAGATGATGGTAATTTTCCTATATTCCATGGATCGTATATCTTCCTGCTGAATCTCATGACGGGTAGCAAAATACACATCTCTCAATATCTATCTAGGTACTAAACGCACGCAAGCCCGTGCTTTACCTCAACCAAACTCGAAAATTGAAGCCCCCTTCCCCAATCAACCCATCTAATTACTCAAAAAATAATTCACCGCAACCGGTTCTCCCAACCCCGCCATCTGCTGCCACGCATCTAAATCAAAGCGCATGCGATACCAATTACTCAGCGGTTTCCCGGCCGCTGGCGCGTATTTCGCAGCGTCGAAAGCCGCCGGCTGCTCGAATAGGTAGAAGGAGTAGCGATGCGGTGCACTGCCGGGAGGAGGAGCAGGACCGATGTAGTTTGCGATGAAGGGGGAGCTGGTGGTTAGCTGACCGCTGGGGGTGGCGGTGTAGTTGGGTTGGATCCAGTGGAGGATGGGACCGAGGAGGGGGAGGGAGGGGATGGGCGCGTCGAGATCGAGCATGATGAGGAGGTAGGTGGGGGAGGGGGTGGGGGTTGGGGTTGCGGTGGGGAGGGATAATGAGGGAGGGGTTTGGGCTTCTGTGGGATGGGTTGGGAGTTTAGTTTTGGGTCTGGGTTTGGTTTTGGGAAAGTGCGGAGGTTACCTGATCGGGGAATGTATTGCTTGGGGGTGATGGACTTGTCGTTGTAGGTGACGTTTAGTAGTTTGGAGGGATCGTTTTCGATGCTTTTGAGAGCGCGCTTGACGCAAGTGTTGGCGGGCATACTTGGAGAGATGGATTGGGGAGAGCGTGAGAAGCTGGAGGAAGAAGCTGGGAAGGTAGAGGTAGAAGATCGGATTGAAGTGTATCAGACAACAGAAAGAAGTAAGTATGTATGACTTGAAAGCCAAAGGCGAGTGGTATCCTCAATTGGAACAGTAATGAACCACGAGATTAGACGTTAAGGAAACACACAGATACTCTATATATATGCACAGACAAACGAGTTTTATACCCCAGAAGTGTGACATCCCCGCTTGCTGATCTAGATTCGATTGTATGTTCGAGTTAATCCCATTTAGGGAATCCGATAGATTATTCCCATGGTCAGTCAAATATTGGCTGTTATTCCCGAGTTTTAATAGCCTCACCAACTTGTCGTTGCTAGTGATTACTAGTGGATCTCTGCAGCAGGTATGATTTTGTGACTACATAGACGGATATAAGCGGCGTGCGGTTACTAAACCCGAATATCTACCTCCTGCATCTAATCTAATCTAATCTGTTCGCTAAAGAATTTGGGTATGCGTAAAGTTTATTATAGTAGCTGGAGATGTGTATGTGTTGACCTATCGCTATATTGACGTCACTTAAGCTGATACTTTGAACTATAGCGAGTAATTCTTGGTTCTCAAATTGCAAGTAGAACGCCAGTGTTCGCGATGGGGAACTACAACACTGCTACCTTAATATTCACATGTCAATATAAATCAGACAGCTCTGTTGTTGATCACGCGTATAATTCGACGATATTCTAGTTTCTTGTGAAGGTGCAATGACCTCAGTAAGCATCAATGCCCAGGATGCTTCTCTGAAGACGTTGAACGTAAAGTGGATCTACAATGCCATGCCAAGAATCTCGCGATAGTGTTCCTGGAATTGAGGGACAACTTTAAAAAGTCCGATTCTAGATGTGCAGTCAGCAAGTAATTGACAGGGGTCGGACTTTTTTTAAACTCCTTCTCCGACGTCTATGTGGATTGAAGTCCGTCATCAGTCGCGAACTGTTGTATAGAAGGCTGGTAATCCTTTGATTGGCTCCCGGATAGGAAATACCTGTTTCTAGCGTTATGCGGGGAGGCTTGATTTTCAATATGATTACTGTAAACCTTGGACATGCATGTTGCTTTATCGAGAAGGCGTGGCAAGAAAGCTTATTTGGACAGCAACTAATTGAAATACTTTGCTGATGACTGCCTTATGACACGAGCGTGGCCTATATAATCTTCCCTGTACCCCTCTAGTTTGCATAACATACATGCATGGTATCTACGGTGTCGCTGAGCCAAGGTGGGACAAAAGCTGCTGCGGTCCCTTGATGGGTTTGAATGAGTCACCGTTCAATATTCTAGGCTAGGCTGACGATCCGCTCTCCACCCTTTCATTCGATTATTATCTAATGTTCGCTTATGAATACCAAAATACAAACGATCTAAGCTCCTTACCATGGTAGGATTGCCTTTAGACTCGCTACATGTCCCAGGGAAATGGGTCCACTCGCTAATACTCGCATGTAATTATGGGTCGTTCAGACTACATACTTTGCGACTATATGCAAAGGAAGCTGTGCACGCATTACCTTAACAGCTCTAAAAAATGCCTGGGCTTATTCACTTCCAGTAGTGGAAATCTCGTATCGCTGTCCCAGTATAGCCGATGGGGATAGATCTCATGATCTCGCGACGTCCCTGTAGTCTGGAAAGCTTGATCGGATAGATTGAATATCGATACACACAGATTGGTCGATCACGTCAATAGTGTATTCTGGAGGAACTTCGTCGACGACCCGAAAGTTTTGATCATAGATTCGTCAAGACTCCGGATGCGAAGCCACTTCATAAGAACTTGAAAGAAGGGTTTTCTAGAAGTCATTACTCGAAGTCGTTTACAAAGCTCTAGAATCCGCGGGTCATCCAGGTCCCGCCGACCACAACTAATTGAATGAATCTAACTACTAAATTAGTTCCGTGGCATCCAATCAGGCTCACTCACCTGCGTCTCCACATGCCGACTTGCTCTCCGCACCACCAAAATGCTAAAAGATAGTGAAAGCTTCAAAAATACGACATCAAAACGAATTCAATATGAATGAAATGATCTCAAACCACAACATTCAAGATCCCTGATTCCAGCGTTATTTGCAGCCTCACCAATAGATTCGGGACCTCCCGAAAAGTCTAGTAGAATACCGAAAATCTTGTAAGTGTTGCATGGTCTCACAAATAATCTTTGTGATGAGATCACCCTTGAGCCAATATTCGAAGAAGTTGCTATCGATTCTCTCTTAGTGACCAAGGGCTTTGACAAGACCCAATTTTCTTTCGGACTTGAGATTGCCCTCGACACATTCCTATATCCCCAAAATGTCAAAGCTATATGCCGTCATATCGATATTGCTTTAGGAGCCATTCTTCGGGGTGCACCTACGCTCTTGCTCCGACTGAAGCAAAAATGAGCCATTTTTAGCTAGGTAGCGGATCTCCTACTACTTTAGAAGGCGACTCGAAGTACTAGAAGACGGGAAACTCATTTACCATCAACAACTAAATCAATCTATCCACACGTCGAAACCTACAGATCTTATACCCGCTCGAATTATCTACAAAGGGATTCTTCCACAATCACCCCTTCATGGCAGTGTGTTTAAAGTGACTAGAGCTGCAGGAAAAGAGTCAGTTGCGCGTTTGACCGGCGAGAAGGATGGCTTCCAAATTGGCTTTGGCAGTACAGAATATAAAGATTCTTGACGACCCACACAGAAGTTGGCTTCTTGTGCGCTCCGATACCATTGCATTCAGCCCTGAGAAAGCCATGGCAAGTCCAGATAGACCGGGAAATTTCGCGAATTGGAAGTCAGAACTGATACAGGTGGTATGACGCAATATATTGTTCGCCGTCTATGAAAGTTTGAAACTCCAGTCAAGTGTGTATTCACAGACTTACCTGCACTGCTTGTTGCAGCTGCAAAACGCATATTTAAGAAGTCCCGTGATAGAATTAACCGCACTGGATACTGAGGGTGGAGTGAAGAAATTTTGGACTTCTTCAATCCAGGTCATCGATCAATGAATTGTATTCATACGACAGGAAACTTGACCGAATTGTTAACAATGATCTGTAAGCTTCTCCGAGATGATGGTGTTGTAATATTAGCCGTGCTCACACAAGATGTGTTCTGACTGCAAATTACCGTTAGATTGGTCGAGGGATGGTAGTTACTTGACGTGGGGTGCTGCGACGGATGAGTCGTTTTTGGAAGAAAATATGCTCTGAGCGGGGTTTGCGGCAGTAAATCGGGCAGGTAGTGAAGAACCCCAGGCATGTCCGTTCGCATTGTTGCGGGATTTCCTATGAGTTCAAGTGTTTGATAGGATTTGGTTTGATATAATAGTAATTATCACAAGTTGCGGTGAAACCAGGACTGAGAAAAATCTAGGAATAAAATCGATAATGATTTGAGTGAATTTTCGAATGAGTCTTCGGTGATAATCCAGAGTTCACGCTCCCATGCCCACACGCCTTTTGACTTACACAATATCGGTCACGGCCGGTAATAAGCCCACAGAAGTGCTCTTATTCCCAGTCGATGTATTTCTACAATCTTTCTTCCCAATCCGGAAGGATGGAGGCTTCGTGTTTTTGTAAAATTTTCAGATATGCAACAAAACTTTCTTGTTTGGCTTTTCGCCGCCTTGTGGCAGAATAATGAGCGCACGAGGTCGAATTTGACTACTCAGTCAATTAGTGAATCTTCTGAAACAATTGAGCTCTAAATCAACTATAAATAAATCAATGTGTAAGAGAGTACTAGTGAGGTAAATATTAGCCTTTAATTGTTCAGGTTTCATCAGGAATTGTATCTCACATTGAGTTGAAGAAAACAAACGAGTTATTGAGAGTACTCCAGAGGGCCATGTTCTTCCTCCCAAGAATAGCGTGGGTGAATAGATGTTGTATGGGAGAGACACCGACTGCACTCGTAGTAATTGCTGATATAGGACTCGCATTAAAAATTCGAAAACTGTTACCCGTGGAATACCTAAACAAGCCAGCGTTGGGATGGCCCAATATAGGTCTCGGCAATTCGAACAACCATCATTTTGATTTCAAGATGCGTTCAGCATATTCGAAGAGCCGACGAGCTTGGTTGTATCTTGAACGATTATTACTTTGGAAGTATTGCCAACATTGAATGTGTAAAATATGGTTACATCTTGACCACAGAAGCATTCAAGGTGGTTGCCTTTCTCGCCCAGAGTCGTCTCGGGCGATTGGGTCTATATCAAATGTGATTGGCCTTGGGAAGCTCTCTTCGATTGTCAAAGATATTGAAAGGCCGTCAAGGAAGCTATAGACCGGAGTAGATAGCGTGGTGGATATATGATGTTTCTTGCCCATGGCAACCGTGTGACTTGGTTGTATCCACGCACCGTTGATACCGGAGCATTATGAGAATGCTCATCCTATTCACCTATTCGGTTTGGATGTTCCCAACGACTGGGAATTCCACCGAACCTACAAAGAAGGCTCCCTGCTACTCACAGATAGAAGTTGCTGGACGAAGAAAGGATGATTGAACTGGGATAACGGCCGTAAGAATGAAGGATTTTAAAGTTGATTGATTTCTTGACCGGATGAGCAATGAGTCTGGAGCTGCATCGCATCAATAGAAGCTATAGATAAGCATGAATAGAGTTCAGTACGCATGATGCCAATGAGCGAAAACTTCAAGCATACCTTTTCTAGCCCCAATACAGATTGGCGTTCAGGCTGCATCCTGCATGACGTAATAGAATTTTATTTTTTGACTTTAGACACATACAATTATCGATCCAGCTGTCAGGATTGAATATCAGACATGACAAGCACGAGGTACCTAGGTAGGTTGATGGGTGTGCCATTTTGTGGATAGAAAAGTAGGGGGCTAAAAGTCAGTCGAGAATGATCAGGGTTAATCCGCTGAGAATCCGGTGGGTGCCCAGGCAGACATTGGTTCCCAAATACATCTGATGGTACTCGTAATATCTCGGCACAGTATATCAAAAAGCCGATCGCTGCACATCCTGGTTACCCCCTTGTAGGGATCATTTATCTCCGTCAGAGCGGCACTCGGATATAAGCGACAACAAAACGGGGGAATGGGAAAAGCGGAGATAAAAGAAGAGAGGAATTCCAATGGAAACTTTTATTCCGGTACATACCGGTATGCTGCTACTGAATACTGAATACTGAATACTGGAGTAGCTGTCTATGAGTAGCTGGCTGCCGAACTCAAGAAATACTACCTAGTAGGTAGAGAGCATTCTACAACTTATACAGCGTAAGGGAGGTAATCAATCTTCTGTTGCATGCATCTATTTGGGTACTGGTGACATACCATCCAAACCTAATAAATAGTATTGGATCAATAACCTTCTGTTATACTTTTATCACGTGTAGTTACTAAATTAGCTTAGCTTAGACTAGCTAATCCTGGGCCAATATCTTGGCCCTTGGCACCATTCTAATTCTATATCTTTTATTCCACACCTAAACCTCACACCTTCCTACTTATTATTATTCAGCTTGAAGAATAAGAATATCTTAATCTTGGAAAGTTTCGCCTACGCCATTCTTGGCCATGAGCTCAACCGGTAGTCGGGCTCAAAACCCTCCGGTGAGTAAAAGGGCATTTGTGGCGCGCGGAGCTTTCTCATTGGCTCGAATCCGAAAGTATTGTCAGTCGCGGACGTGCACCGGTGCGGTAGATGCGATTACTAATGCTCTCGGGTCTCCCTCATAGGTAAGCACTTTGGTCAACAATTTAAGGTTTTTGCGAAAAAGGTGCAACCGTGCAGATGGTTTTCATATGAACAAAAGGACCTTTTTTCTCCCCGAGATGAAATCTTGGACAAACAGGCCGTTTGACTCACTCAGCCTTATTATCCAATTTCTATTCCGAGCACAATTTCATACATAATCATGCTGTCATGCTTATGGTAGAACCGTCAATTCGTCGTGTTGAAAGGCTTCTGTGGGTAATCATTTCACTCATCGATTGATTCAGTCGGTCAATCAATCAATCCATCAATCAATCCTTCAATCTATCAACCAACCACCCACCCCATCATTCAATCAATTATTCGGACGAGTCGGTCACTCAAAGTCTATGATATAGGCAACGACGGTGCCACTCTTTAATATTTCAACATCATGAATCCGAACAGTCCCGCGGCCTCTACTGCCAGTAATAGCACAAACGCCCAACCTCCAGCGGCATCAGCAGCTCCACCAGCACCAGCAGCACCAGCAAAAGTTCTTAGTTGCACAAATTGTAGGAGACGTAAGATAAGATGTAATAAAACAACAAACCCGTGTATCCCATGTCAGGTGAGTGAAATTGGTTTCCCAACCTGCATCCACCAATTTTGGGCATATGAATACCTGATGAATAACACAAAATCAGGCATCTGGCACTGAATGTATTTTCCCTACACGTGTTCGAAACCCCAGGCCGAGACAAAATAATCCAAAGTCTCGTGATGCTGAGCTATTAAAAAGAATCTCTCATCTCGAAAGTTTGGTGAGCAGAATTGATGCCACAAAACTCCTTGGAGAGGAAAGTCATGTAGAAGACGAGGCTCGGTCAAATACACCATCATCAGGACCGCGACCTCATCGTTCTTTCACGTCTCCGGGCCGTCAATACAACGAAAATATCCATGAAATTGGATTTGTCCCAGGACGTTTGGATCATCAATTTGCTGATTTTATCAGACGTCAAGAGACTGATTCAATCTATACTCATGACGGGTTTTGGACAAGATTAAGCGAAGAAATTGATGGACTGAAACAGCTCATCGAGAACCCCAGTGAAGATGAAGATGAAAACTCTGGATCGACTGCAACTTCGCCAGCATCCAAGTATAATTCCCCTTCACAATTTGTCTTTGATTCCAAGGTTACTTCCTCGAATGTTATAATTCCATATCCATCCGACAACCACCGCAATGTTTTACTCGAGTTTTTTTTCAAAAATGTGCATCCGTTGGTCGTCACTGTGCACAAGTCAACAGCACAAATGATGGCAAGCCCAAGTTCCGAGTTATACGACCATACTGGCCGACACAAATTCAAAAGTCTTGAGGCGATGACGTTTTCTGTTTACCTGGCTGCTGTGACGAGCATGACAAATGAAGAGTGCCTCGAACTTTTAGATGAAGAAAGGCAGATTTTAGTGACACGATACAAAACTGCGACAGAGATTGCTCTCCAAGAATCAGATTTTCTTAATAGTGTAGAAATTGTTACCTTGCAAGCCCTAATGACGTATATTGTAAGTGTTCTTCTCCAAGCATCTTGGACGATGCTTTTATGATGATGATGATGATGATGATGTTTATATACTTTCATAGGCAGCTATGCGCACTCATGATCGAAGTCGATCTACATGGGCGTTTATCGGTCTTGCAGTCCGCCTTGCCCGTGGCATTGGGCTCCACAGAGATGGCGGCAACCAACCTTTCGATGTGGAAATGCGAAGGAGAGTATGGTGGACATTAATCGTACTTGATACGAGAGCTTCCGAAGATCGAGGTACAGAAACAACGATCACCGATGGCTCTTTTGATACAAAGATGCCTGCCAACATAAACGACGAGGATATCTCGATTACCTCAACAACTTCACCGGTCGAGCGGATAGGATTCACCAGTATGACATTTGCTTGCATTACAATGACAGTCAGCGGGATCGGATTGAGGATGAATTTCGTACCTACGCGCCTAGACGCGCCGGTCTTGACCACAGAACAAAAAGAGCAGATGATTAAAGGATTTACTGATAAAGTCGAATCAACCTATCTCGCAGGTACTGATCCCAATGATCCGAAATTCTTCTGGTTTTGTCGGGTATCACGACTATTATCACTCAAATTATGGTTGGTGACACAATATCCACTTCAGCGAAGGAAAACTACTCATCGAGTACTTCCTCGAGGACAATCTTTGCGTACATCTATGGCATACCTCAATTTGATGGAAGAAATATGGCAACATGACCCTTCAAGGGGATGGCTCTGGTTCTTTGAAACTTATGTGCCGTGGCATGCAATCGCCGTCGCTTTAGCCGAGCTTTGTGCGGAACCAACTGGCACTCTTGCTGACCAAGCTTGGGAGGTCATTGAATATCATTACAACAGATGGAGTGATTACGTTGCAGATACAAAAGATGGAATGATTTGGCGACCAGTCAAGAATTTGCTGAAAAGAGCAAAAGCAGCAAGAAGGCGAGAAAGAGGTCTCAGTGGTTCTCAGGCATCAACAACTCCAACGGCAGTCCCCAATATGTACAGCCCAGCTCCGAACTTGGGTGCCGAATTCTCTCCAATCATGTCGGAGAATCACAACTACCGCCAACCTTCTGCAATCGGGCAGGTTGATTCAATGGGGCAGAATACCTACGGGGGGATGGGCTTCGATCTTCCCATGCCCATGGGTTCTACCCCCATAGATACGAACATGACATCACCACTACCCATTCCGGAAGGTTATACAAATGCACACTGGAACGAATTCATATTTGGTTTAGGCACAGTTGGTGGTGAAGCACCTCAGCATCCAGAGATGTGGGGTTCATATCAAGATTATTTTACAGGCTCTTAACACTGGAGAAGCCGCAAATCTTTCTAATCGATCTACGCAATGCCTTACCTTCACCATTTTATTTTGGTCAATGGCACTAGAAATGGGGAGCATGTAAGAACACAAAGACGTTGTAATATCAAACTATTCCCCTCAATCACTGTATATTTTATACCTACTAAAGGTCGGTCGATGCAAAATCTTCGGCCAGCAAGGACTTCCGAATTCTTGCTCGCATTTTCAAGCACGCACACGCACTTGTGGAGATTGCAAATGCCGACATTCGTCTTTCCCATGGCCCACAAAGCACCTTATCGCAGTTCCGGATGCCGGTAGACATGACTACCCGTGATACGCATTCAGATAACTTCTAACAACAATCCCTGCATCAAAAATTCTAGATGTCACCAAAAGCGGAGAACCGAGCTATCCGAATGAAACAAATGATGAAGCGAATTATGATTCATGATCCAACCGTGCCAGGGCACGTACTGTATCACAAATCGAAACAATTTATTGTCAGACGCCTGCCGATAAAGAGTCTATCCATTCTCTTATTAAACCCTGAGCTTTGTTCGTTAAGTTCTCATTATTACGAGAACCTTCTGGGGACGTTGCAAAACACGAACTGAAAGAAGAGTGTATCGAGTATATCCACGCGGAGGAAATAATTACATATTGTCGGAACTTTAATCAACGCTGACACATTTAACGGAATTGATGCCTATGTGAAGGAAAATTTTCATCTCGTGTAAGATTGTGAATGGTAACCGATTGCATGCATATTCATGACTGGATTGTATTGTGACAAACTCAATGGGTGATATATCTCATAAGAACAGTAGGAATAGAAGTCTGTTCCCGTTAACTTATACTCTTGTGAAAACACGCCAAGAACCAGTCAGTGTCCTACAAACAGATCTCATCTATATTTTGGGCGATACTGACAAATACTGCCCCTTGCACAATGTTTAGCAGAAACCGATTCGATACAAAGTCAGGCTATTGAGATGATATGATTCATTCAAATTTTTAGTTAACCTGTCATACATTTAGTTACGATTTAGTTCCCCTTAACCCCCGTGGTCTTTGAACAATCTTCGTTTCAGCCCCCATCCAAGCTCTAGTCACAGCGGTTCTAGTCAAGACAATTTTATTACAACGATTGCTTTACGCATTACTAAAACCCATCAATCGGTTTCCAATTCGAGTTTAGTAACTCGTGTACAGCTGCCGAAGATCAGAGTGATGCCAACTTTGAAGTGCATATACAGAATATATAGTGACTTCACTTGCCACTAACACACAGACCTTTTCACTTGGGTATCCCTCTAATCCCTCTAATAATCTGGTTGGCATCCTCACTTTCTCACCCTTTCTGGAAATTGTTTTTTCCTTCTGCTTTCTTTTCTCAGAAAGGCATGGTGACTTGATCTTTATTAAATTTATTTAATCATGGGGAATGTTGATCATATACCACAGCAACGCGTCTGGACGCGGAATCTTTTTGTAATTTTCGCTTCTTTATTACTATTCTTTAATACTCTGTCTCTGTTACCATGGGGAATATATCATACTCGATCATTTTTTAATACCGCTAATCATCCTGCCTCACAATTTTCTTCCAGCATTGCTTCTCTCGAAACTGTAGACATCGGACAATTGCAAGGAGGAGAGGATATCGCATCAGTTCTCAAGGCGGCGGCGGACATTCTGGGTGCAGTAAGCGCACAACATCATCTTACTTCTTTGCAAGCTCTTAGCAATGATTTGCATAAGTTAGCTGTGGACACGCATCAAGCAGAGAGCGGGAACAGCTTGAAAACTCGAGGACTCTTCGATGGATTTGCTTCAATATTGACAGGCGGCGCGGCAGGAGGAGCAGGAGGGGCAGCGGGAGCTGGTGGAGCAAAAGCGGCTACGGGAGGAGGTGGCCTCGCAGGGATTTTGGAGACGCTCGGTGGAAAACTTCTTGATGTCACTGCTGATTCTTTGGCCACGCCGGCAGGATTCTTAGGTGATGGTGTTGGAAGAGGTGCAACGACTGGTCTTAAAATTAACAATGGAGTCAAACAAACTACTGCAGAAAAGCCATCTGGCGTCAACGCTATTGCAGCAAATCTAGGATTCGGGTAAGCACTCTTTGAACAGAAGATATCAAATTCATCCCAATACATTTTGCTGACTGGTATCACAGAGCTTCCAATGCTCTAACGGGAACTCTAGATACATCATCATTCCTCACTGGTGCAGGAGCCGCTTCTTCCGCTCTAGGCACGGGACTTGGAGGAGGAACTGCTAGCGGATTGGGTCTTAATAAATCAGCTGTTGCTGCGCCCAATGGGACTGGTATCCCTTTGATTGCTGGTAATCTTGGAAATGGGCTTACTCAATCGCTGTTTTCGAATATCGATATGTCGAAATTGATGACGGGTTTGCCAAGTGGGATGTTGCAATCTGCGGTTGTGAATGCTGGGAAAGGTATGTTTTTTTTTTGTTTTTTTTTTGTTTTTTGTGATAGAATCAGTGTGTTCAATGGTCTGGACTGCATTTCGGGTTAAGATTTTGATTTGCAGATTCTGAAAATGCTATTTTCACTCGTCTATATTCAACATTTTGGATTAGCACAATGATTGAAGCTATTTCGCTCTCTGGAATGACTCGAATATTCCAAAGATTTCAATCTGTGGATTGCAGTCTAGACTATCAAACACCAGGGGCAGAATTATGCTAACATTTTTATAGGATTGGGCGAAGGTGCTGCAGAGGGTCTTGATTTACCAATGAATATGGCTACTATGAGAATGCGGCTCAAGAGAGCTGCCGCCGCTGCCGCAGGAACCAACACGACAGGTTCGGGTCTTAATGTTAATGAGATTGCATATGGATTCACCAAATCACTCTCAAGTTCCTTCCTTGGCGCCGTCGATGTCAAGAAATTGGCTTCCCAAGCCATGTCCGGATCCAATCTTACCACTATGGTTGGACCTACTCTTGTTGGAGCCGGATCTGGACTGGGAGCCGGTGCAGCACAAGGTCTTGGGCTCTCGAACGCAGCTGTGTCTCCTAGTACCGGAGCTGATGCTGCGGCGCCAGAAGTGGCTCATAATTTTGCATATCAACTCACGACTAGTTTCCTCGCGAATGGAACGCTCTCATCCTTGCAATCGAAACTCATGAGTGCGATGTCTATGACTAATATCTCTGCGATGCTGGGTCCGGCAGCGCAAGGAGCAGGTAGCGGTATTGGGCAGGGTGCGGCGGTGGGTTTGGGCTTGCAGGATCCTTCAACGGCGCAGAGTCCAATGGGTGGAGATGTAGCCATGGTTGCGAGAGATTTTTCGTATGGTCTTACGAGTAATTTCCTTGCTAATGGTACGGTGTCGCGTCTTCAGGCGAAAGCAGCTGCGCTTCTTGGTGGGGGGTCAAATTCTTCTTCCGGGGCAATGATGTCGGCGCTGCAAAAAGTATCTGTTTCGAAAGCAGCTGAGGGTCTCGCAAGAGGTCTTGTCGATGGTGCAGGTCAAAGTGTCGCGAATATGGGAGGCTTCCAGGCGATTCTTAATGGAGCCAATCCTTCTGAAGTGATGATGCAAGCCGCAACACCAATTTTTAAATCGGATGATTTCAATGATACGACAGGGGGAGTAGCAACATCTTTTGGTCAGGGTTTGGGTGGTCAGGGTGTGACATTGATTGCGCAAATGTTGGGAATGAGTATGTCACTATCTTCCAACGGTTCATTAACGCCAAGCATTATGGGAAACAACTCTACCACTCCCGCATCTCTCTCTTCCCCAGAAACCCCCTCAAATAATCTCTCCACCCCAGCCATCCGAGCACGCTCCTACAAATCCTCCTCCTCCATCATCCGCAAATCCGCCCCCCTAACATCCACATTCTCCAACCTCAACCCCCACCTCCAAAAACGCGTCGTCGACCCCACAAATCTCAACATCTCCGATATCACCAGCGGTCTCCTCACCGGCGTCAACGTCACCTCTCTCGATGTACTTTTACAAAAAGGCGTCGATACGCTTACATGCGAGGGAATCGGCGGTTTTGTCGAGATCTTCAAAGGATTGAAAGCGAGTGGGAGTATTCCCGCCGCCGGGGGAAGTGTCATGTTACCCAATGCGACATTCACGGTTGCGAGTCAGGGAAACGAGTTTTTGATTAATCCGGCGACGCAGGTGATTTTGGTGAATGGGATTGGGATTAGTCGGTTGACGATTTTGATTGTGGCACATGGTATGTATTTTTTTTTTTCCTCTTTCCCCTATTTTCTTTCCTTTTTTTTTTTTTTTTTTTTTTTGAGAAAATATATATCTAACCCCTCCCCCCCCTTAGCATTCCTCCTCATCCTCGCCTATTTCCTCGCCATCCCCCTCACTCTCCTCCTCACTTCCGGCCACGAAATCGCAACCATGCTTTCCCTCCCCCACATCTGGGCATCTGCCCCCAAAACGCGATTCCGCATTTGGCTTTTCGCCGTCCTGCCGCTCTCGCTCGGCGGCGGCATTCTCGGGATTCTTCTCCTGGGCTCCGCATCCCACGGAACCACCTTCCACGGCCTCCTCGGATTCGGCGTGTTGGTTCTAACCATGCCGGCGTTTGTGCTGGAAATGAAATTTCTCCCCACTATCACGAAATGGAAATTGCTGAGGGGAATCGTCCTCAGTGTTCTGTTAGCTGCGGCAAACGCGGCGTTTGTGACGGGCTTTGTGGATATTCAGAGGATTAGTCTGTGTACTGTGAGATTGCCGGATCAGGTGTTGATTGGGGCCGCGATGAATGCGGCGAGTTTGTTTACTACCGGGACCACCGTGGTGGCGGTCAAGATGAGGTTGGAGAAGTGGGTGGGGAGGAAGGGGAAGAGCGGTGTCGGGGGGGATGCGAGCGCGGGGTTTAATGATATGGAGAAGAGTGGGTTTGAGACGGATGAGAAGGAGAAGATTAGTTTGAAGGATAGGATTAGGGGGTTGAGGGGGTAGGGAGAAGGGGGAGGTGAGGTGAGTGGTGTATATAGATTGAAAAGCTGGATTATTTAGTAGATGGATGTGTTATGGCATAAGATGGATGAAATGGATGATATAGTTTTAGATACCCTTTGGAGTCGACTGGTCGGCTTCTTCACACTCTCTAATAAATAAGTAGTTATAGCAAATATTGCAAAAAGTTAGTCGCTAGCTGGAAATGATACGAAATAGTTTATAAATTGCGTAACTGTAAAAATCTCAAAATACCCTAAGAATCATAACCTCTAAACGGATAGATATCCAAATCATACATGAATGAAAAAAATGTCTTCCTCCTTCTCGCTTAAATCCACTGTACCCCTCATCTCATCCCAAACCTTTTCGGACTCCCCATACCTTCTCTCTACACCTCTAACTCAGTCCTACAACTTGGAAGTTATAGTTACACAAATTCGCCTTATTCACCACCTCCAACGGACCCTTTCCACTAACCACAACCGTACCCGCTGCATTCGTCACACTCATGCTCACCGCACCGGTCGTAATATTCGACACAACCATAGTATTAAAACCGGCCTGGAAATTTTTCGTCCCCAGCACCTTCCCCCCCACACTAATACTCCCCTTCAAGCCCGTCACCCCACTCGCCACCAACACTACCGCCGTAACACTATCCTCCACGCCGCCAATCCCGACCGGTTTCCCCAACCCCAACGAATCCCCCGAACAATCCCCATTCTTCAACAAAG